AACCCCTTTACCAACCCCAAACCCAAACCCCAAACCCAAACCCAAACCCAAACCCATCAAGCACAGCAGTACATGCATTTGCACTAATTCCTGCACAATATTTAGCTGTTAATTTAGCTGCTCCATTTGAGGATGTTGTAATTGTACCACAATTACCTGAAGTTACTGCGGTCTTAATACAATTTGACCCACTTTTATAACAATATCCATCAGTTCCTTTTGTACAGGTATCAGAAGATAACAAGGTACAAATTTTATCAATGTAATAGCATGCTGATCCATCATTTTTAACTGCACAATCTGCATCAAAGTTTTAGCAGATATCAATAGTTAATGATCCTCCTGACTTACTAGCACAATCTGGTTTACATTTACCAGCAGCACCAAAGACACAATTGCTCTTTAGTGTTCTACATTAAGCATCTGTTGCTCCAGCAAGATCACTGCATTTTAATGAAGAAACAGCCTTACAAGCACCAGAAACCCAATAACAATCTTTTTCATTTTTTGACCATTTACAATTATTATTTGAATTATAACCCTAGCATGTATCTTGTGCAACTATACAAGCAGAACCTTATAAATTGACAGAACAAGTGGCATCCCTTGAATTGCAATATCCAGCTGTAAGACCTGCACCCAATATCTTGGTACAATCAAAAGTTGCATCATCTGTGCATGCACCATTTTCCCACTTACATAATGCTTTATCTCCAAGTATTCCTCCTAAACAAGCATCTGAATTTCCATAGGCAGCACAAGTAGCTTTTTTAAGCCCACATGGTAAATTTGTAACTGTGCATTAATTGGATTTTGCTTTACACGAATTATATGTCACATAACTAGTTGAATCATCTGCGGTAACCAAACATACAGCATCAATACATTTATTTGTATCCTCATCAGCTCCAGTCCAAGTACATGGATCATCATTTTTATCTTTTACACATTAAACTTTTTTGCTATATTAACTACATGCTAATCTTTCAGTACATTTTGTTCCATCTGAACTAATCGTACATTTTTTCTTAGAAGCATTAGAGCAATCAGACTCTGAACTTTTATCTAAATTTGCACATATATTTCCATCCACACATTTATTAGTTGTGGCATTCCATTAACAATTTAAATATGTAGGTGGATTTGAATTGGCAACTTTAAGAAGATTAGAAATAACACAGGAATTCTTTCCTAAACCACCACAAGTTGCTGGATAGACTGCACAATCTTTATTGGTTGTTCCAACAATACAGAGGGGGTTGTTGTCTTTGTCTTCTAACCAATTTTGACAATCATTATGAGTTACTTCTTCACTTGTCACGACAACACTATTAGCGTAACCTACACGAGTTGCATTTGCACATGTTTTTTCATAGCATTTTTCTCCATCCCATAAGCATGTTTTATTTCCATTTGTTGCTGTACCTGCAACATCACATTACTCTTTAATTGTACGAGACTCACATTTTGCAACTAATTCCATGCATCCTTTCTTTGTGGCATTTGGTACACAATTTGAATTTGGTTTATAATTTTCACATAGTGCCACAGTATAGTCATCATCAGTCTTAATTGGGGCGGTGGTACAAATAATATCAACACAACTAGATCCAGTCCATCCACATTTCGATTTACCAGCTTTGATTTCACAATTCTCTTTAATTAATGCCGAGCATGTTAAAGGGAGATCCATGCAACCTTTTTTTGTATTTGCTAAAGTACATGTTTCAAGATAATTTTAACAATCTCCATGAGTTATATTAGTTTAAGGTGCAGCAGAACATTATTTTTAAAAACATAATCCATAATAAACACATTCTTTGCTATCCTTATCCTTAACACAATTATCTTTTTCTATGATATTTTCACACAATAAATCAACACAATTTCCTGATGAATTAACTGTGCAATTATTTATTTCTCCATTGCAAGTGGAATGAGTATTAAATCTAGCAGGTAAAGTTGCGCATGTTTTGTCCAAACAAGCATTTCCCACAGAATCCCAATAACAATCTTTATCATTAATATTTTTAACACATGCCTCTTTTATCAAAATTGCTGAACAAGCACCATTAGTAACACATCCACCATCTTTTTTGGTTATACAATTCTTCTTAGGAAGATATTCTTCACATCCAGGATTTGAAGTAATTGTTGTTGGAGCATTTTCACAAGTTCTATTTTAACATCCAGTAGCATTATTAGCCTTACCAGTACAAGCAGTAGAGTAACCTGAACATTATTCATGGCCACTATATTCTGGTCCTGCATTATCACATGTTCTATCTTTACATGTACCATTCCATGTACATAATCTATTATTAAATCTATTAATAGCACATTAGTCAGGAACAGTGGAACTTCCACAACTTGTATCATCAACACATCATTAACCATTTGTTATACATTTAGGCAAATATTATTTACAATCTGAATTTGTTTTCATTGTATTTGGTGCATTTACACAAGTCTTATCTTTACATTTGTTTTCTGTAGCTACCCAAAAGCAATCTTTTCCTGCATTATCAATTTTGCATCCTTCTAGAATTTATCCATCTTAACATGTCTTAATATCAACACAACCTCCATCTTTTTTAGCAGTGCACTTATCAGAGAATTTCTAACAATCAGCATGAGTTTTGTTAGAAGTCAAAGCAAATTCACATTTTTTTTCAAAACATTTTCCATCTCCCCAAAAACATTATACTGTTCTTGCTTTATTTGTTACACATCCAACTTCTTATTTTTAATCTTCACAATTAGTTCCAGATTCTACACATCCTCCTCCATCTTTTGCAGTACATTCATTCTTTAATTATTTTCTACATTCAGCATCTGTTTTCAAATCTGTTGGTAATTAACTACATTCAGTCACATTAGAACATTTTTTGGTTGGTTCATCCCAAACACAATAACTGGTCTTACTTTAAACACATGATATTGAAGTTGAGTAACTATCACAAATATCTATTTCTACACAAATTGTTCCATCTGTTATGCATCTTTTTGAAATTGCTTAACACTCATCTTTTGTTGCTTTCTCAAAAGGTGTACAACTTGTGAAAAATGTACATTTATTATCTAACCAAGCACATTCATATTTATCAAGGCATTCTGTTTGTGCTAAACCTTCACAATAAAGTGATTTTCCATAATTCTTAGTCACAGTTCCTGTTCCTGTACCAGTACCAGTACCTGTTCCTGTATTTGATGGTAGCTCACAAACCAATTTTGTTAAATTCCAAGTGCATTTAGAATTTCTCCCACAATCTCCTAAGGTTAAAAGTTATGCACAAGTGCAGTCTTAACTTTTACTGATTTGGCAACTTGCTAAGCTGACCAAAGCAATTAGTATTAAAGTTCTCTTCATTTTAAGTATTATTAGTTTTTGATTAATTTTTTTGAAATTTATATTAAAAAAAAATTAATTTATTTTAAATTTAAAAATACATATTAATATCATTATTAATGCTACAATGATATTTTAAATTTAGAATAAAATCTTCTGATTGTCTCCTTTAATAAAATCAATTAAAAACATTCAATTAGTGGCTTTTTGCCCAAATATTGTTTTATTCCAAATTTATCTAACAAATAATTATTTTTGTTAATAATGATATAAATAAGAGTAATAGCTCTCAATGTCCTGAATTGAAAATTTTAGGTTCACTTTGAAGGGAATTTTTTCGATTAATTCTTATAAATAAGAATCTATAAGAAATAGATGCTCATTTTGTATGTATATTAATATTTACTCAAAGGATTAAGAAATAGAATATTTGAAAAATTGTATATAGAACGCTTTTAATGAAGAACAAGAGCGATATATAAAATTTGAAGGTAAGAAAGATCAAACAAATGAAATTTACATAAAAAATTCATATTAATTGATAAGAAAGAAGCCAATCAATATGATAATGATAAATAAGTATCTTACTAACTTAAAAGGTTGAGAATTTCAATCAAAAAAAAGTTGGGTTTAATTTTGATAGACATTAATAATTGAATTAGCTCCTTTTATATCAATTAAATTATTATAATAAATAAGTTTATTTATTATTTTAATAATTATTTAAAAACGATTTTAAATTTAAAATAATATTCCATATATGGTACAGCAATTTTGTCTATTTGCTCCTTCAGCAGCTTAAGTTTCCATATCATAAAATTTAATCAATCCTTCATATAGTCTTTTAGTAACATTAATTTCTGTGACTCCAAATATACGTAGGATATTATCTGTTTCTTCCTTATCCATATTGAAATGTTCACCTTCAAATCCTCATGCTCCAAAAGATCTTACGACTACTTTCAATTATTTTTCATCAATATGTTCCTCCTTTTATAATCTTATAAAATGGATGATCTCTTTCCAGATACCATATTAGTTGGACAAGTAGTTACAACACCATATTAGAAGGATGCTCAGCAAATTCTTTACCACTTCTCTCAATATCAGTTAATAATTCATGAAGTGATAAGTCAATTTTCCTAAATCATTTCCTTAGTCCATTAAAATGATTCTCAATTAATCTTTTTCTCCAACCAAAGTCACTTTATTTATTTTCATCTGAACTAACCCATATCCCTCTTCCATATATAAGGTGTAATAGTTATTAGTTGTCATATCATTAAATAAAAAATATTTATAACTTAATTAATTAGCTCATTCCTTTTTAATCTAATCCATGTGTCCAGATGTTAAACTGTGATACTTTCCTTGAATTTCGAAACTTCCAAACCCTTCTATCATTTTTTTTCAAATCTAATTCTCTCATCTTTATCCATAGATGATGATAAATTCCTTTTCTAATCTTTAATCTATTTTAGTGAGAATATATTTATGGTCCAAATATGTTCCTATTCCTTCTATTTTATGATATTTCCTTAATAATGGTTCTAAGTAGAAAGATATAACATCATATTCTTCAGGTTTAGATGTATATATCATCATCATTTGATAAACCTCCCATCATTATACATGCAAGAATCTTTATTAATCTGAATTTGAAGACCTTTCCTTTTTTCAACTAGAGTTGGCCTGAAATATTGATTTTTAAGACTGATTTTAACCTTACTCAATCAGTCTTGCTTGAATTTTCGCTAAATTTACCTATCCATCTTAATTTTAGACCTTTCTGGCATCATCTTTAAAGACATAAGTATGCATTGGTATTTATTGATTATATCAAATATACAATACAATATCTTGAGTGTTCAATTATTTAAATTAAGATAATCATAAATTTATTTTTTATTTTTTTAACCAATATATTAAGTATTTACACATTATTTAATATAAAATAAAACTAGCTTATAATAAATTGTACTAGATATTAAGACTAATTAATAGAGCAAAGTAACATATAACCATTATATGCTTGAGTTTGATGTAAAATTTGTTATAAATTTTCTTATTTTCTTCTGAGTTATTTAAATTATAACTAAAACTATTTCTAAAAAGTCCCTTATTTATTGCAATTAATATAAAACGTATTAATTCACACAATAAATACAACTTTAATAAATCCAATAGTGTAAAATCACATAATTGTTTCATTGCGAAACTCAAGTTCTACATACTCTATAGAATACAGCTTTAGAATTTTAGGTATTGAGGTATAAAAGTTAGGATATCTTGTATGCTCTCTATGAATTTTATAAAAGAATTTTAATTTTATTTAAATAAAAGGACATAATCTGAGATAATATAAAAAGTAAGAGCAGAAGGGTATCCAAATAAGCATATCTAGTGATAAATTTTATAAACATATATGATAATTAGTTTATTGTAAAAGATAGAATTTTAGAAGGATTAAGAGGTCAAGTGATTATTTTATAATTTTTTATCATATTTCAACTTTCAATTTAGCATCTATTAGTCGAATGAAGAGAGAGAGATTAAATAGCGAAAAAAAGAAAGTAAAAAAAAATAATAGATTAACGAGATTTAGATCGAATTCTCTTATTGTAATTTAATATAAACTATATTAAATTAGATTTAGAAAATATTTATATATATAAATTAAACATTATTGTTATTTAGAAAAAAATAATGGGAATTTGTGGAAACTCATCATTAAAATCACATCCTAGCGACAACTTAGTTGAATAGAAAAAAGAAAAAAATGTGAATTAGAACTAATAATAAAAAAATGTTAAATTGTTTGATTACAATTAAAATAAGATAGTTCAAGTACCTTTGTTAAATCCTGCTACTTAAAATACTTTATATTCAAAGAGATAAGCATAAAGTCCTAATAAGAATCATGAAAGTGTTCAATTACTCACTTAATCTTGATAAAATAGAATGAATATGGTGAATTAGTCATATATTTATGAATACTGTTATTTAGTTAAAAAAGTAGGAATCTGTAGATATAAAATAACATTTAATGTGAATATTTTTCATTTAGTTAACTTGTTACTTCTAATAATATCGTAGAATTTGGTTAGTTCTTCTTCTTATACCTTTCTAAACTCTCTTGCAATCTAAAAATAAAAAATAAAATAAAATACAAGTCCTTAAGTATTCATACAGTTCATTACTAATTCTTCTGATTCTTCAATAGAGGTCATAAGCCAATGATAATCATCAGAGGTAGGTTTAATTTTTTCTTATTCCAAATCATATTTGATCTCTCTCCAAATTTCTCCTATTTTAAAATGGGGATATAATTGTATAACTTCTACCATCTATTTTTCATTAGGTAACAATTCATTTTTATCAAATCCTGTTCTATATAAAATAGCAAATACAATTGCTCTTAAATCATACTCAGCAGACTTTTCAGTAATTCTTCTTACTAAATATGCTTCACTACCTACATCTGATTCTAAGTCTTCTTATTAAATTCTAAGTGATTTCATATGTTTTGATTTTTAATCTCCTTGTTAGTTTGTAGATTTAAGACTTGGATCATTTTATGGATTTAAAGGTCTGAGTTTGTTTGTAACAATACCATCAGAATATTTGACTCCAAATCTTTGATCTTCGGCAACATATATTTTAACCAATAATTATGTACTATTTATCATAGTTTTAGGAGAATTCCAATCACAAAAGTATGGAATAGCTTTGGGATTTTCCATCAAGTAACTTAAACAAGATAGAGTGAGTTTCTTATGCATATCATCACAAGTTTCTAAGAATTCTAATAATACATAGAGTCCTTCAGAATCCAAAAAAATAGCTTCAGATTTTCTATTACCTAAAATAGTATTCCATAAACAATCAAGAACACTAACAGCATAAAGTGCATATCTAGCACTTGTACCTAAATTAGGATTTTTTAATGCGTTAACCATTAATTCAACAGCTCCTTTCTATCTAAATAATTTCTTATTTTTATTGCACTCTTTACATAAATTAGAAATAATAGAAAAACATAATTCTTTAATCTTTAGTGGATTATCGTTATCATTTTCATTTTATAAGAATTCAATCAAATTATCCATTACACCTTCATCACATATTTTAATTTTATAATTCTATTCAAATTCTGATGCATTATTGAATGCTTTTAAACATCTTTCTTTGTGATCCAATTCTTATGTATTTGTAAGAAACTTTGTTAAACAAAACAGTCCATTTTTTTCATAAAAACTAGTTGAAAAATAGTAACATTTAATTACTCATCTTTTAAATAAACAATAGCATTTCCTAAAATTCCTAGGCAATGTAATTATATTTCTTTTTTTTATGGTGGAGACCATCTATTAACAGCATAACTATTGGCTAATGGATCTATATATAATAATAAAGTGATAATGAAAGGAGATTCCTTAACAGCTTCTAAAACAGCCTAATTGCCAGATTAAACAGCTGTTAAGATACCACTCCATATCAATTTCTTAAATTCTAAATCTTCACTAGTAGTACCAAAGAAAGCTTTTAATTAATTAGTTCTGATAGGTTCATTATAGAAAGTAACTTCATCGATTGTTGCATAGAATAATAATACTTCTAAGAAATTGGTCTATGATTGAATTGAATGAGCTTGTGGTTTATCTACAAAATATTGTAGTGCCTAAAAATAGTTGTTTAAAATTACTTTTTCATCTCTCATTAAATAGTTTAATAAGATTAAGATTTCATTTCTTAAACATTTATCTTCTAATTTATATCCCTACTTCATAATATTTTCAAATAGTTTCTTTAATCCTGAGATGATGTCTTCAACTGCAAACAATTTAATTGATGCAACTCCAACTGCCTATTTAATATATAAGGTATAATTAATTTACTTCGATAGTATTCCAAATGATTTCAAAACATGACTTAACTATGTAGGATCTAAAATCTTCACATTCGAATATCACATAAACAATATCTTTTAGAATACCAAAATTTGAAAATTTAGCAGCCAAATCTCTATAGAGAATACAACTAGAAATCAATTCAAGTAAGGGTAATAAATATTCATATTATTTTGAGTAATGTTGCATAGTGAAGATTATGTTCTCTATTAAATTGGATTAGTTTAATGCTCTTAAGTTCTAGCAATTTATATAGATATTAAAATTACTCTTGTTCCATTCTTTAAAAGATGTTAGAGAGGTGATAATTCTGTTTATTTCTTTTATTATTCAAAAGAGGCTTCTTCTTTCATTATTTCACTAATTCCTTCTTCTGCAAAACATTTTAAAAACTTAATAACTGGCATTCGTAATTCAGGTTATTGACTACCTTAATCTTATTGTGGACTATAGAGCACAGGTTTTAGAGTATCAAGGAATTCACTTAATTTTGGAACAAATTTCAACTAATCTGATGTTCTTAATTTGATGAATGGGACAGAAGCAGTTTCGCAAATTTTTTAGATGGCTGGTTACATTAAGGCATTATTTTCAGCAATAGACAATCTCAATATTTCAATTAATTCTTAAATTTCTTCCAATAAGAATCCTCCTGATCTTTGTCTACAGAATCTAACAATCGCTTCACTTTTTCGATCAGTCAATTATTCAGTATATGGAGAATGAAACATTTCTAATACTTATTGAATACTTAGGTTTTCTTTCTATGGTGGTGATACTTCTTTTAACGATCTGCTTAAACCAAGTTTAGCATGTGTACTCATTATTGGAAAATTATATTAATTATTTATATTACATTTTTTATACATTATCATAAATATATATCTATATAAATACTTGTTTAGTTTGAAATTATAAATATTAGCAAAAAAAACAATAAAAAGTAATATTTGAAAATATTGTTTAATACATATATTATGAGGATGAGAATTAAAATTTAAAATTAAACTTAAATTAAAGAATTTATAAAAAAATGCGGAAAATATAGAGAGATGAAGAAGATGATATGTTTGTGATAAAAAAGAACCAAAAAAAGAAATCCACGAAAAAAGAGATAAAAAAACCTAGTAGACTAAAGAAATTAGATGATGATTATCAACCTGAATAAATATAGGAATCATCAGAATCTGAATTACAAGCAAGTTCTGATGATGAAAGATAAAATAAGAAAAAACCTTAATAATCTAAATCAATAGGTGTAAAGAAGGAAAATCCAAAGAGCAAACAAAAAGTAAAATAAAAAGATTAAATGAATGAAGAAGATAACAATAATTATGAACCAATTGAATAGATGTTAACAAAGGATGCTGAAGAATTCTTTAAAACAGCTGAACATTTGTTACCATGTTTTGTATAACCAGAATATATAAGAGATGTTGAAGGTAGAAGACCTGATGATCCAAATTACGATCCATCTACATTAGATATACCAATAACCTAATATTAGAAATTATCTCCTATGTTTAGATAATATTGGAATGCTAAAAAAGCACATTTTGATTCTTTATTATTTTTTAGATGTGGAAGATGGATTAATGTTATGTATAATGATGCTATCATTATTGCTAAGATGTTCAATCGTCACTTAGGATTCTGGGGTAAAGATCGTCCTTGTTTAACTGTATATGATAGTTAATTACCAATATATGAAAGAACCTTATTAGAAAAAGGATATAAAATTATGTTGGTTGAATAATTGGAAAAAGCAGATGTAGCTAATAAAGAAGATGGAGAAATAGTTAAAAGAGAAATCACATAATTAATTAGTAGAGGCACTTTGTAAGATTTAGGAGACTTAGATTCTTATGAATCTAGAAATCTCTTAGTTTTAGTGTGTTCTAATGCTCCAGTTAATTTAAAAGGACATAAATATGTTTATGGAATATCTATTGTAGATTGTACTACTAATCATTTTTTTCTCGATCAATTTTTTGATGATGAATAATCTAATCAATTAAGATCCATTATTTATAAGACTAAACCTCTTGAAGTCATTATTTCAAAAGCAACACCAGAAATTGAAAAAATGATGAAGTAAGTATTGATCATAAAATTAGAACTATTTGCAATCCTATTATAATTGCATCTAAAAAAGAATTTAAAGAATGTGAATATATTTTTTAATAATTAAAAGTGGAATATCTAGAATAGAAAATTGTTAGCAAAAATATTGTTAAGCAATCTACAAATAGTAGTTTTGAAGGTATAGTGTTACCAGTTGATAAAATTGAACCAGAACATCAAATTGATACAAATATCAATCAAGGTTTGTATAATAATCAATCAGATAACATTGAATTAGAAAAATATCAAAAAGATGAAGAATATATCTTGAGTGATGAGTATCCTTCACTTCTTGTAGAATTAGAGAAACAATATTATTTTGAAAAAAAACTAGCTTAAGATGATGATGAATCTACCTTCTATTCCTATTATTTTACACTTTAATCCTTTTATATACAATTATGTTACATGAGACAATTGTTAATCCATACTACTGTTTATAGAAGAGGTAAATTTCAATTCCTTGATTCTAATTTTAATTAGAAATTAAATCTCTATCTAGATTCTCAAGCTTTAGAAAGTCTAGAGATTTTCGATGTCAATCTTTAAACTAAAGTATCTTAAAAGGGAAGTCTTTTCGAATATCTGAATAGATGTGTTACACCTTTTGGTAAGAGATTATTAACTAAGTGGGTTTAGAGTCCTCTTTTAAATCATAAATAAATTTAAGAAAGATAGGATTGTGTAAGAGATCTATTGGATTATATTGAACCTTGTGATGAATTTTAAAAAAGATTAAAATCCATTCCAGATTTGGAGAGAAATATAACTAGATGTTTTAATACTATTCATTCACATAAACTTAAAGCTGTTCCTATTACTGGAGGAGACAGTTTTGGTAAAATTAAATTAAAAGAAATCACATAAGTAATTAAACACATTAAAGCAGCTTCTGAAGCATTCAAAGTATTTGAAAGTTATTTAAATAAATTTAAATCAAATAAGTTAAAGAAAATGTTGAATTATAAGGAAAATGCTTAAACTCTTAATAGTGTATTGAAGGAATTAGAAAAATGCATTTTAATTTAAGATGGTGAACCCTAACCTGTTAAAGGAGTATCACCAGAATACGATACAGCATTTGATAAGATGACTGACATTATTGATACTTTAGATTAAGAATTGAAAAAGTGGTAATAGAAATTTAAATGCCCATAAATTACATATCATCATGGTAAAATTAGATATTAAATTGAAATTCCTGATAAATGTCTAGAATCAGGTTAAAAACCAAAAGAGTTAATGATTACATCTAAAAAGAAAGGATTTCAAAGATTCTAGACAGATTTTATTGAATAATAGATTTTTAATTTAAAAGTTGTGGAAGATGAATTATCATAAAAGTTGATTCCCTTTATAAATGATTACTTTACAAAGTTTTATTCTTATAGAAAAGAATTTTTATAATTGATTTCATTACTTTCTGAAGCAGATTGTTTGTAATTATAATATTAAATTTTTAGAATTTCATTGGCTTTAGTGTCTAAATTGCATAAGTTCAATACATTTCCATAAATTTTAGAGTAATCTCCAGATGAAGATGATGATTAAGAGTTTATTCTTGAAGAAGCATATCATCCTTGTTTATTATAGAATAGAGATATAAATTGGGTTCCAAATACTATAAAATTTATAAATTAAATAGATACTCTTTTATTAACAGGTCCAAATATGAGTGGTAAATCTACGTTATTAAGATTGATTGGAGTATAGATTATATTGGCTTAAATTGGATGTGCTGTTCCTTCAAAATCTTTTAAATTAGTTCCTTTTGATCGGATTTTTTGTAGATTAGGTGCATCTGATAGAATGTTGGAAGGTAAATCAACATTTTTTATTGAATTGGAGGAAACAAAAACAATTCTGGAAAATTGTACTAGTAGAAGTTTAGTGATAATAGATGAATTAGGAAGAGGTACTTCAACTTATGATGGAGTAGCATTAGCATCTGCAGTTTTGAGATATTTATCTTAAAATATAAAACCTAAAACTATATTTGCAACACATTATCATATACTTTTAGATGAGTTTGCTTTATTTAAGAATATTTAAAAATGTGTGATGAAACATTATTAAGAAATGGATAAGGTAATTTTTGAATATAAATTAATAAATGGAATAGCAGAGAAGAGTTTTGCTACAAATGTGGCTAAGATTGCTGGTATTCCAAATGAAGTTATTTAAAATGCTAAGAAGATGGAATTAAAAATAACCAAAGAAGAATCAAAAATAAATAGAAATAGAGATATCTTATAAAAATTCAATTAAATTATTTAATAATTGTTATGAATTATATATAATATATATATAGTGTGTATATATATATATAAATATATTTATAAGTAATAAAATTAATTACATAATATATTATTTAATATACAATATTTTATTTTTCATTTTTTATTTTTTTTAACAACTTAAGGATTACCATCACTATCAATAATTATTTCAGTTTCTAAATCATTTTTTTATGTATTGTTGTCTTTTTGTTTAAGAGCTTCTTCTCTATATGCTCCAACTTCTTCAACAATAGGTGTATTTCTATAATATTTATGTATATATTATACATTTCTGAAGTCAGTAGGACATTTAAGATTTTGTGTTATCTTTCCACAACTTCTTTAGGATCTCTTAAAAGTCCAGATGATAAGAGACAACCATCTAAGATTTATTTACTTGCTAAGGATGCAATAATTCGATTAGATTTTCTGACTTTATTTAAATTAACAATGATTGGATTATGTACATTAATTTCAAGGGTTAAATTTTTTAAGTCATCCTAGATGAGTTTGATAATAAATAAAATAATACAGTTGATTATCCCATGGCATGCATGACTTATCTCATTCCTGAAGAGATAGCAGAAACAATAATAGCTGGAGAAGTTTTTAATCTTTTTGAAACTTAGACTTAGGAGATAATAGGATTTAATTCATTTTTTAACCATAAACAAAATGGAGTGATTTCATCATTTGGTATATTAGTTTCAACATTAATTTCTTCTTTTTAATTATTATTTTCATCAGTAGTAGATTTTTAAGCAACCTTATCAACTTCAGCTTAATCACTTTCAATATTAACAAATTTTTTGGATGAATATTCATTAATTTATTTAAATACTACTTCATCCATATGATTCATAGTTAAGATGACTGGGATTTCTGAATTAATAAAAGGTTCCATATATGGTGATGTTAAGGCTTATTATCTAGTTGGAGCAAGATAATAATAAATGTTATTGACTCCTTAAGGTAATTTAGAAATATAATCATCTAAGGAAATGAAATCTTCTGATTTATTAGTTTAGAATCTTAATAATTTAGTCATTTAATCTCTATGTTCATCATCCATAGCAACTCCTTCTTTAATGAAATTTTAGAAATCATGATACCAAGATAGATAATTAGCTGGATCTCTATTAGCTTCAGATTCAATTTCTTTAATGACTCTCTTAGCTACTACAGATTTAAGTTTAGCAATCAAAGCTGAATCTTAATATCCTTCTCTTGAGATATTCAAAGGGAGATCCTCACAATCCACAACACCTTTAACAAATCTAAGAAAATGTGGCAACAATTCTCTACAATTCTTCTTTATCAAGATCTTTTTACAGTAGAGACTAATATCGAAGTCTTCCATTTACATTCCATATCTACATTACAAATAACACAAATTTAATACTTCTCCATATGTGTTTATGGAATATACAATAAGGCTTTAATGGATAAGGGTGCATCTGTAGAATAATGAAGTTTGTATTTGTAAGCAAGTTTAGAATTAGATATGTATTCATAAAATTTATTATAATCTTCTGGAGTGATTTCATTCTTATTTCTAACCCATATTGCAGATACAATATTCTATCTCTCTCCGTTCACTATTATTGGATAATTTATGAAGTTTGAATATCTTTATATTGTTTTCAACACTTCTGTTTTCTTACTAAAATTAGATTAATCTGGTTTTAAATGTATTGTTATTTTAGTTCCTCTACCTTAAAAATAATCCTTTGCTTCTGATATTTCAAATGTTCCAGTGCCATCTGATATCCATACATATGTTTTATCTGATCTTTCACTCTTACTTACTACTTCAACTGTATCTCCAACAATAAATGATGAATAAAATCCTACTCCAAATTAACCTATTATCTTATCATTCATTTATGTTCCAACTTAATCCAAAAATTATTTAGATCCACTTCTTGCTATTGTCCCAAGATTATCAATCATTTCTTATTTCGTCATACCTATTCCTGAATCCTTTTTTTATATATCTTTATTTTACTTCTATTGTTATTGTTCTCTTCTATTCATCTAATTCAATCTTTATCTCTAAATCTGATGGAACTTATTCTCCCTTTTATGTTGCCAAAAATCTTTACTTTTCCAATGCATCTGAAGCATTCGACAACAATTCTCTCAAGAATACATCCTTATCAGTGTATATTGATTTAGCCACTATATCAAGCAATTTCTTTGTTTCTGCCTTAAATTCATGCTTTTCTTATTTCTCTGAACAAAATCTATATCCTAAACTGTTGTTCATTCTAAATAACTTCGATTGTCTTAATAAATAACCACCACTCAGACGAACTAATCCTTTTTTCATTTATTAAAATTATTTGTGGTAAACTTATAAATATCTATACAATTAATATATATATATAATAATAATAATAAAAATTAATCCTAAATACTCATTGCTTATTTCTCTCTTTTATTTCATTTCTCTTCTCAAATACCATTCCTCCATATTTCTTTCTATATATAAATAACTTCTTATTGTCTTTCGATTACATAATCTAATGTGCTTCAAATTTTTAGGTAAAATAGTTCTTATCCTTTAACCACACATTGTTTTCATATTTCCAACATTCTACCTCCAAAGAAGGCTACAAAAACATTATTACTGATCCCATAAACAAACATTGCTATGGTTCTTTTATGAACAATCCTGATATTATTTATTTTTCAATCTAAAAATGAAATTACTCATCCATCTTATACATAAATAATTCATATATAGATAATACAATTAATCTATTCTTAAAGAATTACATAAAACATTCCTACTCAACCTTTATACTCTAATACTTAGTCCATAAATGATTTAATCTTTTTGATAAAATTATATGTGATTTTACTTTTGCTGCCATCACACTATCATTTTCATTAAATTAAGCAACACTTGCATCCAATTACAATGATTATACACGATTTAATTTTGTTTATAGTTAATTGTATTCCCAAAGTATGATTGTTTTCAAATGATTAACCATTATAATGTTTCCACATAAATTTATTTACAAAAAACTGCTATGAGAATATAATTTTAAACTCTATTGGAATGTCCAATTACTATTACAACGTCGATTCCATATCTATATTCTTTATTCATATCTTTGATCAACTTGTAAAAGAAAAAACCTACGACCATTTCCATTTAATTGCAAATTATAATCAATTTGTTAGATTACTGTTGTTTAGGGAATCAATCTCAATATCGACGTTCTTATCCAATTCTCCTATATCAATTGATATGTTATTATTTCACCATTACAAAACACCAACACAATCTAACCCTAATAATCAGTTGCTAATTACACCTATCATAATTAATATATAAACACATTTCCAAAGTATTCACAAATTTGTTGCTAATTGAAAAAATTATTTTAAAACAAGGCCTCATTCATTTATATTTATTCGAGTAATCTAAATGAAAAATTGTATTATTAATAATAATCTAAATGGGAAACCTTATTTCAAATGATCAATTTAAAACTAATCTTAAAGAATTAATGGAAAATAAGAAAATCAAGAAAACCCTCAAAATTATTTACAAAGAAAAGCAAGGTCAATTATTAAGTATATAATCATGTGAAATTATAAAACACTTTCACACCATCTAACAACGTTTGGATTATAAAAATTACGATTTCTAGCACAATTGTAAAATAATCCTAGATATTGATGAGAAATAAAGAACATATAGAGAATGCAATGTGTGTAAAAAAAAAGTGAAACCAAATCGTAGTTATACCTTCTGTTCTAATTGTAAATAATCCACATAAATCACACATTCTTTCTGTTCAGTAGTTAAACTTATAGATGCAAATTCTTTATAGAATTAAGATTCTTATAAAGCAATCATGTTTGAAGTTGCTCAAAATTTTTTAAGTAAAATATTTTATCTTAAATCAAAGATGTTTCAGCTAAAGAGTTTGATTCATGGAGTTCTGAAAGTCAAAATGATCATTATCAAAAAATTAATTAATAGAAATCTCATATAACCTATTTACTTTTATTGTAATACAAACCAGAAAGAGAAAATTTCGTGATTAAATAAATTATACAGAATGAAAATAATTCAGACTAAATTTCCTGATCCTTTATTTTTATTAAATATTATATTATAACAGTTTTATATCAAATGTTATAAAATCATGCTTTAGCAATTCTTCCATTTAAGAAATCTAAAAATGGTGGAGTTTAAACCACTTATAATGCTTTTGCAAGAACTGCTAATTCTTATTAAACAGATGACTATTATTAAATAATATTAAATGATTTACCACAATATCATCATGAATTTTAAGATTGGCTGAATAATTATTGTTTTCAGTTCTTAATCTATCTTAATAAGCTTTAAGATCAGCTTCTCTAGTTGAAATCATAGTTTCAACATCAGAAATTCTAACTAAATAAAATAAATTAAAATGTTATACCTGTTTTATCTTCTCTTTCTTAATAGAAATCAGCATATTATTAATCAAAAACAGCCTTTTCAGCAGTTAATTATTATCTTCTTAATTCATCTTATTATTTTTGACTATCTTCATCTTTATAAGCTTTAGTTAAAGCATCAAAAATATTTAATCTTAAACTATTTAAGAAATCACACATTTCTTTTAAAACTTATCTATCTTTGAAATTGAATCCTTCTGTTAGATTAGTTAATGCTTAGATAAATGAAGAATATTAATGACCGAAATTTTCAGTATTAGCTTTGACTTATCTTAATGCTTTATTAACTTTATGTTTTTATTCATCAGTAACTTCAATGAATGCAGCTCTAACTTCTCCACTTTTGAATAAATCGGTTAATAAATCTAATGCTTCATCAATATTTCTTAAAGCATCTGTAAATTCAGTAGTTGTTAATACAAATGAATCATGTTAAGTATTTCTAGCAGCTTCAGCTTCTTTAAATGATTAAGCATTATCTGTTTATTTAGCTTTAAGACCTAATAAAATCTATAATAAATATTAGATTATAATATACATCATCTAATTCATGAAGTCTTGGAATTAATTCACTATTTAATACTTTCTTTTCTCTATTGATATCAAATTCAGCTTAATTAGCTTATGAACTAAGTGAAATAACTTTAGCATTATGTTCACTTTCAACAACTTCCCATTAGGTATTTTCTAATTTCAATCTCTCTTCAATTTATCTACCAAAAGCTTTAACTCCTTCAACTAATGAATCAACAGCTCCAGTAACTCTCATCGTAACTTCAGCTAAATCAATTACCATATGTCCAATCTTTGATTATGTTAATTCATCTATTTAAGATTACAGACCTGGATTTACATATGAATCCATTACTCCTTAATTACTATATTAGTTAACATATAAATATCTTACTTTGTAACTGTAGTTGCTGAAACTAAGTACAATAACATCACTACACTATATAATCTTTTCATTTAATTCGTTTTTGTAATTAATGAATAAAATAAATTTTCATTAGCAAAAATTCAATTTAATTAAGTTTTGTTTGAACGTTCAATAAATCACAGATTTCAATGTCTGTCCACTTATTGCTGTGAAACTTTTTCTTTTTACAATTAATCTTAAATTTAGACTTGAACTTTAAAGTAATTATAAATCTAACATTCAAATAATGCTATCATTAACATCTTTGCTAATAAAGAATATTTAAGAATCTAATTTTAAATTATCATTCTGCAAACCTTTTATTCAAATTAAATTAATTTTTTCCTATTCATTTTCCTCTAGAATCTACATTACTTCTTATTATTGATTATTAATCATTAATAGTTAACTCAGACTTGCTTTATCTTTTTATTGATCAATTAATTGAATATTATTAACTGTTTATTTAATTTCTAATTTTCACTCAGAATTTGATTAGATTGAATAATTATTAATATGAATATTTTAAAGATCAAATAAGGCTATTAAATGCTTTTTCAAATTTAAAAAACTCTATATTTTAAGTTATCTAATTTGTAGGTTAAATTATTATACCAGGATAAAAGACTGTAAAAAATATATAGAATTGAATGGAGAAAGCATAAAATCTATAGCTAATATTATTTTAGATCACTTTTTCAATCTATCTTTTTAATTTTAGGAACTTTAGGGTAGAGAAACAAAGACAAGTTATTAAATGTAATATTTTGATAATAATTAGTTGGTTTTGCGTTTTATATAAACAAAGCTTTTGTAACAAGAAACATAAAAATCATTTGAGGCAACTAGTTACTAAATGAGGTTTTGAAAATTCAAAAAAATAAAATTGTATTGCATTAATAATTCATAACAAAAATTTATTTTAGCTTATGTCGAATAAGTAAATTAATGATGAGAATTGAGGATTGAAAAATATTCTAAGATTTTGAATTTAATTAATTAATAAGGATGTGTTACTAGAACTACTTGTGCAGCTGCAACTATTTAAGCTGCTTGTGTGAAAAATAGTTCAGGTGGGGATTGTTATTGGACTGGAACAGCTTGTGTTGATAAAACTTGTGCAAATGCACCACTTACTATGACTACAAATACAGCTTGTGGTGGATTTGTTCAAGATTGTATTACTAAAACTGGAGGAGGTTGTGTTGCTAATGGTGCTTGTTCTGCTGCTACTCTTCCAGCAGCTTGTGTTAAGAACAAAGACAAAGTTGATTGTATTTGGGATACTACTTGTAAAGAAAAGACTTGTGCTAACGCTCCAATTACAAATAACACTCATGAATTATGTACATCTTATTTACCAACATGTACTGTTAAAACTGGAGGTGGATGCTAACCTAGAATTTGCTCAAATGCTCCACCATCATTAACTACTAATGAAGCATGTGAAGCTTATTTAACTGGATATAATTGTATTACAAAGACTGGAGGTGGATGTGTAACAAATACAACATGTGCAGCNGATAAATATTAGATTATAATATACATCATCTAATTCATGAAGTCTTGGAATTAATTCACTATTTAATACTTTCTTTTCTCTATTGATATCAAATTCAGCTTAATTAGCTTATGAACTAAGTGAAATAACTTTAGCATTATGTTCACTTTCAACAACTTCCCATTAGGTATTTTCTAATTTCAATCTCTCTTCAATTTATCTACCAAAAGCTTTAACTCCTTCAACTAATGAATCAACAGCTCCAGTAACTCTCATCGTAACTTCAGCTAAATCAATTACCATATGTCCAATCTTTGATTATGTTAATTCATCTATTTAAGATTACAGACCTGGATTTACATATGAATCCATTACTCCTTAATTACTATATTAGTTAACATATAAATATCTTACTTTGTAACTGTAGTTGCTGAAACTAAGTACAATAACATCACTACACTATATAATCTTTTCATTTAATTCGTTTTTGTAATTAATGAATAAAATAAATTTTCATTAGCAAAAATTCAATTTAATTAAGTTTTGTTTGAACGTTCAATAAATCACAGATTTCAATGTCTGTCCACTTATTGCTGTGAAACTTTTTCTTTTTACAATTAATCTTAAATTTAGACTTGAACTTTAAAGTAATTATAAATCTAACATTCAAATAATGCTATCATTAACATCTTTGCTAATAAAGAATATTTAAGAATCTAATTTTAAATTATCATTCTGCAAACCTTTTATTCAAATTAAATTAATTTTTTCCTATTCATTTTCCTCTAGAATCTACATTACTTCTTATTATTGATTATTAATCATTAATAGTTAACTCAGACTTGCTTTATCTTTTTATTGATCAATTAATTGAATATTATTAACTGTTTATTTAATTTCTAATTTTCACTCAGAATTTGATTAGATTGAATAATTATTAATATGAATATTTTAAAGATCAAATAAGGCTATTAAATGCTTTTTCAAATTTAAAAAACTCTATATTTTAAGTTATCTAATTTGTAGGTTAAATTATTATACCAGGATAAAAGACTGTAAAAAATATATAGAATTGAATGGAGAAAGCATAAAATCTATAGCTAATATTATTTTAGATCACTTTTTCAATCTATCTTTTTAATTTTAGGAACTTTAGGGTAGAGAAACAAAGACAAGTTATTAAATGTAATATTTTGATAATAATTAGTTGGTTTTGCGTTTTATATAAACAAAGCTTTTGTAACAAGAAACATAAAAATCATTTGAGGCAACTAGTTACTAAATGAGGTTTTGAAAATTCAAAAAAATAAAATTGTATTGCATTAATAATTCATAACAAAAATTTATTTTAGCTTATGTCGAATAAGTAAATTAATGATGAGAATTGAGGATTGAAAAATATTCTAAGATTTTGAATTTAATTAATTAATAAGGATGTGTTACTAGAACTACTTGTGCAGCTGCAACTATTTAAGCTGCTTGTGTGAAAAATAGTTCAGGTGGGGATTGTTATTGGACTGGAACAGCTTGTGTTGATAAAACTTGTGCAAATGCACCACTTACTATGACTACAAATACAGCTTGTGGTGGATTTGTTCAAGATTGTATTACTAAAACTGGAGGAGGTTGTGTTGCTAATGGTGCTTGTTCTGCTGCTACTCTTCCAGCAGCTTGTGTTAAGAACAAAGACAAAGTTGATTGTATTTGGGATACTACTTGTAAAGAAAAGACTTGTGCTAACGCTCCAATTACAAATAACACTCATGAATTATGTACATCTTATTTACCAACATGTACTGTTAAAACTGGAGGTGGATGCTAACCTAGAATTTGCTCAAATGCTCCACCATCATTAACTACTAATGAAGCATGTGAAGCTTATTTAACTGGATATAATTGTATTACAAAGACTGGAGGTGGATGTGTAACAAATACAACATGTGCAGCTATTACTATAAAAGCTGCTTGCATTAAGAATTCAAGTGCATAACCTTGTTTTTATGATGATGATAGTTCAAGCTGTAAAGATAAAATATGTGTTAATGCACCATCAATTAGCGCTACTCATGAATTATGTTAAACGTTTTTAAATACATTTATGTATTAGGAAAGGAACTTGTTATAAAAAATAATGTATTTTAGCATCATCGGCTAAATGTTAAGAATATAAATCTACATGCTAAGCTTTTGCAGGCACAGAAGCTGCTTGCACTATTTCAACATAAGTAAATGTTATTTGAATTGTTCTGATTGTGTTCGTTTTACTAATTGTGCATCAATAAAAGGAATAGGATTAAATGATGAAATTTCTGACACATATCACAACTTATGTAATTCTAACAGTACAGGAACAGCTTCTTAAGAAAAAGCATTGTATTTGGACTGGTTCAACATGTAAAAGAGTAGAATTTATTGATTCTGAATGTTCTTTAGTTACAGGAGTAGGATTATCTGATAATATTAGTATACTATTTCATTCAGTTTGAACTGTAAATAGATGAAACAGCTTATTAAGAAAGAAAAACTCTTTGTACTGAATATGGTACAGATTAATAAACTTGTACTTGCAATCAAAGTTTTAAATATTTTTTGTGTATTTTGACTGCCAATACATGTGTTGATTTTATAGATACTGCTACTACATCGTGCTCTTAAATCAAGAGGAAAGGGATTGGCTGATTAAGATTGTAGAAGGTATGACTGTAATTATACCAATCTTTTAGATGGTAGTGGATGTTAAGAGTTAAAAGTAGTATGTAAAGAATACAATACTTAATATAAATATACAACATAAAGGGATGACAAACGTTGTATCTTGTATTAAAATTCTTGTTATTTAATTGCAGCTTTATCCTATACCAGGCTATTTTAATACATGCAATAACACTTGCCATATATAACAACCCATGCTTCATATTGTTCAAAAATAAAAGGAACTAATTTAACTTATGCTATATGTTAATCATATAATATGCAATATGTGAAGCTGTATTCTTAGGTTATGGTAATTATAATATTACTAATTGTAATGAAATGAAAGCAGGATGTATCTTAGCTAATGGAGGAATAGCTTGGACAACTAAGACTTGAACAAATGATGTAGGAATTAAATAATCATGCTAATTGTAAAAGTTGGAATACTTATTGTTCTGTGAATAGTGGAAATAATGGATGTGAAACAATGAAACCAATGTGCTCTAAATAAGCTTCTGCTAACTGTCTTGAAGGAAAATTTATTGTTATAAATTCTGCTTGCATAAAAAAAACATGCGATACTGCTGCTGTAAGTACTATTTTTGATACAGATGAAAAATGTTCAACTTATTAATAGTAATACGTTGTTGCAAGAAAAGTGGGTTGTTAAGCAAGAGCTGCTTGTACTTTTTACAGATCTTAACTTTAATGTGAATACAAATGTTTTTGGGACCAAACAAATAAAACTTGTGTTGATTTGAATTGTGGAAATATTGAAGCAACATCTTCTTTTGATTCTCATAATAAATGTGTTACTGTTGATACAACTCTTGCATGCACAGTCAGAGCTACAAATGGTACTGCAATTGCTGGCTGTATGTTTAAATGGTATTGTTTGTATTCCAAAAGCTAACTGCTCAATATATAAAACTAAAAAAGCATGCAATTCAGGTGGATTAGATGATATTTGCGTATTCACTTAATCAACTGCTACTGGAGCTGCTGTTGATATTGGAATTTGCTCTTTAATGATTTAATGTTAATGTACTGCTGCTAATAATGATTAAACTGTATGCTAAGCTGCGGAACTGCTATTCTTAGTAAATGTGCAAATCTCTTTTTACTACTAATTAAGCTATTAATGAACATTTACAAGATTCTTAAATTGGGATTAAAAGATTTAGTAAATTTGTACTCCTCTTAATGCTAATTGTACTTCAACAGATTTAGATATTAATTTATTTTAAAATCAAATTATTAAATTAACAAAATTTTTAAGATTTTGGTTTTCAACATTTTCATCAGATTATGTACCTTAATTAAGTATAAAAAATATTCATTTTATTATAATTTTTTTTTTTAATATTATGATCTTCGATTAGGTAATTCAAAGAAAAATAATCAACACACAGTCTTAAATAAATAATTAAGGAAAAAGAAGTTGAATTATTATCAAAAAAGTTATTCTTGTTAATTTTTCATTTAAAATATAATTATTCTACTAATTACATTGTTTTCTTTAAAAATTTGATAATTTGAAAGAAAATTTTTTAGTTGGAAATGCTTTTTCTTCGGCTTTTACATTTTTCACAAAATATTTGAGAAGAATTAGTTCTGTAATTATGTATTCTGGTAAATCATAAAACTTATTAGAATAGGTTGTTGGACATACTCCGTTCTTATTTCCGAAATTTAAATTTTCTCAAATTAATCAGTAAATTAAATAAGAACAAATTTATGAAAACAACAATATTTGGAAATTGATATTTTCATTTAGATATTAATACAAAAGTCCAGCTTATTTTTTAAGAATTATTCTGATGAAATATAATATATATTTCTTCTGAATCTAAGTTGATGAGGGATTTTTTATTATTAAATTCTATAATTCCAAGAATTTTTTATGAATATTCAATTCATGTATATGGTTTAATTCCTTGTTTAAGTAGAAAATAAATAACAAAATAGGTAATTATTAGTAATAATTTAACATTTATCTTAAAAAGATGACATAGGAGAAATCCTATTTAAGAACTTTAAAGATTGACATTAATTAAATTTATGTTTTATATATGAATTACAAAATGAGATGATTTCAAATTTACAAAGAATAAATGTATAAAAATAATGTTAATTTATTAAGAAGTAGAGAATCAAATTTTTGAATTATGTTTAGAATCATTCTTTTCAGCAAAATTTGTGTTATAAGATTGTTGAATATTTTAAATATTTCTCCCTAATAATTACTATTTTATATAGTTTCCATTAGATTTATTAATAAAGCGAATCTAAATCTCAAAACTTAAAGTTTTACAAGTGATTGAATAAAGTATAAATATGTAGATGAATTCATAATAATTGTTAAAATAGCTGAAATAATGTTGTAATTAAGTTGGAAGCAATTAATATTAAAGAATTATGTTTATAAATTTAGAAAAAGACTTAAAAAATTTATAAAAAAAGAGTTAGGAATATCAAGACATCACATAAAAATATCTAGTTGCTGATTCAGGAGTGAGAGTAATGAATGATGCTTTTAAATAAATATTGAATAAGAAAAAAAGTAATTAATAAATGATATGATAAGGCAAGCAATTTTTTTGTAAAAATTGTCCTAAGAAATTTTTATCATTTCCTGCATTGAAAGAACATGCTAAAAAGAATCATGGATTTTAACCATTATAAAATGGAGAGGCTAGAAAGAGAGGAAGACCAAGAAGAGATGTAATAAAGCCAAGTGATTAATTTATTGAATGGGAGAAAAATTAAGGATAGCAATAACCAAAACCAAAGAGACCATCATCTTTAATAACTTTAAGAATGGAATCAATTAAAGAGATGGGTTTTAGTGGATCATTACGTGTAAATAATAGAGATTAAATTAGCAGCCTAATTTATAAGTACATACTTCAATAAAAGATGCAATAACAAGTTTAATAAATAAATTAGAGCATTAATTAGAAGAGAATTATATATTGATTGGACTTGAAGAGATGAATAAGTATTATGAGGAAGATTAGGAATTTTATTTGGAGAAAAATTATAATGTTAGTTAATTATTGGTTTCATTTCTAATAAATTTATCAATGCAAGTAAATGATGAATTATTAAGAGTATTCATCACTTTTACGAAAGCTATTTATTTTTTTATTGATAATTTTGCAAGAGATATTTTATTTAAATAATTATCTCCAGAGGAATATGGAGTAATTTATATTAAATATATACATATATAGTTGATTCCACCAATATGTCCAAATAAGAAATTTCATGAATTAATGACAATATAGACATTTCCTTTAATTTTGAATGACTTTTTAGAATTTTTACCACACTTTTAAGAAGCATTTCCATTACCTTTTGCAGCAAGAGTACTTAAAGAAATTTGTGATTGGAGCACAGCAGAATGTAATGGATTTAAAGTATATTTTAATCTTTGAAATTATATATTATGAATTATTCAAGAATCAAGTTTACTTTTTATGAGGGAGAATGACTTTTTATTGATTCTAAACCATAATTTTTTTTGTAAAGATTGAGAGTTCATCTAAGCTTTTTTTAGAGATTCCTTCAATAGATTATTTTGCATTCTTTCCTTTCGATAGTCTTTCACAACTTCTTTATTCTTCAATAGTTGTAGTATTGAGAGATTTTCTAAGTAATATTTTCTTAATAAGTCTTTCTATATTTTGATTATTGTTATCAATCTCTTCAATTATTGTAAGACATATCTTAGCAGATAAACGAATTTACGGATCATTTTCAAGCATATATGGTAATAAGATAAATAATTATTCCATTTTCATTGAATTAACTTCAGGATGTTAAGGTTGCTTTTTCAATTCGAAAAATCCTTCTTTGTTAACTTAATAAATAGTTAATTTAGCTGATTTATTACTAAAAAGATTTTCTCCTGTTAATCTAATAAATATTAATCAAATTTTTTTACAGTTTATAAAGTAGACATCCAAGACTATAGATATCAGCTTTTTCATCATATTATTTATCTTTATTATAATTGATTATTTCTGGTGCCATGTAACCAGGTGTGCCTGATGTTGGAAAATTCAGTTGGTTTTTTATTTTCCTTGCCAAGCCAAAATCTATTAACTTTACTGTATCAGCTTTCATTATATTGAGAGGATTGATATCACGATGCATTACACCTTTATCATGTATGTAGGAAATGGCCTCCAAGAGTTCCTAAAAATATATTAGAAAGTAATTTACTCTCATAATTTTGATGGTTTCTGTAATGGATAACCCATATTACCTGCTAGAGAGCTCAGAATATAAGGTTCTACCATTGATATATTCCATGATAATGTAATAATATTAATTGTCAGCATAAGTTTCTTTGAGTTTGACTATGTTTGGATGTGATAGTGTAGATAAGAGAGATAGTTCATGAACTAATTATGGCTAATAAATTTAATAATGATGAATATTGTTACTATTCCACCTTCATGTTGAGCTATCTTTAATTTATCTATTTTTTTAATGGCATAGTATAAATTGGAATTGTCTGCAGCAACACATCTGTAAACTGATCCTGTCATACCACTTCCCATTTCCATTTAGAATTGATAAAAAGAATGAATTGGCTGATAAAATATTTTACCAGCAATCATTTCCTTTAATAAATTTAGTTTGGGTCCATAAACTATCTTATATCCATTATTATATGAAAATTCGAAACCTATTATACGTTTTTCTTCAAGAATCCACTTTATGGTTGTAGTAAGATTCATCTTAAGATTGTATTTAGGTTATTTGGTGATGTCCTAATTGATTAAAAAGTGTAATATACATCAGTCATAACAAGTTCATCAGGGAACAAATATAAAGAATAGTTTTTGTCTTTAAAGAAATGCTTCCTGATTACTTGAACAGTGAATAGAGCATTCTCATAAGATAACATAATTATATTAATTCATACGAAATCATTATTCTTTTCTTAAGTTGATGATTCAAAATTTACAATCTCTTTATAAAAAAAATACCAACTACAACCCTTAAACCATTTAGAACATTTATTTTATAAACGACTACAAAGATATTTGCATTTATCATAATTTTTAATTTCTTTTTTTATTGATTTTACAATCTTTTCCTATTAAGGATTATCAAATTTCTCTTCTTCAGACAAAAATACAATTACAAAATGTATTAACCATATCTATATTAATCTCTCCTCTTTCAATTCAGATAAAATTTAATTCAATTCCATTCTTAGACATCCTAAATTAATCATCATTTATTCTTAAAATGTGCTATAATTTCTGTCATCTTTTTTATGTTCAAAATAACCTGAATATATTTCATATTCATCAATAATATCATACATTTTCATCCAAATAACAAAAGTATCTACTATATGATTTAAACATTTTAATGCCTATATTATATTTTATTCTTTCAAATATTCTTAAATGTATTTCTCATAATTATTCATATCCTTTATCCAATAAAAACGGTTGAAAAATCTTCCATCAATATTAGGTTCTTTATAATTTATAAACTCAAATTATCCATAAGATTTGCACATCTCTTAATCAAGTATCCTAAATATCTTATCATCTCTTTTTATGTTTTCTTTTTCATTTATTATTAAATGATCACATTCTACATTCTCTAAAATCTAAGTATTCAAAACATCTAATAATTCTTTAGTTAATTCTTCTTACCCAAATTCAGAAAAATCAAATTTATTAACAACTTTTTCCTTACTTTTATTTTAATTACATCCCTAATTCTATGGAAACAACCTTTAATCCCAAGATACAAAATAAGTATTCATACATTATTCATTATTTATGTATTATTTATTTGAAAATATGATACAATTAATATATTCATCGTATAATTTCCTATCTCCGTGCCTACTCATAATATCTTTACCTGATAAACCATAAACTTTTAATATCATTTTCTAACCCAAAACACAATCACCTATTATTATTAACTCTCCTTCTAAATAACACAATTTATCTGTTGGTTTACTTATACATATTACTTCTAATCACCATTTTAATATAATTTATTACCTCCATCATTTAAAATTCCATAATTATCTACAACACCAAATAGTCTTTCTGCTTTATCAACTAAAATATTATACTTTGATTTTATTTATTATATCTCTAATAACTTTAATTTCTAACACACCTTCTTCATAAACAAACTATTATTTTCATCTAAATAATTATTCTTCATAATATTCATTATTTCTATTATTGGCAATATACCATAAAGTTCACTCTTTTAATCTAATGACAAGATTCGTTATATTTATTAGATTTATATTTATTTTAAATGCCCTATATTATTAGATCAATAAAATTTACATTACAATAATTCAACAAAGACTGTTTCCTTAATTCCATTCTCTATCAAAATTTCTATTATTCTACTATTTAAATTAGCTCCTCTTAATTTATTATAATCAATCACTGAGATTATACTATTAAAATCATATAATTTAGTGTTTGATAAATCTAATTAAATTCTATCATCTTTTAATTTATTGTTCAGTTATAAAATGTATTATATTCCATCAAAAATAATTTAAATAACAGAAATCTCCTTGTTATTTAATTTTTCTCTAATCATACTAATTAAATTTCTAGAAATCTATCCAAAATGATTGGATTATTTGCTGATCTAATCATTATGTTCTATTACAACTTATTTGAATTCCATTTATTAACCATTCAAAAAAAAATTGCCAAAATTTTATCTGCTTTGAGTCAAATTTTTTAAAATTGAAAAACCATATTTAAATTTACTCAATAAAAAATTACTATCTTTTTGATCCTCTTTAATCATCCAAAAAATATCTTGTCTTAATTCTGTATAATTCCAACCAAGTAATTAAAATTTTTCTTTAAATAGCTCAATACCTTCTTTCAATTTGACTTTAATTAATTATCCAGTCATAGATTTATTTTTATCTATCTAATTTCCATCATCATCATATATGATTACTTTTAGAAACTTTTGATAATCAAATAAATTTATTATCAATTTTGCTTTTTCAAAAGATCTTATCATTGGTACAAAACCTGTAGGTGTTAATTTTATATTTTTTATTAAAATAGGTTTGTTGTATTTATTGTTTTCTTAAAATCGTGAAATTGAGGTCTTAAGTTCTCTTTTAAAAATAGAAAGATTTCTATTATTTAAATCAGAAATCCTAATAGAATTTCTTAAATTTTCACTGAATCTCATAAATTATTGGAAAGTTTAATCTAAGATAGCATTATTTTACTATTCATCATTGTTTTTTAAATGTTTTCCAATTGAAATCAATATTGATTTTAAATGATGGCTATCATTGATACGATTTTCAGTGATTAAGCAAATGAAATTGTATTTTTATTCAAAATTTAGCTGACTCTTATTTAATTCTTAGGTTAAAATATCAAATTTAGTGTTTCTAATAAATTAAAAGACATATTGTAGTTCATTATGATAAAGTAATTTCATATGGCTTAGTCTTAATAATATACTATTAAAAATAATTACTTCATGAGGTAACTTTAAATTATTGAATTAAATTTCTATAATAGTGTTATTTAATATGATATATTTTTCTAAAATATTTTAGTTTTTTTCAAAATATGAATTTAAAAAGATATTCTGTATTCTATGCCATGGAATCTATATATTAAAAAATTCTATTGTTTAATTATTATATAATGCTGCACTACACAGAGGAGTATGATTTAATTTAAAATACATTTAAATTTTATTATTGTTTTACATTATATGACAGTATTAGCAATTCTTTAATTTGAATTCAATTTTCAATTTAATTATTGCTACTATATTGATGAGAATTATTATATTTGCTTCTTCTTAAGATTAACAATGATCATAAGTCAAACAAGTTTCTATCTGTAATCTATTTAGGTCTTTGTATAAAAAATAAGGTGTTAGAAACAATTTAATAGGTCTGTTGTTTGGTATATTTAAATTCAATTCTTTAAGATCTTCTGGAGTAATGTAAAAGAAATTCATTTCTGTTACTTTTATAAACTTATTAAACTCATTTTAAAAAGATTCTTTATTATTATTATTTATAATTTCTGCTTTTTAAAAATTAAGTATTACAGGTTCTGAATTAGGTAGTAAATTAATTGAAAAGTTATTTAGATTTAGTAAATCTGCCTATTTAAGTTTAAATATAATTATAATTTGATTGTTATACTATTAATATATTTCTTCTTAGTTAATACTTACATTATCAAATTCATCAATACTTTATTCAGATTGGCATGTTAATAATAAACTAAGCTTTTAAATTATATTATCGATTTGATTTTCTTCAATTTAATTGTTATTTGATGATTCATAATCTAAATTATTTTTTTACTCAATTTTAGAGTTATTGAAGCCATCAACTAAACATTCTTATTTGATTAATTAAGTTGATTTATCAAAAAATAAAGTCTATAAAAAGGGCACATTAGAATAATTATTATAATTTCCATCTCCTTAGACTTATTAAGAATTTAAGTTATTTTCAACTTATTTTAATTCAACTTTATAAATCTAAATTGTTATGAAATGTATGTACATATATTTGATGATTAGGTAAAAATTAATTTAAAGTTAATAAAACTTTTTCATAGATTATTGAAGCTGTCAAGCATAACATTAACTTTTTGGTTATATTTTCAAGGCGGCAACTTATAAAATATTGTTGATCATCGCAATATTATTTTATAGGAATTGGATCCTGAATTATAAGAAAATAGAAATTACAATAATCACTGATTGATTTTAGTTCATTTATTTAATTAATAATATAAAAAAGTAAATTATATATGCAACTAATAGCATGTTAAAGATTATAAATAATAATCCTTATTTGTAATTAAATTAATTTAGTTTCTGAAATCAAATGTATCAAGCTCTGATTTCAATTAATTATATACAAGAAAACTTAAACTGAATATAATTTAGCACAAATTGATTTTGGTAATTCTTCTAATATTTATTAGATCTTAAGAAAATGGTAATGTGCAACCATTATCATTTAGTATTAAGTATATTTAGAAAGCTAATTACTTAAATTTTTTGGTTAGTTTATAAATAATGGATTAATTCTTTCATTTTTGAGAATTTTTAATGTTTAACCAATTTCTGAATTATATTCGAAAAGTCGATCAATTTGGGGTTGTCTTCTAACCTAAAATAAAATACTGTACAAATGAGTACAAAACAACTGTTGGTGGGATAATGTCAATTATTCTTTATGGATTGAGTTTAGGATATTTAATTTATAGCTTTGTTTAGTATGGACAAGGGTCTATTCTTCCAAAAATTACTACAATTTAAGCCAAAGCAGACCAATAGAGCATATCTTTTGAGAATGAAATAATGTCATTTAAGCTCAGGCCTGGATAAGATAATTAAATAAATCCATTTGATCCAACGGCTCTAATTCTTGTACCCCTTGTGCTTCCATTTTTGAATAGTGAAATACCAGACAGTTAATATTTAAACTCAGAATAAATCTAATTTTAGGGAAATACTATCTCTGTGAAGAATTTGAAATTATATTATGGTAATCCTTAAGAAGATGAAATGGAACAAATTATTGCATTTGTAGGATGTAAATAAGAATAGATACCACCACCTTTTGTTTGTGCAAATGATACTCTTAAGAATAAATTCTTTACTTAATCTAGTAATGCTATGATAGCAACGACTTAAGTAAATTAATTCAATACAGATAAAAGAAGTTTGGAGTAAGTAGGTAAAGAGTAGGTTTTGGCAATTGTAGATGATTCAACATATTTTTAAACAACAAATTTAAATATTTAAGAATCATCTGTTGATACCGGATTTTTATTGGAATCAACTTAATAATTTGTTTATGCAACAGATTATTATTTAACCAGTTAATAAATTAATTAATAGTATTTTAGAAATACATTTTACTATGACGCATACTTGGTATTTTAATTGAGAATAGGTAAATTGAAATATTATTAGACTATTTAATATCCTAAAATTAGTGAAATTTTAGCTGATGCAGGCTCTATTGCATCTACTATATTATTATTATCCTATTTTGTAATCCTTTGTAATTAAACACTTTTAGAGAGCCAATCTTTGGATGATATTATTTCAATCTATTATCCTTCATATAAGGAACTTTAAATTAAAAAGACTTTTTATGGTTAAATTCAAGAAGTGATTTATAAGGGAAAAAAATAAGATTTAGAATAATTTAAGTTATATCACAAAGAATTAAAAGATAAAGCTGAAAAGAAATTAACTATATTAAATTAGGTATATGAGATATCAAGATTATAATTTTTGGTTTAAAACATATTGAAATCTAAGGAATAATTTAGACTGAGTCATAAAATTGGAATTAAATTAAAGTAATTTGATATATCAAAATAAATTAATGAAGAAAATTTAAATGGAAATTAGATTGTAATTTATACATTATATATCAGATACCTCAATCAAATTTGAATAATTCAGTTTCGAAATTAGTTATTATAGATAGTCAGAGTGATTCATTATAAAATCTTCAGGTATATAAAATAATAAAATTATAAAGAAACAATAATAGCAGAATACGATTGAGGAATCTAATGATGAAAATTAATTAAATGATGAGGATTTTGAAATTCTAATTTAACCATAAGAATTGGAAGAATGACAAAGAAATAATTAGTATAATATATCATATATAATATATAATAAATTATATAATATATACACATGTCCACTTTATAGTATGTGAAGGAAATCATAAGTAAATAGATTTCAACGTATTAAAATCCAAGTGGTGAAGATAAAAAGGCATTAGGTGAATATAAATAAAATTTATGATTTTAGAATCTGAACCATACCATAATTTACAAAAGTCAAGTGTATTACTAGAATCTAGGTGTTTTAATGATCCGTAATTATAAGATAAGAAATGTAGATAAATACTTTCAAAATTGATATATTTAATTAACTAAGTAATTTTTAGTTTTGATATATTAATGTTAGGGTGAGAAATTTAATGATTAAGAATCTTTAAGTTTATTTTTTGGAATAACAAAATTATTTTCTTCAAATAATGTTGATTTGAGAAGAATGATTTATTTAATGATAAAAGTATAACTTTGATTAAATTGTAGGAATTTAAAGATGAGAATTCAATGTATGTAGTAATAAGTTGTTTAGCAAAAGATATTACATCAAAGAATGATTTATTTAGAATAAATGCTTTGCGTACATTGCCTTATGTTCTTGATTAATCAAATTTAGTATAATTAGATAGATATTTGAAGAATGTAATAAAGAGATTTTAATAAATAAGGCAATTTTAGAGAAGAGTCAACCAATATCAAGTGCAGCATTGATAGCTGGATTATAGATTTTTAGAATAAGTAGTGATTTTATAAGAAAATGGACAAATGAGGTTGCTGATAGACTGAATTCTAAATATCCATAAAATAGTTTTCATGCATTAATATTACTTCATGAAATAAAAAGTAATGACAAAGTTACATTTACTAAAATATTGACTGGATTGACAAAAGAGACTCTTGTTCCTATTGCAAATATGTAAGTAATACGATTCATAAGAGAGATTCTTAATAGTGATGAATTGGATCAATAATATGAAAAAGTGTTTACTGAATATTTATTAAGATAAATACATAAGTCTTAGGAAATTGTGATATTCGAAGCTTGTAAAGCATTATGTGATTTAAAGTGTCTTTCAAATAAAGATCTTTAACCAATGGTTTAAGTAGTGACTCTCTTTTTATCATCAAATAATGTGATTAATAAGTTTGTGGCATTGAAAATATTAAACAGATTAATTTCAAATCCAATTAGAAGATCACTTATATCATCATCATAAATTGAACCATTAATTTAAGATTCAAATAAATCATTATCTTCTTTAGCAGTTTCAATATTATTGAAGGTTTGTTAAGAGACAAATATTGAGAGATTATTAAATCAAATATTTGAATATTTAAATGATATGAGTGATGAATTTAAAATTGATGTACTCAGAAGTGTTAAAGCATTAGCAAAGAATTCACCAAACAAATGGAAACCAATAATTCATTTTCTTTAATAAACATTTAAATGTGAAGCCTCATAAGAATTTAAAAAGTATTCAATTGAAATCTTTGAATTTATTATTCATGAAATTCCTGAAGCAAGAGAGACTGCAATTTTAGCATTAGCTGATTATATAGAAGATTGTTAACATAGTGCATTATAATTAAGTGTTTTGAGTATATTAAATAGAGAAGCATCAAAAAAATAATGTCCAACAAGAGTTATAAGAATTGTAAATAATAGACTTCATCTAGAAGATGCTGAAATTAGAGCTGCAGCTGTTGGTGTACTGGGTAAATTCTTACTTCATTATCCTAATGAGAAAGTTAATCTACTTGAATTATTATCAGCTTCTGCTTAAGATCCTGATGAAGAAGTTAGAAATCGTTCAAAATTCTATGTTAATGAATCAGCTGCACCAAAGGAAGAAAATACTCCATTATCGATAGAAGAATTAGATGCTATTGAAGCTTATTTATAATAAAATATTCAAGAAATTTAATAATCAAATGAAGAGATATTACAATTAGAAAAGATAATGGCATATGCGGAATAAAATAAAGGAAAGATTAAGAAGACAGAAGTATTATAAGAATTAGTAGAAGAGGAATTGATTTAAACTCATGAAGCTGAATCTGGATTTGAAACATATAAAAAATTATTTAAGGAAAGTACTATATTTTGTGATTATGGTGTTTTAAGAAAATCATCAAAAGCATTTAATTTAACTGATTCAAAATGTGAATATTTAGTGACAGTTGTTAAGCATTTTTTTGATAATCACATAATATTAGAATATAAAGTTAAGAACACTTTAGATAATGTTACATTAAATGACGTGTCTTTGGAATTGACTATAAAGAATCAAAATCTTTAATTTGAACGAATTGTACCAGCAAAATAAATTTAACCATAATGTGTATCAAATATATTAGTTGGTTTATAATTTAATCCAAATTTGAGATTAGTTTAATCTAACATTCAAAGTATATTGACATTTACTGTTAATGAAAATGGTACAAGTTATTAGGATGAATATTAAACTGAAGATTTTATGATCACATATAGTGACTTTTTCTTACCAATACAATGGTTTAAGTAAGAATATTATATAATTTTATTTAGAAAATTCTAAAATGAATGGGAATCACTAAAATAATAAGAGATGTCAGCTACATATTAATTGGATTATAAGAATACTGATATTGCTATAAAAGAATTAGTAAAGCATTTTGGTATGAATTTATCAATTAGTAAATGTAGGATTTTAAGTTTGTGATAATTCTGATCAAATATAAATTCAAAATAAGTTTCATACTTTATTACTGTCAGGGAAATATTTAGATAATAAAAATGCATTAGTGATTTGTTAAATTGGATTTTAATAAAATATAGGGTGTGTATTGAAAATAAAGAGTAAATCTGAGGATGATAATTTAAGTACAAATATTGTAGAAACCCTTGTTTGATATTATATTTAAATATATATATGTAAGATTTAAGGTTTAGATGGAAAACAAAAAATTAATGGGGAAAAAAAAGAATAATAAGGTAAAAATTTACACAATAGGAAATATTTTAAATATTTCAATGTTTATGGTGTTTCCTAAATAAAATAAAGAGATATTTTTACTTGTTATGCTTTCTAGATTTACTTCTATCTTTATCTTTATCTTTATCTTTTTTCTTTTTACTACTTTTTTTTTTACTTTTATCTCTTGAATTATCTCTACTTCTAGATCTTTCTTTTTCTTTTTTATCTTTAATAAGTTTTTCTTTATCTAATTATACATCTTTAGCAATATCTTCTTTAAATTCTTATTTTCTAGCTTCTTCATCTAAAATTTTTTCTAATTAAAGTCTTCTTGATTATAATTTTTATAATTCAACTCTGATAGTAGAAAATCCTTAATGAATTCTTCCATCTAGATGAGTTCTAATGATTATATATGTAATATACTTGACTTTATTTTCAGTTTCATAGAGAGATTACCTTGCTCCACATACTTCACATATTTTATAAGTTTTAAATGGATTATTAGTACCCTCATAAGCAAGTAATACATCTTCTCTAGCTTTTTTAAGATTATCTGCTTCCATAATTAATCTCTCAGATTCTTCAATCTTACCTTATTCTCCCATTTTTTCACTTTAATCTGTTAAAAGATTAATCTATCTTTCCATATTGTCAAGTCTATCTTGGATTTCTTTAGGTCGATCAGCTACTTATAGTTTGCTAGATTATTCAACTTATTCTTCATGTTTTGTTAAAATCTTGTCAACTTCCTTCAACTTATCTTGGATGTAAGCTAATATAATTATCAGGTTCATACAAAACCTATTGCCTCTTCAATATATTTCTTTTCTCTCTATTACTTCTTTATACTACGATCACAATAAAATTCATTAATAAAGAATTGATCATGTCTTTTACTACATTCTCCCTCATGATCATATTTAGTATGTTTCCATAAGTCATTAAAACACTTTGAAACCAAGATGTTTTTACATACATCTTCATTCCAATAGTGAGCATCATTCTTTCTCTTACTTGCTACTACATTTCTCTCCTTTCCAAATAATTCATCAAGGATATAACGAGAATCATCACACATTCTTTTAATAATATTTAAATTTCTTTTAATTACTTTCTATCTATTTATATATATTTCATTTCTTTCATTTATTCAACTATTTCATACTCCATATCTTAAAACAATTATATTTCAAATCTATATTCATTTATTACTACCAATCTAAATTAATATTTCATTTATTCTTCTACATATTCTCATTCTAAAACCAATATTTATTCATCATTTATTATCTATCTTTTACTCTCTAATCATACATTCCTATTAGACATTTAGATATAGATCATTCTCTAACAATTTTACCGAGCATCTATGCTATTTACTATATCTAAATATCTTTTAAAAACTATAATTATGTATTGATATCTCAAACTTCTAATTCATTTTTATTATTTAGAACATAAAGTTAAGTATTATACCATTAAACTATTATATACTTATTTTTAACATTTCTTTTTATTAATTTTATCTCTTTTAGAATAATACTTTTTATAAAATCTTTCAATATTCTCATCATAAACAATAACCATCTATTCTATTCTTTTTTGACCAAAAAGATTAATTAATTAATTATTATGATGTAACTGATTTAAAATCATAACCAAATTCCAATTTGATTTTATTTCCTATCACAATGTGAGATCATTTTTATTCATTAAAAATAAGTGATTGTTAGTCTTAATTAAAAGCTTGATTATTTTATAAATAAATAAAGTTTACAATTTCAATTAAATTCAATCAAATCCTTTGAAGTGATGATCCAACTATTTATGGCTTACAATATTTCTAATTAGATTGATCTACTAAAATTGGGTTCATGTATATTTTTTTTGCAAATAATGATTCATTTTTAAAATATCCTTATAATAATCAAATTCAGGAGGTAAAAATTTTTGTAATTCATTAACTTTTATCCTGAAGATTGGATATAATTAGAGATTTTCCATAAAAAGATTTCCCATCTCTAATATCTGTAATTCTATCTAGATATAAATTTGATTTGTATAGTTATAATTACCTAGAATTTTGAATTATCCTCATTTTTATTACAGCCTAAAAAATCTAAAAAAATCAAGGGCATTATAATCTATTTTGCATATCAGGTAATCTATTAAAAAAGTCCATTTAAGTTCCAAAATTAATATTTAACATTCATGATAAACTTAATAAGTAAAGTCTTAGAAAAACTCAGAAATGATTTTAAAGATAACATCTCACTTAATATGAATTCTTCAGTATCTATTTAAATTTACTTTAATCTCATTTACTTGGCTTTTTATAATTCTACAAATCTTAATTCAGAAATTATAGCAAAGTAAGAATTAGAAAAATGGCAACAATTAAATAATTATTTATGCAAGATTTGCAATTTCAAATATTGAAAACAGTTATATGTTTTATTTGAAATTGTGTACCCATAGATAAAGTTTATAATATTAATTGAAGATTGACCAGTACAATTGCCATTATGATTGTCCAATTTTTTATGTGATGATGAATATCCATGAATCTTATTACTAATATTATGATAATTATTCTAAAAATGTTTTTAATTATTCAACCATTTATTTATACGCTACTTATATAATAAATGTGAAAATGATTATCATTTAGAATATATAGACATTACTTTTAAAATGTATAAGAGATTGTAAATCTCCTATTTATACAAACAGAAGTATGTTGTCAAGAGGAGTTTAATTATCTAGTTGGTACCTAGACTATTGTTGAATCGATAAAATTGTCAACAAAAATTAAATTTATTATGATTAAACATTTTATGGTATCTAACTAATAACCTTCCTTATAAATCAAAACTATTATAAAGAATTTTTAATATCATAATAAAATCTTATAATTTAAAATTATAAAGATCTATTATTCAAAAATCTGATTTTTTATCGAATATTCTCATCAACATTTATTCTTTCATTTTCTGCTCTGCTTCAATATTCATCATCTATTATTTCTCATTCCCTGTTAATATTATGATATAATGATCCTTCTTAAAATTTTTATGAAGGATCAATATTTAATCTTTCTTAAAATAAAAGAATAAATTAATAGTTATTTAATATTCCATTATATCTTGAGTATTATTTTTATATCCTTTTATTTAATAATAGTATTCACATTCATTCTTTATAAACTTAAAAAATATTTTATAATATAAAAAACGAATTCATCTATGGTGCATCATAAGATTGTTCTCTTTGCCATAATTTGTTTAGTTTCAGCAACTACAGTTACAAAGTAAGATATTTATATGTTAACTAATATAGTAATTAAGGAGTAATGGATTCATATGTAAATCCAGGTCTGTAATCTTAAATAGATGAATTAACATAATCAAAGATTGGACATATGGTAATTGATTTAGCTGAAGTTACGATGAGAGTTACTGGAGCTGTTGATTCATTAGTTGAAGGAGTTAAAGCATTTGGTAGATAAATTGAAGAGAGATTGAAATTAGAAAATACCTAATGGGAAGTTGTTGAAAGTGAACATAATGCTAAAGTTATTTCACTTAGTTCATAAGCTAATTAAGCTGAATTTGATATCAATAGAGAAAAGAAAGTATTAAATAGTGAATTAATTCCAAGACTTCATGAATTAGATGATGTATATTATAATCTAATATTTATTATAGATTTTATTAGGTCTTAAAGCTAAATAAACAGATAATGCTTAATCATTTAAAGAAGCTGAAGCTGCTAGAAATACTTAACATGATTCATTTGTATTAACAACTACTGAATTTACAGATGCTTTAAGAAATATTGATGAAGCATTAGATTTATTAACCGATTTATTCAAAAGTGGAGAAGTTAGAGCTGCATTCATTGAAGTTACTGATGAATAAAAACATAAAGTTAATAAAGCATTAAGATAAGTCAAAGCTAATACTGAAAATTTCGGTCATTAATATTCTTCATTTATCTAAGCATTAACTAATCTAACAGAAGGATTCAATTTCAAAGATAGATAAGTTTTAAAAGAAATGTGTGATTTCTTAAATAGTTTAAGATTAAATATTTTTGATGCTTTAACTAAAGCTTATAAAGATGAAGATAGTCAAAAATAATAAGATGAATTAAGAAGATAATAATTAACTGCTGAAAAGGCTGTTTTTGATTAATAATATGCTGATTTCTATTAAGAAAGAGAAGATAAAACAGGTATAACATTTTAATTTATTTTATTTAGTTAGAATTTCTGATGTTGAAACTATGATTTCAACTAGAGAAGCTGATCTTAAAGCTTATTAAGATAGATTAAGAACTGAAAACAATAATTATTCAGCCAATCTTAAAATTCATGATGATATTGTGGTAAATCATTTAATATTATTTAATTATAGTCATCTGTTTAATAAGAATTAGCAGTTCTTGCAAAAGCATTATAAGTGGTTTAAACTCCACCATTTTTAGATTTCTTAAATGGAAGAATTGCTAAAGCNTTTTTGCTAATGAAAATTTATTTTATTCATTAATTACAAAAACGAATTAAATGAAAAGATTATATAGTGTAGTGATGTTATTGTACTTAGTTTCAGCAACTACAGTTACAAAGTAAGATATTTATATGTTAACTAATATAGTAATTAAGGAGTAATGGATTCATATGTAAATCCAGGTCTGTAATCTTAAATAGATGAATTAACATAATCAAAGATTGGACATATGGTAATTGATTTAGCTGAAGTTACGATGAGAGTTACTGGAGCTGTTGATTCATTAGTTGAAGGAGTTAAAGCTTTTGGTAGATAAATTGAAGAGAGATTGAAATTAGAAAATACCTAATGGGAAGTTGTTGAAAGTGAACATAATGCTAAAGTTATTTCACTTAGTTCATAAGCTAATTAAGCTGAATTTGATATCAATAGAGAAAAGAAAGTATTAAATAGTGAATTAATTCCAAGACTTCATGAATTAGATGATGTATATTATAATCTAATATTTATTATAGATTTTATTAGGTCTTAAAGCTAAATAAACAGATAATGCTTAATCATTTAAAGAAGCTGAAGCTGCTAGAAATACTTAACATGATTCATTTGTATTAACAACTACTGAATTTACAGATGCTTTAAGAAATATTGATGAAGCATTAGATTTATTAACCGATTTATTCAAAAGTGGAGAAGTTAGAGCTGCATTCATTGAAGTTACTGATGAATAAAAACATAAAGTTAATAAAGCATTAAGATAAGTCAAAGCTAATACTGAAAATTTCGGTCATTAATATTCTTCATTTATCTAAGCATTAACTAATCTAACAGAAGGATTCAATTTCAAAGATAGATAAGTTTTAAAAGAAATGTGTGATTTCTTAAATAGTTTAAGATTAAATATTTTTGATGCTTTAACTAAAGCTTATAAAGATGAAGATAGTCAAAAATAATAAGATGAATTAAGAAGATAATAATTAACTGCTGAAAAGGCTGTTTTTGATTAATAATATGCTGATTTCTATTAAGAAAGAGAAGATAAAACAGGTATAACATTTTAATTTATTTTATTTAGTTAGAATTTCTGATGTTGAAACTATGATTTCAACTAGAGAAGCTGATCTTAAAGCTTATTAAGATAGATTAAGAACTGAAAACAATAATTATTCAGCCAATCTTAAAATTCATGATGATATTGTGGTAAATCATTTAATATTATTTAATTATAGTCATCTGTTTAATAAGAATTAGCAGTTCTTGCAAAAGCATTATAAGTGGTTTAAACTCCACCATTTTTAGATTTCTTAAATGGAAGAATTGCTAAAGCNGAAAAAATTAATTTAATTTGAATAAAAGGTTTGCAGAATGATAATTTAAAATTAGATTCTTAAATATTCTTTATTAGCAAAGATGTTAATGATAGCATTATTTGAATGTTAGATTTATAATTACTTTAAAGTTCAAGTCTAAATTTAAGATTAATTGTAAAAAGAAAAAGTTTCACAGCAATAAGTGGACAGACATTGAAATCTGTGATTTATTGAACGTTCAAACAAAACTTAATTAAATTGAATTTTTGCTAATGAAAATTTATTTTATTCATTAATTACAAAAACGAATTAAATGAAAAGATTATATAGTGTAGTGATGTTATTGTACTTAGTTTCAGCAACTACAGTTACAAAGTAAGATATTTATATGTTAACTAATATAGTAATTAAGGAGTAATGGATTCATATGTAAATCCAGGTCTGTAATCTTAAATAGATGAATTAACATAATCAAAGATTGGACATATGGTAATTGATTTAGCTGAAGTTACGATGAGAGTTACTGGAGCTGTTGATTCATTAGTTGAAGGAGTTAAAGCTTTTGGTAGATAAATTGAAGAGAGATTGAAATTAGAAAATACCTAATGGGAAGTTGTTGAAAGTGAACATAATGCTAAAGTTATTTCACTTAGTTCATAAGCTAATTAAGCTGAATTTGATATCAATAGAGAAAAGAAAGTATTAAATAGTGAATTAATTCCAAGACTTCATGAATTAGATGATGTATATTATAATCTAATATTTATTATAGATTTTATTAGGTCTTAAAGCTAAATAAACAGATAATGCTTAATCATTTAAAGAAGCTGAAGCTGCTAGAAATACTTAACATGATTCATTTGTATTAACAACTACTGAATTTACAGATGCTTTAAGAAATATTGATGAAGCATTAGATTTATTAACCGATTTATTCAAAAGTGGAGAAGTTAGAGCTGCATTCATTGAAGTTACTGATGAATAAAAACATAAAGTTAATAAAGCATTAAGATAAGTCAAAGCTAATACTGAAAATTTCGGTCATTAATATTCTTCATTTATCTAAGCATTAACTAATCTAACAGAAGGATTCAATTTCAAAGATAGATAAGTTTTAAAAGAAATGTGTGATTTCTTAAATAGTTTAAGATTAAATATTTTTGATGCTTTAACTAAAGCTTATAAAGATGAAGATAGTCAAAAATAATAAGATGAATTAAGAAGATAATAATTAACTGCTGAAAAGGCTGTTTTTGATTAATAATATGCTGATTTCTATTAAGAAAGAGAAGATAAAACAGGTATAACATTTTAATTTATTTTATTTAGTTAGAATTTCTGATGTTGAAACTATGATTTCAACTAGAGAAGCTGATCTTAAAGCTTATTAAGATAGATTAAGAACTGAAAACAATAATTATTCAGCCAATCTTAAAATTCATGATGATATTGTGGTAAATCATTTAATATTATTTAATTATAGTCATCTGTTTAATAAGAATTAGCAGTTCTTGCAAAAGCATTATAAGTGGTTTAAACTCCACCATTTTTAGATTTCTTAAATGGAAGAATTGCTAAAGCATGAGGTAATGCAATACATCATTATTATTCAATAAATATCATTCAATTATTTAATAATTCTATTGATCTTTTATATTTATATTCTTCTTTCAAGATCAATAACTCTCGTCTTTATCATCTTCTTTAATATCTTTATTTGCAAATCATATATCAATTTAAATTAGCTTTAACATTAGATTTCTTTGAAGATATATAAAAAAAGCAATCATAATCTATAGCCTATAGAACCTATGAATATTAAAGTAGAGTATTTTAATATTTAATTAAATTTAAAAAAGTAAGGAATAACTTAATTAAATTGGTATAAATTAATAATTAATACCCTTTTTGCTGGAGTTGAAATTATATATATATGTTATAATTAAGATTCAATTATACTTACTTTTTGTTCTAAATGTTCATGAATTTTGTGGACAAGATGGTTCTTAAATATAGAAAATAAAATAAATTTAAAAAGTGATAAAATAATAAATTATTTCAGAATTAGTAGTTTTGGGCATATACCATTTCTTTATCTTATTCATCGATGTTTAATTTTAATCCATTAGTTCTACACCAGACTCGATATAGATTTTTAAAAAGCATGGAAACAGTCAAAGGACCAACTCCTCCAGGTACAGGTGTAATGAAACTAACTTTAGGAAGTGCCTAGAAATAAGAATTTTAAAAACATTGTTGAATTCAATATCACCAACAATTTTATTGGTTCCAGGAATTCTAGTAATTCCAACATCAATAACTTTGGCTCCATTTTTGATCCAATCTCCTTTAACCAATTCTTTATGACCTGCACATGAAATTACAATGTCAGCCTTATAATTTATAAAAAATTGAAATACTTTTTCAACATGTTCTTACACAGCAGTTTCAGAATGACATATGGTGACTTTAGCATTTCTTTTAAGTAGAAGTACAGATAATGGGAATCCAACTAAATGACTTCTACCAATTACAGTAACATTTTGATTTCTCACATCGATTCCTTAGGTATCTAATATATGAAGCACTGCAGCTGGTGTGCATGGAATTATGTCGTTATTCTCACCATTTTGAAGAAGATTTTGAAAATTAGCCATATGCAAACAATCTATATCTTTACTTAATTTAATTTCATTAGATATTTCTAATCTTGATAAATGTGGAGGTAAAGGAAGCTTTTATTTAATAATTATTATATATACTTAAACTAGGATACCATCTATAGATTCTTGTTTATTTAAAAATCTAATTTGACGAATAATCTCTTATTGAGTGATTGTTTCTGGGAAATGATACAGTTCATGATGTACTTCATTTTCTTCACAAAGAGCTATCTTTTTACGAACATATGTTAAAGAAGAAGGATTGTTTCCAACTTAAATTATGGCTAGACCAGGTCTCATTAAGGTGGAGTGTTCTTTAATTTTATTATAGAATACTAGATGTATGATAATTTATAAGTTGAGCTATTCTAGAGATTGTTTCTTTAGCTAAGAAGTTTCCTTTGAATATCATTTATATTATGTATAACTATAAATAATCTATAATAACAAAAGGAACATTTAAAAATTGTGATTATTCTATAACAAATTGTAATAGTCTGAAAATAAAAAGAATTTGACATTAAATATATAATATAAAAACTAGTGTTTATTTAAATTAATATAATGAATAATCCTTATCAGCCATATAGACCATATTCAAGATTACCAAATACTTCTATTCATAACCCAAACATAATGAATTATGTTGATTCTGTACTATCAAAATCAAGGAATAATTATGCTTCTGTTTAATTAGACTCATAACCAAGATATCAACCATATTAAACTAACTTAAATAAAACCGATACAGACTTAAAAAACAAAAGTAATTCTCCTATAATCCTTTCTTAAAAGTCAATGGTTATTTAACCTACTTTAAAATCAAAATATGATTACTAATCTCCAAAAAAGATTGAATCTCTATCCCATTAATAAGATATTCCTTTAGTAATCCAGCTCATTCCATAAATGTCTAATGTTAAAGAAGAATAAACATAAGTATAAATATTATTAAACAATAAGAAATAAGTTTCTACTCCTCTTAATTAAACAAGCTCTTCAATTAAAATACCAGAAAAACCAAAAGCAAAATACAAGAATTTTGATATAATCAAAAAACTAGGAGATGGATAATATAGTGAAGTATTTCTAGCAAAACACATTGAAACAGGATTTTTAGTTGCTTTGAAAGTTATTCAAAAAGCATAAATTATAAAAGAGAATATGCAAGCTTAATTAGCATGGGAAATTAAAATATAATATCTTCTCGAACATCCTAATATTACTAGACTTTATACCTTTTTCTAAACTCGTAAATTTTTATACTTAATTTAGCCACTGAAATTGTCCTTGTCTTAGAGTATTGCTCACATGGATAATTAAATACTCTTTAACAAATATAACCTATGAAAAAATTTTAAGAAAGAATAGCAGTATAATATGTTTAATAAATTACATTTGCACTTATGTATATACATAATCAAGATGTTATCCATAGAGATATTAAACCTGATAATATTCTTTTGAGTTTTGGATAAGTTAAATTAGCTGATTTCTCTTTTTGTGTTTATTCTCCAGATGAAGATAGATAAACTCAATGTGGAACCATTATATATGCATCCCCTTAAATTCTAGAAGGAGAAACATATGATAAAAAAAGTGATATTTGGGGTTTGGGAGTCTTAACTTATGAATTATGTTTTGGAAAACCACCTTGGAAAGAAAATTAATAAGAATTGATGAAAACTGTAATCATACACATTAGTTTAGGCTTGCTTTATGATTCCTTACACTGCATCCAGAGATTTAAAAGATTTCATTGAAAATCTTATGAAACGACTTTCTCGAGATCGATTTACTGCTTAACAAGCGTACAATCATGCATGGCTTTAAAGAATTGCGTAAATTGTACCCTATTATATTACAAATAATCAATCTTTATTTTTATGAATTATATACATTCATTTTATATCTATATATATTTATTATTCATTGTCCTTTCCCTGTATATCTCTCAAATTTTAAAACTTTGTGTTACTTAATCTCTTAAATCTTAAATTTGTAGATTATAAAGAGGATCTTGTATTATTATTTTTAGATTTTTTTTGGATTTAAATCTCAAATTAAAATTAAGATCAGTCAATCTATAATGATATAAACATTAACATCAAACCTTTCTCCAAAAATCTTAATTGTTTTCCAAAAATATGCTCTATTATCTATTATGATAAAGAGATCAAACTTATCTCATATTCTCTTTCTAATATAAATCTATTAATAAAAACTAAGATGAGTTGGTAATTGCAGTATATAAATCAGATTCTGACTCATATTGCTTATATTATCCATCATCATTCTTATACTCATTACTTTCATATTCAGAAGCATATAAATTTATCCATAAACTGTAATTCATAAAATTAACTCTTCAATATAAAAAGGAACATTAGGTAATTTTATAGAATTACAATGATTTCTAATTAAAAAATACTCTAACTTAAATCAAGTTCAAATTTAAAATTCATCTTTTCTATTTGTTTTATTGAATTTTTATTGAATAAAATTAAAAAAATTATATTTTTTTCATCATTTTTCAATTTATTCTTGTTGATAATAGTTTAAATATTAATTTTTTCAACTTGTAATTTTTAATTTTAAAACAATCAAAAAATAGTTTCATTATAAAATGATTTAAAGAGAAGTTAAATTTCATTACTTTTATTAGAACTTTTTAATAAGCATTATGTTATTATCTTCTAATTCTATTATTTTAAGAAGGATTATGAAAAATTTTTTTAATACTACTAATTTTGACAAGAATTAAGAAATTTTTCCTAATTATCATCGAATATATTAAAGAGAGAGAATGATTATTGACTCATATGAATAAGGCAACACAATAAGGAACCTGAATTTAAGCATTTTTCATCTATCTAGCATTTATTAACTATTTATCTCTAAATTATTGCAGGAGTAATAAGCATTGCTTCAAATCTAGCAAAAAGCACTTTGCATTTGCACTTTGTAAATTGCATCCACCAATTCTTTAAAAATTTGTTACAAAAAGATCATATTATTTTATTTTGACATCCGTTTAATGTTTGCTTTATTTTAAGTGATTTAAGAATTCAATTAGTTAGCCAAACATTTGACAGAAAAATGGCATTAAGATTTACATTAAGAACAAGTTTAAGATCAGCAACGATATTTGATAATAGTATGCTTTAGTTCTTTTACCAATTTCAAAATTTCGATTACTGCAACTTTAGGGCTTTTCAATTTATCAGTATTTTTTAAGAAAAAATGAATAATCACTACGGACGAAGTTTAAATCTATGCTGATACTAGAGATGAATTTCAAAGAGCTGTCTTATATGAAGATTTTAACAATATTCAAGTTTGATATATTAAATATAATTCTATAAATCAGTATTCATTCACCTTTATTTTTTGGTAAACCTTTATTAAAAAGGCCACTCCAAATATTGACAAATAAAAATAAAATAATATCTAACTAACTAAATCATTAATAAACAGGATCCCAATAATTGATGACATAATCAAAGCCAAGTTTAATGTAAATATATAAATCTCAGTTGTGTTAGTTAAAAAATTCATGAAAACTGAATAAAATGTATTATTTCCATAATACTTCACAAATACATTCATTGAGTATAAATTTATCAATAAATTTCCAATAGAAATTATACTAAAAAAATTTATGAGTACGGATGAAAATAATTAGGTCAACAATATAATATGCAACGATAAGGCAGTCTTTAAAGTAATAAGTGCTGTTGTTTGATGAATAAATAATAATGAATGAACAATAAAGATAGTGATAAATAAAAATAACCCTTTGTAATATCTTTTTTAAAAACTCGCAGCTAATGGTAGCAATCGAGATTATTTTCTATGTGAATTCTAAGTGATAACAGTTCTTAATGGAGATTTCATTGTCAATTATCCAGTTTTTTAAGGAGTTAATTACTCTTCTGGAGTTATTGAAATAAAAGAATCTCGTATTCTTTTCTAAACTCTTGATTACAATTGTTTACTTGAGCTATGAAATATTAACTAAATCCTAAAGTTCCATAAACCACAAAGACTGCTGCTAAAGTTTCATAACAAAATATTCCCTTTTTCTCATTATCTATGAGGTAAGACTCTTAAACAATAATAGTTAGAATATTTATAATCCAAAAGATGACACAAGTAAGAATCGATAGTTTAGGAGATTAAGGAAGTAAACCTAACATTATGTCTGATTCCAAATTAACTAACCAAAATGCCATTATAATTTATTTATAATACTAATTTTCAAGAAGCCGCAATTTTTAAATAGCAGCAGTCAATAAAAATAAAAATGATTAGCTTATTCAATACTATTTCATTTATTTTTTAATAAAAGTTATTAAAGGGAATTAGAAAACCAATTTCTTTAGTTTATTGAAATTCCAACTTAGATTTGATATGGTCAAGTAAGTTTGAGAGTTCATTTGAAATTTTCTAAGGGATAGTGAAATACTTAAGATTTAGGATTAGGCTTGTAGATAGATAATTCCTTAATTGTTAAATTTTAAAATGGTTCTTTTTTTTAAAGTTTAATAAATTTTTATGATTGGAGAAGAATATAATGAGTAATCATTATTTTAAATTCTTCTATTTTATTTTCATTGATTTCTTCTTCAATTCTGAAATAAGGATTAAAGTTGAAAGTCTTTAGGTATAAGATAGGAGTGATTTAATATATTAAGGAGTAAAGGTTTTATTGAAGTTTTTTGATTTATTTCTAAAAATATAGATGTTTCTAAATGAGGAGTTCATATAAAATAATAGATAAAAATATATTGGATAAATTTGAATATATATATATATTTTACTGTGTAATATAATTGTCACTCAAATGATACCAATTTTGTTGGCCAAATTAAGTGCATCATTTTCTCCACCCAATCTAATATATGCCTTCTTCTTTCCACCAAATGTATTTAAAATCTATATATAAGCAGCAAAAATACATTGACTTTTCTAACTTTGGCATCATAAATTTTAGAGAATGCTCTTTTGATTTATGGTTTAGTAGCTTTTTGATTAACATAAAAAACCATAGTATTTTCATCTTCCATTTTTTTCATATCTTTTTCTGTAATAAGTGGATGTTTAAGGACATTTTAGAAATCTAAACCTTTTGTGATTGGTTTTAATTATCTAGTTAATCTGGTAAATTTAGGTTTTCTTGTTAATGCTAATGGTTTAGTGGTGTGGAATCTATTTTAGAAATGTTTTCTGGCTCTGACAACTTTTTTGGCAACTCTGGTATTTTTTGCTGCCTTTTAAGCTTTTTAGGTTGTAGTGGTCTAACCTTTTGGCATTATATTTAAAATAAATTTTTAAATCTTTTTGGTAATTATTTAAGAGAGATAAATAATAATAAGATCATATATAATTTTGATAAGAGATAGGAATACTAAAATAGAGATCTTTGATGAAGGCATATAATCCAATATGATTAAGATTATAAGAGAATACCAAAAAAATGATAATTAATAATTGAGAGACTGTAGATTATTGTATAGATGAATTCATATTTATAAACTCTTTCTAAGTAATTTTTTGGTATTTTAGAAGATGAGGAATATTTAATTATCTTTATGTATTGAATAAATTCATTGAAGATTTAATGATTATAAAACTGATATAATTAGTTTTCTACAATTGATATTATGTATATGAATATAAGAGCTCATAAATTTAAACATAATTTATCAAACTCTAGTGTTTTCTTTAGATAGAAATTTATTTATAGTTAATTATTTTCTTTAAGAGTATAATTTATTAAGTAGATAGTTCTTTAGTGTATGTAAATGACATTAGCTGATCATTAACATTTGAATAAGAATTGTTTTTGATAATTGATGATAGGATGGATTAAATATTAGAATAGCAACAAAATTATGATCGAGTTAGATATAAACTATTATAATTCAATAATTACAGTATCTAATTTGATGATAATAATGTTGTTGATGTTTTAATACACTTTTACTAGAGATTATTTGTATTTTCTTATTATTGTGATATTCTACAGTTATTTGCAATTTAATTTGATTAGAATTTTCAGCTAAAAATAAATTATTGAAATAGTATGTAAAGAGAAGAAGTTAAAAGTAATAATATGAATGGTTTTTTGATATTGAAATAGTAATGATTTGGGTGTTGGTATTGTATTTGTTAGGATTGATTGATTAAAATAATAATAAAAATCCAGGAAATAATTTTCATATAAGCTCAATATAAAGCACACTCTTTTTTGAATTATATTATAGATAATGTCAGAAATAACATCAAATTAGCCACAACTTGAATCTTAATTCTTATATGAAATAGTAAATCAATAGCCATAAAGGATTGTACAAAATGAGACATGTGAAAATGTAAATATTGAAAGTGTTACAAAGTCTTAATAATAATAATAAAAATCAAATGTTAGTGATCATATAATATAATTATTGATGTAAGAGGACAATTTAGAAGTTCAAGATCATGATTAGAATGGATAGGTAAATATAGATAAAGAGATTGAATAAAAAGTATAATAAGTTAGATAAGATGTAAATTCTTAAGTGATATTGGCTGGTTTGGAGAGTAATGATGAAGATAAAAAAAGTTAGGAAGCAGATTGTAAATTACTTTATAAAAAATAAAGATAAACATCAATTATAATAGATGATGATATTGAGGATGATGAAACAACTCCTAAAAAGATAGCAAAGAATGAGAAAAACAATGTTCCACTTTAGGATCCATTGCCTATATCATAAAATGATTCAGAAAAGTAAGAAGTAGTATTACCTCCTCCTTCATAAAGATCATCTGAAGTATCTTAAATAGATTTATAGAAACCTTTTGAACAAAAGACTCGGGATGATAAAGGTTTGATGATTGAATAAATTTTAAAATCTGAATGTGTAATGAAGAAATAATAGAAAGACTTTTTCTCATTTACATAACCTATTCCAACAATTAATAATAGTAGCTAAAAAAAGAATAAGAATCCTATTGTAATTGATTCTGATGATGATGAATAATAACCTGCTCCTTCAAATATAAGTATTTTAAAATAAAAGATTGAAGATACTACTCCCTCTTCATTCTTTAGAAAAAAGACTATTGAAAATTAGACTCCAATTGAAATAGGAGAAAATGATAATTTCTCATCCAATTAAATGGATAAATAATAAAAGATTACTCAATTATTACAATAACCTATTACTACTACTAGTACTACTATTAATAATAATAATAATATGGGATAGACTAAACCATTAAATCAATAATAGAGAAAACATTAAGCATTGTTAGAAGAAATAGTTTAAGAGGATGATGGAATAGTTCAAGATATTGATTATTAAGATTGGAGTTTATTTAATTAATTAAATAATATGATAACTCCAAAGTTTTCAGGATAATTTAGAATGTTAGAATATAAAGATAATCCATAAGATATGATAAGATTATTATTTGGAGAAATTAGATTTAAAGATCTTATGAAAACATGTTAAACTAGTGAATCTGAATTCTGGTTATATTTAGGTACTAAATTAATAATGGGATATATGAGATTACCTGATATTAATGAATATTTTTATGGAGAAGATTGGATTGCTGGTGGTGGAATCAAATCAATAATTACTTAATAATAATTTGATGATATCGATTAAAAAGTAGAAATCATTTAACCAAAATTATAAACTGAATCATAATTAGCTGTTAAATTAGAATTCAATGCATAAACATTCTTTAGATAAGAGTATCTTCCTTAATTTACATAAGAATTAAATGATAGATTCAAAAAATTAATATTACCAGGATAAGAATTGTTCTTAATTTCTAATTTCTATACTCTTATTTATTCAACTAAAATATAGTGGTATTAATTAATTGATAAAGAATCTGGAATTATTTTATAGTAGTTCTTTTGGGCTACACCTATTAATAAAACATTTGATCTTAATAACCATAGAGATTTATAAAAAAGATTAAGAATGATGTTTGAACCTTATCATTTAGGTAGACACATTGTATATAGTTAAACAATATTAAATGCTGAATCAGTATTATAATTGTATTAACAAAAAATATTTGTTTGTACTGATCTTATGTAACATTCTTTATTACCTCATCCACCAACTGGAGATTAACAAATATTCTATTGTTCTAAAAGTAAAGAACCTATTTATTTATGTTATAAAAATTAATAATGGACAACTTGTGTCTCATTATAATCCTTATAATAAAGAAATCAATATTTATAAGAATTATCATAAATGTAATTCACAGAAGAGAAAATTGCTATTCAACCTTCAGAACCTGAAAATACTTCTATAAATTCAACATCTAAAATAATATTCATTTTTGTAATAGAATCAATATTACATAATATTAGAATACTTAAAAAATAAGAAATAAAAACTTTTAGAACTGAACTTGCACTTTAATTAATAAATAAATTAATTGATTATAAAAATCCAAAACCTTTATTAAGAAAAGATGGTTCACTCTAAGTAGATAGATCTTGTTAAACTGATTAAACTGTTGGTATTGTTAATGATCAATTATATCATTGTCCTATTCATAATGGGAATGCAAGATGTTAAGTTTGTTTAAGTAAAAGTATTCTATCCAAAACTACAGCATCATGTCTTGGTTGTAATAAAGTTCTTGGTACTAATATATTTCTTTGTATCTATCCTTGTTTTAGATTGTTTCATCTTAATCCTAAACTATATCTTAAAGAAGGTATGTACTATTAAATTGTTTCTGGATATGACTAATATGATTAAGATTAAGAAGATGAAGAAGTTGATCAACAATTCCTTGATGCCAATCTTAGATTTAAACCAGATACTTCTGAATTAGATTCTATTTATGCTAAATCATACTAAGATTTTAAAAATATGATTCCAATCAATTATGAAGATAATTATCATAAAAAAACTACCATCGTTGTTATTCAAAGAGAAAAAGGTGCTAATCGTAGAGGTGGTGGTGGTGGTGGTAGACCTAAAATATCAAGATAATAACAATAAGCTATATAAAATTAAGCTGCTTAAGGTAATCATTTTATTTCACCATTTTAGCTGAATAAGGAAATTAAGGAGATACTTAAGATGCACCTAAAAAAGTTAGAAAATAGAACAAAAAAGCAGTTAATGCTCCTACATAATAAGGATAACCTGAAAAAGAGACCGATTAAGCTAGTAGTGCTATGTTTGATTTTTTTAGCTAAGTTAGAAAACAGGCTTACAAAAAATAATCATAATCATGATACACAAATCAAATAATACATTTTTCATTGTTTATTTTTAGAGTAGTAATTTATATGACATTTTCAAATACTTCAACTTTGAAAGTTGCATTATATTTTATATATATAATAAATAAAATGATATAGTGAATCATTATTTGTCTAAAATTAAAGTAAATATTTTTAGATCATTTATTAATGAAATAGTTTAGGATAATTTAAACCCTAATTATTAGAGATACTTAATTTATGATCCTTAACTAGAATTTATCTTAATCTTAACTCTTTGTGCCTACAACACAGACAAGATATATTTAATAAATTCTTATATTAATTCAAAATAATTGCCTACTTTTCTATACCATTTAGCTATATATAATTTATTAATGTTTACTACTTACCCTTCCAATTTCTATAATTGACAGAATCCCATATGACATTTATAATACTTATTTTACAGTTAATATACACTAAGCAGAATTCTATCTTACTTATTATTTTAGAGATCCTTTTCACTGAAAACCTACAATTCAACTTATCCAATTTATCTAGCATGATTACTATCATTAGTTTCTCTGATCTTGGATGGAGTGTTTGAAATCCCTTTGATATTTTTCAAACCTGCCCAACTATATGATTAATTAGTTAATTTCCACCAATCAATTGTATTTTATCTTGGTTTATTAGTAATCTTTGTTTCCTCAGCTTATTTAACGGAATTCAAAAGAGAATGAAAAGAATCAAATAGATAATATACATCTGTTTCCTAATTTAAAATGTCAAGATAATTAGAAATCTATTGTTTATCATTTGAAATATCCATGATATGATATTGTTTCAAGTACTGCAATTACTATAATGATCTTGGGACTGAATTGTTTCTACTTTCATACATTTATTTATATATATATTTTTATAAATAAATAATAAGTCTCATTTAAAACATGTCATCTTTAGAATAACAACTCAAATGTAATTTTTTAGCTGCAGTTATATTTCATTAAATTTTTATCAATCCTTAGATAAAGCCTTATTAAGGATTCAATTTTCTTTAAGTCATTTCAATAATATCATCATCTACCATTGTGAATATAGCTTTAGCAGTTCCAACTCTTTACTCTTCATATAGTAATTGACTTAATAAGTTTATAAATGAACAACTTACATGTTTAAGATTAAGTATTCAAACTTTCATGTTTTTTACTTTTGATATTTTAAAAAAATAGATTGCTTTTATTTTCTTAACCATTTCTATTCTAATCCTTTAATTTTTAATGAATGGATTCATCTTTGAAAATAAGAGTGCTAATTTCAATGCTATTAAAATATATTTAATTAATTAATGAGTGATTCCAAAGGATTTCTTCATTGGCTATTCTTTAAGAAATGGCATCCAGTACCTTCAGTTGGTAGTACAATTGCGTTGTTTTCAATAATTGGTGTAATATTTGTTGCTTTGGGTATTGTTATAACTGTTATCAATAATAACATTCAAGAAGTAACAATTTACAAATATGATTAAAAATGTTCGCCTGTTGAATATAATAAGTAATGTAGTTTTACATACAAATTGGATTAAATGAAAGCTCCTATTTACTTTTATTATGAACTTGAAAATTTTTATTAAAATCATAGACGATATGTTAAATCCAAATCATCAACTTAATTATCAGGTGAAGAAATCTCATTATCAGATGCTGAAAAATATTGTGAACCCATTATTTTCAATAAAGATTTAGAATAATGGCAATAAGCTGTATATATTACAGAAAATAATGAACAAGTTCCAAAACAACGTAAACCAGATGATATTGCTAGTCCTTGTGGATTAGTTGCAAAGAGTTTCTTCAATGATACTTATGAATTAAGCTTATCAGAAAAAAACATTGAATTAAATTAAACAGGAATCAGTTGGCCAAATGACAAAGGTAAAAAGTATAAGAGAGCATCTGATTCTGAAAGTACTTAATGGATTGATCCAGAAAATGAACATTTTATTGTATGGATGAGAACAGCTGGATTACCTACATTTAGAAAATTATGGGGACGTATTGAATAAGATATAGAAGAAGGAGAATACACAATTAAATTTCAAAATAATTATAATCCATAAATGTTTGCAGGAGCTAAAAATATTGTGCTCTCTACATCAGGACCATTTGGAGGAAAGAATTTATTTCTCTCAATAGCTTTTATTGTTGTAGGTGTTATTTAATTGTTGATAGCATTGGCATTCTTAATTAAAAAAATAAGAGCTGGACCTTCATTTGGTTAAAAAAATGAATGATTTATTTGATTGGATATTGGATGATTAAAATAAAATAAATATTATATAATTAATTTTAATGCAAACTTATTCAAAACACAAAGATTAATAAATAGATTTGAGTTGTTTAGATCATGTAGCTTGTGTTTAATGTATTATAGAACATAATTCTGATAGATGATATTTTAAATGTAATCAAATTCTTTACTTTAGAATAATACTAAATTGTAAAACTCTAAGGTAATTGAATTTATATCAAAACTAATAAGATAATCAAATTTGATCAGTGTTGTTCATAGAGAATTTGTATAATCTAAAATGAAATATTCTTGAAATTTGATGGCTTTTAGTATATGATAATATTCAATTGTTTAGAGATGATTTATAGAATTATTATAATCTACTAACACCAAAGCAATTACGATAAAAGGAGAATGAATTATTTGATCTACTGAAACATATTACAAATTGTTAAGACATTGTGAAATTATACTAAACTTATTAAAATGGAGAGATATGTAAAGTTAAATTTAATGATAAATAATATTGAAATAGAATCAAAAAGGTAATATATATTTTCAATCTATAAATGTTTATTGTATCAAAATTTAAAACTGTAAAAAAAGGAGTTTAAATGTATTTTGATGTAATTATTATTAGTAAATATAAAATGATATTTTGTACACACTTCAAGAGATTCCAAAATTATTATCTCTATAATTTTACGGTCTTTCAGGAAATAAGAGTACTATAGATAACGGAAATATTATTACAATATCTTCTTCAGATTAATAAGCAGTAATAGTAACTTAAAATACATTTTCATATCAAAACAAATATTAATTCACAATTAAAGTAGAACAATATGATATAGAGGTTTAAATATATATATATGTATATGTATACTAATTAAAACTAATTGTAAGTAGGATTTGCTCATCATTAAAAATCAATGAATTACAATTATTTCTATAGATAAAATGTTAGCTCATATTTTGGATTAAGTACAACAGGTAGTGTAAATTTTTCAGTTTAGAAGTCTGAAGGTAAGATTATAGGAGAATTCAATAAGAAAGTATATATAAAATAAATTATTAGAGAGCATTGAAAGATAGGAGACATGCTCATATTACTCTATCATTAGATATATAAAATAAATAATGCTTATTATAATATGAAGAGATTAAAATTGAATAAGGCAAAAAGAAATGCTCTAAATTAGGATTTGGTGGTGAAATAGGAACTGAATAATTCTTTTAAAAAAATAAGAAATTTGTGTTATTTTTATTAGAAATTCTGCAGAAATGAAATGCAAAGTGATTTGAATATAATAAAAAATAAAATATGATGTGATTTTATTTATATGCTCATTTAAAGTTCTCAGAATACCATTTTTTAGTGAATTCATCACAATCTAATAATTAAAATTTCCATCCATTTATTAATACTTCATTACCTACAATAAGATCTCCTGGAGTAAAGAATTCATTATTGTTATTAACATTTTTATATTTTCTTTTTTCTAAGAATTTACCATCAGGTATTCCTAATATGAATATAAAAATATATATACCTGAATTTCTAACAGTTGGTTCATAGACCAAAAGACTATCATCATTTAAAAAGAATGTAATAACAAATACTCTATCTTTATCTTCAGGTTTATTTGTATTAAACATAGCTAAGAATCTGAGATTGACTTAATTATCTACCCATTTAAAGAAATCTTTTTTAGGAGGTTTCGGTTATAATCTATAGATATATCCAAGAGAATCTTATTCATCTCCAATTCCATTATGTGGTGGAATAATTATATCTAAATGATTAATAATAATATCATATACTAGATCTTTCTTATTAAACATATTCTTCTTAACCTCCTAATGGGAAATCAACATTAAATTTATCAAAATAAAATTGTCTAGTAAATTAATCACAACCATTAATGAGGAATTTGCGATTATAAATAATTAATGGTTATCCAAATTAAATATCTTATGGTCTAATGAAATCTTCTGCATAAGTTTATCCAGGTTGATTTAGTGAGAATTTTCTAGGTAATTTTTATCTTCTCAACATCATTGGAAATGGAACTCTTCCTGAATTAGCAGAATTAATCTCTTTTATTTCAATAGTATCATCTGCCAAATAATAATGAAGAATATATTCAATGTCAGAAAAGACATAAAATTTAAGTACCTATTAATTATATAATTTAATTATTTACCTTTCTATCATTTTCTAAGAATTACTTCTAAGATGTTACTTTACCTCCTCCTAATTTATGTTCTAAATAATCTTTCATAACTGTATCTTTTTATGGTATAAATTTAGTCATTGTCTTAGTTTCAAATGAGTCTGATTATGGTACAAATGATGGCTCTTATGGCATTCCTTATAACTATCACATATTAATTATAAAGTATTACCTGATAAAACTCTCTTGTATACTCATCACAATCATATAAACGAATTGTCTTACCAAAGATTATTATGTCTTAATTAATTCTGAAATCTTCAGGTAATATGAATGTCTTTGAGTTGTCTGCTCTTAAAACCTAATATTATATATATCATATATAAACTTTTTATCTTTTCAGAAATGCTCCTTAAGGAACACCACTATTCTCTTACTTCGGCTCTGTCATACTAAGTGAATGATCTTCAAGATAATAAAATATTGTTATTTTCCTAATACGATAATTCTCAAGTGCTGATTCTACTACTGCTTCTTTAAAATAACCACTAAATCGAAGTACATGTCTATCCATTTTTACCCAACTTGGTTAGTATAATTCTTCACTATCATTAGTTGCATTCTATTATGTAACTGTTTTCTTACTTTAGGTAGATGCATTGCATGAGTTGTACTCATATAATCAGGATTGAACATTCCTGATTATGGAGGTATTTGAATTGCTTATTTATGAGGTACAGCATATTCTTTATTTGGCAGAAAATTTATTTCCCTATTCTTATCCTACTTATTAGATGAAACTTTTCTAAAGTTTGGTTTCTTGTATTATGAAGTATGTTTTACATCAATTTCTTAAGTAGGTACAAAACCTGGTAATTTAGGAAAAGCTGATGCCATTTAATTAATATATTATTATTCATTCTGATAATTCATCAGTTTCATTCTCTCTATCAGAAGGATTGTTATTGTTCATGGAATCTTCTTTAGTCTAAGTATAATTGTTCTTACTGGCTTCTATCAGATGATCTACCTAAGCATCTGAGTCTTCTGGTTCAGGTTCTTCTTAAACAGTTTGATTCTATTTTGGAATGGTGATTTAATGAATTGTTTTATCTTCTTCTTCGAATATTACTTATAACTAAAAATAAATAAATAAATTTACCTATTGGATTGATTTCTAGATTCTTAGTATAGGGAAGTATAAACCATAGAGGATATTTTTATAGTCTTTAGCTCTCCAAATGAGAAATTAAAATTGATCTCTATTATTTTAAAAGTATTCACCAACATATTTGACTTATGTAGCTAGATTTGCAAGCATAGATATCATAGAATAACAATAATTATTATCTTTTTCATATTAAACTTGAATGGCATTTAAAATAGATGAACCCTTAAGACATGATAAAGTCTTTGTTGGTTCACATAATAAGGCTTATAAACGTATTTCAACTAAATCATCTTCCATTTTAAATAAAGCCTCAATAGTTTATGAAAGATTCTCTAAATATTACCAATCAATTAAATATTCTAATGATACAGCCACTATTAATGTTATAACATGATAACTATTAGTATGATCTTTCCAACATATATGTTTAATCATCTCAATTAAATTAGGTTAGAATTGAATCATAGCTAAAATATATTTCTTAAAATCATCAGTTTCTAATAATCTCTTTAACCAATAATTATCAATATCCATATGTTTTTATCCTTTGAATAAATAAGTAGGAGCATCTTCATTCTATTCAATCATGATCTAAGTTCTACAACTCATTATCACTTTTGCAATTATATCACAAATTACTATTAATGGTTAATCAACATTATTAGTCTATAATTACTGTAATTTAAAGCAATTTATCATCTATACTGATGATACTTACTCTTATAATAATTAATAAATTTATTTAAAATATTCTTGATCATAAAAGTGTTTAACCAATTGTTAATTACTAATCAAGATATTCTTAATAACTTAGAAATATTCTGTTCCTCTTCTCAAAGCACTCCTCACCATTCCTAATAATTTTTTCATATAGAATTAAAGAAATCGAACTACACAACAATCTTCGAATAAGTAATTTTATTCTTATTCAATTATTGTTGTTATTGATTATACTATCAATTATCCAAATGCATTTCTTATCTCTGAATGTGATGATTCTATCAATAAATCTATTATTATTTATTTCTAATTTCTTAACAAATCAATAAACCAAAAATTACCTGCTGGTTCCTATTTGTACATATCACTCAATATCTAAATATTATATTAAAACATCTATTAATCCTTATTTCTTAGTAATACTTCATAAGTGAAAAATGTAAATAATTTTAACATACTGAATGAAGGTAAACTTTCCAATTCCCTCCAAATATTTTCATTTGATAATTATTGATTCAATTTAAATGGATTTTTTATTTGTAATTACTATACAAAATTTTAAATAAATTTCAAGTAATCTTAAGCATAAAATAATTAATTCTTCAAATAATCAGTATTCTCACTTATTACTTAATTAATCAATAATTCTTCATTAGTACCTCTAACATTTAATTATTCAGGAATATCTTGTTTAACCTTTTCATAAAATAACATATAAGCATTTTTACTATTATTAATTCCCCAATCTGAAATATTGTTATTACCTCCACCACCAAAACATTCAGTCTTTAAATTCTCTATTTTAAATGGACAAATCAATTTATCATTAAATTCATACCATTAATCAACATCTCTAATAAAAGAATAGTAATGACCTCCCTCTGCACTTCCAATATGAACTAATACTCCCTTCAAAATATACATGTAATCACTCATATCCTCAATTTCCATATTCTCTACAATACTATCACGAGTCCACTTAAACATATTGATTTCTTGAGGAAATTCAAAGTAATCATTTATCTTTATCCTCAGCATTGTATTATAATCGAATTCAAATCGTTTTAAATGGAAAATAAAAGTATTTGGTAATTTCTTAAAATATTGTCTCTTTTAAACATCAATCTTTCTTTACACTTCTTCACATAAATATTTGTTCTCACCATCAAGAACATCTCCTTTTACAAATAAATCCAATGCTTCTTCTAGACATTTCTTATGTTTGATATCTATAGAAACTGTTAAGAATGGTTCTTCTTTTTCTCTTCTAAAATCAAAATCAGCCTCTAATGACTTTATCTCATTCACTAAAGTACCTCCTAATAGTTATGGAATAAGATTTGATTAATTGGTAAATTTTTAATCTTATTCTAATTTATCTGTAATCAAATTAAAAAATTCATTACAATCTTATTAAATAAGAACATTAATAACTTCTCCATCAAATCCCTTTAAAGTTTTAATAAATAAATGTGGATTGATGTATTGTTTAACAGACTCTTGTAATTGAATGAAAACTAATTATAATTGATGTAAAGTGTGATCAGTTAATTTACGTTATAAAACTGGTAGATCAACAGCACTTATATTATCAAAGACTAGAGGAGCTTTCATTTCAGTAATCATGATCTGGCCATTGAGAATTCCTTTTCTTAAGTGTTTATTCATATAAAATTATTAAAGAAGTGAGTTGATGTAACAAGTAGCTCCAAGATTTTTGAGTCCAACAAATCCATGAGATCCCTTAACTCCTAAATCCATATCAATTTCATTAAGATCAAATTTAAGTTTGTGATGATTTAGAATGAGTGGCAATAACTGTATAAGATGATTTTGACTTTTACTTAATTGTAATAATAATTAAAATGCTCTTTTTCTAGTTAATTTACGTTTGTAGATAGGATATTTATAATAATCGTTATTCATTTCGAATAAACATTGATATAAGTATTTAGTGAATTGTATATCAACAGTGATATTTGAATCCACTTATAATAAGGATGTCAATAATAATAAATTGCCCTATAATAATTTATCTTCATTTTCTGTAAATCTCTATTCAATAATTTAACGATTAGATATCAATGATATAATTTATTAAGCTAATTGATGAGTATCAAAGAATGTTAGATCATTAACTTAACCAATCAATCCAGCTATAACCAGATATAATTCATCATATTGAGTTTCTCCCTTAAATAATGCCTTAAGTAGATCATTACTGAGATTCACATTATTCTTTTTTGCAATATCTTATAGAGTAAGAATGAAATAAGCAGTCATCTTTCTTTATTCTTCATTTGAACTTGCAAGCAATTCAACTAATTTTTGAATTGGCAATTAAACCTTTAATAATTATGGTTTCATATATAATATACATAGTATAGAAGTGTAGATTTATTCAACTCCCATTCTTTAAATTAGAGCATCCAATAAAACATTCCATTCGACATCTAATTCAGTATTATAAAAGACATTCTATAATAGTTAAGCTTCATCATATCCTTAAATATTAGGTTTCTCTTATTTCTATAATTGAATACTCAATAAACTACAAAGTTTTGGATCCTCATCTTTTTATTAGATTGCCTACTTCAATTTAAGTAATTGCATAAATTCATTTTAATTCATCATCAATCTACTTAGTGAATAAGCTGTAAAATATATTTGGAATATATCTATTATGATAATCAGAATTTCTATAGAGTTATCTAATTAAAACAATAATAAATTTAATCCACCTTAAAGAAGAAAACTTTCTCTTAAATCCTTTCTCTTTTCATACTCATCTTAATCTTCTATAAAATCACATTGTAATTACTCTTTAAGTATTTATAAATGATACTATAATTTGTATTTATTATCAACTATTAAGTAATTATACCAATCCATTTTTGATTATTCAATCAATTCATAAACTTATTTATTCCTTGGAATCATTTATAAGATTGACCAAATTTTAGTATTCTATTCACTATTATCTTAATTCAATAGTATAAATAATTAATCAATATAATTATTTGAAATTAATGATGCAAATGAAATCTCATCATTATTTTATTTTACTATTTACTTTGGCTTTTTAACTTATGGATTCTTTTATTAGTATTCCTATAATAACTAATCTCCATGATCCAAAATATCACATATGGCATTATCTACTTACCAATTCTTCTCTTTCAAAACAGAAAGTATAAAATCTTTATCTTAAATTTAAACAATATTAACTATTTCTTAAACTTTCTCATCTGCCTCTTTTGGTACATATTCATTACAAATCTAATTACTCGTATTATTATAAGCATTCATCTCATCTGTCACTATCTCTCGTTTTGATATTACAAATGTCAATTTCTAATTTACTTTATAATCCTTTAATGTTTTATTGTCATCAAATAATGTACCTCTACAAATTATATCAAATTCATCAGGCTTTAAAGATGGATTCAATTTCTACCCAATTATTTGTTTAGCTTAAAGTACCATCAATCCACTCAATAATTATATATCTTATCTCTTTGGGGGCATTGCATCCATACATTTATTATCAATTGTCACAAATACCTTTTCACCCTACTCAGCTAATTAGTACCCTTCAAAATCTTCCAATAATTTTATTATAAATGATAATGAATTCCTATTCTCTATTTAATTAAATAATTAAACTAAATATTATTATTTTAATTCATTTAAAATGCTTTATTTCTGTTTGAATCTTAAAATTCTTATGAAAAATTCCTATAATTTACTTCCCAAATGCTCTTAATATTTGAAAATGTTCCACAAAACTTGAAATCCAATAATATCTGATTCCAAAATAGTATATTAATCATACTGTATCTTCATCACTTTATATTACACATTGAAATATAGAATCAGATTTGTCAAACACTACAACATCGATTCACTTAATCCTTTGCATTTTATTGTTGAAATAAATAATAGCTCAATTGCTTCCTAATCCAAAAATTTCTTACTAACATCCCCTACCCAATTGAAAAATAGATCTCTCTCCTCATAACATCTTGCATTCTCTACTAACAATTTCCACAAAATCATCAATTAAGATTTTGTGATTTTAGAATCTTGATGAAGAAACTAATAGAATTTAACAAATTGTTCAATAATTTATAAATAGTCTTTATTTTCTCTTTTGAGTATTTTCAATTTTTCTCGACCCATAACTCTTAAGAAATTCAATTTGATATCATATTTCTCTTAGATCCATTACAAAACATCTTTTGAATTAGTAAACTTATCTAAAGGATAGGATGAGGAGATAATCTTCTATAAAACTGTAATGTAATGGCACACTGGTAAGGGTTAATCTTAGGCAATTAAATTAGAGAAGCCAGATAAGAGATATTATATTCTAAGCTATTTAAATTGATGACAAATTAAATTGATAGCAATTGTAAATGCTGATTGTCCAATTTCAGTTGTAGGTTATTCATGAACAATATTTAATAAGAATTCTACAATTTAAGATTTTAATTTGATAGCTTTTTCATTATCAAATTATTCAATAATTTCTGCTTTATTTTATTCTACTTCTTTATAATCAGTTTCATATTGTTAGTACTTTCTTTTTCCAGGTCCTCTTCCACTCTATGATGTAAAATTATCTTCATTATTTTCAATCCATTTTTACTATTGATCTAGATCTTATCTTAAGTATTTATTTCTTCCTAAACTTTTAATAAAATTGAGTCCATTTTAATCGATTTAACTTTATTAAATATTTTAGATCATAGTTTCTACATCTTCTAATGTTAAGATTTCAGCTAAATCTGTAAGTAATTTAGAAATCATATTATCCCAAGTTTCATGTTTACCTTTTCCTAATCTTAGAATAGTTAATATTTCATCTTTGCTTAATTTATGATGGAGATACAGAAATTGAATTATTGGAAAACTTCTTTTGATCAATTCAAAATGTGCTTTTTCTCCAAATAATTCTTGAAACACTTAATTTTCTACCATATATTTTAAGACATTTTCATTTTTATACCATTCTTCATTAAAATAATATTATTAAACAATGAATTCATTTGATTATGCAGTATTAATTTTATCACAAAACTATTACAATCCTTTTTAATAATATAAAATAAATACCATAGATTCTTTTTTCTAAAGCATTACAACGAAAACATTACAAAAATACACTCATTTCTGCCTGAGCAATCAATTATTTTTTTTCAGAAGAAGAATATAATTGATCAAACATATTTTCAATTCCTTCAGTTAATTTTTTAATAGTATCTCTATTAGAATTTTTAATTTCTTCTTCTGTTAATTTAGATGTTAAATTTTAGAATTAAAAATGATGAAAGTAATTTAAGAATTTCTATTTATCAATGTAAGAATTCAAATATTAGAAGATTGAAAAGATATCTAATAAATTGAGATTGAAATTTCTCACAGCATCATCTAAAAGAGCAAAACCTCCATTTTTATAGAAATAATGAATTTAAATTCTTTAAAAAGGAGAGAAAGTGAATACATCTTAATTCAATCGATGTTATTCTAAGATCTCTCCTTTTAATGGATAAAATGATTTAGAATTGTATACTTCTGTATAATACGTATTGTCATAACCTTCAGCTTAAAAACTTACATGATGATGTAATCGTTCACCATAGAAATCATTTAATGCATCAATAAATAAACTCGAATCTCGGAATCTGCTATCAAATAAAGAATTGCATTAAATCGAATGTAATTTTTTCAATAGTCCTAAACTAATCTAAGGGTATTCTTTCCAAATCTTCATACTTATTCTCTAAACAAGAAGTAAGATCTCATTGATGTAACACTATATCTTTAATTTGTTCTAATCAATTAAACTATTTTAGAAACAAGCTCAATACACTTTATCCATTGTCACATCTATCATTGGATATAAACGCTTAGTCACATATTGATTTAAATCAGGCACAATCACTACTCTATCAGAGAACAATCCTTTTAACTCAATCTCTAATTCAACTAAGTATTCCATCCACTTCATTGAATAATCTTAATTTATATTTCATACCTACATGTATGTAATTATGAACTCTTCCCTTGATGCAATCCATCATTTAATTCTATTATTTCTACCCCTTCCTCAAATCTTCTTATCTTTTCCAAATCATAATATAAATCACTATATGTAGGAACTTATTAATATCTCCTCGGCTATTACTATATTTATCCATAATCTTCGCAATCATCTAATTGATTCATTATATATATAATTTAATATTACTTTACATTCTTTACATTTTTAAACATTTATACATACATCCCCCATCATATTATTATACATTCAACAACTACCCTATTTTATTAACTAATTAAATGCATTATCAACATGCAAGAACTCTCTACTCTTAACTAATATTAATATACATTCCATTCAATCAATTATCAATTAATCAAACTTCTCATATTCAAACTATTTATTACTAAAACTAACTATTTATCATTATTATCAAATATACAGAAAAATTTATAATTCTATATTTATTTATCATTAATATTCAATATCTATCAATCTCCTTATCTCTATTCAATTTAAACCACTACTCAAAAATTAAAATTAGAAATCCCATTTTTCTATTATAATTCTTTTTATAAATTCATTACCCAATAATATTTTACAAAATTAATCTGTTACAAATCATTTATCAATTACTAAAACAATATTTGTTATTTCTATATTAAAAGAGGATAAATTAATTTTCACATCCCTAATTCCTAATTTCTCTAATGAAGAACAATAAATTACTTTAGAAATTTTATCAAATTATCTATTAATTATATCATATCATATGAATCCATAATTTAATTGATATTTTAATAAATTCATAAATAATTTTAAATATTATATATGTCCTGATTTCAAGACTTACAAATTTTCATTCATATTATAAAATTAACTATTTATTTAATTGTAATAGAAAGTGATTAATCTTTTTTATAAAAATAATATACGAATACATAATTTATAACACAGAAAAGTTGATTTCTTTATTATATTACTATTATTATTAGTAAATCACTATCAATGATGTTTCTCTTAATTTAAATATTATAGGAACAAAAACTACAAAAATAATATGTCCCTTATTTAGGATTATAGTGAAGTCATTGGAACTATTGTTTTATCAAGTATAACAAAGAATACAATTAAATTTATAATGAAAAAATTTATTTACAAAAATCTTATGTAAATTAGGCATAGGGTTGTTAACGGGTTGTTATTGTTATGAAAAAATATTACTCAAATAATACAAATTCACGATTTTGAAGAGTTCTCTATATAATTCTATTATTTCACAAAAATTATTCAGACATTAATCATTTTTTGATTATTATCAATAATTTGCAATTTATTATGAAATGCGTATTAAAATCATTTTCATTAAAGGTAATTAAAAATAAAATCCATAAATACAGAGGAATTTAATATGTTCTATTTTAAAACAAGAAAATTAAAGGTGGATTATCAATTACATAAAAAAATAGATTAATTGATTAAAATTTGGTTTTCAAAAATTTAGGTTCAATAAGTCACAGAATGTATTTTATATTGATGAAATTAGTTTTTAATCAAAAGAACTAATAAAATTAATTATCTATAAAAAATCAATAAAAAAAATTCATAGATTTTGATATATTTGATAATTTAATATTTGTGATGTAGGTTATCAACTGAATGTTTAACTAATTAACAAGAAATTGTAAATTGATATTTCTAATGAAAACACAAAAATCGTATAATATAAAAATCAATTATAAGTTAGAAATAATAAATACAAATATAATAAATTTTTATTTATAAGAGATTTCTACTATGATATTTAACATTAACATGCATGATAATAGTTTACTAAATAAAGTTGATAATTTTTAAGTAGAACAATACTGTTTTTAGATATTTTAAAAATTGATGATAAATTAATAAACTCAATCTTTAGCCTTTTATTTATGGTTGGAAAATTTTTATTGCTATTGTTTTAGAAAGTGATAATGTAATTCAGTGAAAATTATCTATAAATATATATATCAAGTATATTTCTTAATTGATTTATAGGTGTAACAAATAAAGTGAGAATGATTTTAAACATTTTAATGATTTTAAAGTAGCCATAAAATGTTTGTATGATTATAAAAAAATTTATATTTAAGGAAAGGACAACTATTCTTATGGCAATCTTCTATTAATCATTATTATGTTAGAAATAAGCCACATATTTGAGTATATATTTTGGAGTGTAGCTTACTCATAAAAACTTTTTGGATAGATGATGATAATGACTGCTATGATTATTTTTAATATATTGTATTGATTAATAAAAAAGGCAGAAGTTGAATGAACATTTAGATAATTATAAATATAAGGGAAATATATATTATTAAAACATTTTAAATTTGAAATGAGTGATAAAGATCTTTAATTGGAAATCATAGATTGTCATAGATTTAAAGAATAAAATGATTAATGATATAAAATTAGTAATTAATTGATATATGGATGAGATTAAAATAAGAAGAAGAGTTTGAGAATGAATGAAATATAAATAAAATTAGTTATTAGTGAATGTTGATTGAAATGAAATGTATTAAAATTTTTGTATGTTAATGTTTGAACAAAAAGAATTAGTTAAAAATGAGTTGATTAGGAATGAAATAAATAAAATAATTATAAATAAATGTACAAGTACAACTTCGAACAGAATTCTTAGCATCGTATAGAAATCTTAGAATTGAATGATGAGAAGTGTAAATTCAGTTTTGAAGGTGATTTATCAATAGCAAATGCAATAAGAAGAGTTATGATAGCAGAAGTGCCTGTAAAATTTTGGACTAAAAATTTAGGTTATGGCAATTCATTTTGTTGATATAATAGAAAATACTAGTCCTTTATCAGATGAATTTCTTGCATAGAGATTAGGTTTAATACCTTTGGTTTCATATGCAGCTGATAGTAAAATGTATGATTGGGAAGCAGATGCAGATACAATAGATGATTAAAAAACAAAAGTAGTATTTACATTAAGATAAAAAAATTTAAATGATGCTCCTTTAGAAATAACAAGTTAACATCTTGAACCAGAATTTGGTTAAGTAGGTGAAATGGCTATTCGTCCTGTAAGAATGTTTTCACCTTTAAATAACAAAGAAGTTGGAATACCAATAACTAGATTAGGTAAGAATTAATCTGTACATGTTCGTTGTCATGCACTTAAAGGATTTGGTAAAATGCATGCTAAATGGAGTCCTATTAATATTGCAACATTTAGACATGAAGCGGGTAAATTTTAAATTTATATCTTTATAGAACTTAATATAGATCATTCATAATAATAATCATTATCACTTATGGAAAAATAATCAATTAGAGATTCTTGTCCAATGAATGTATTAGCAATTGATGCTAATTAAGATCTTGTCATTAGTGCTATTGAAAAATGTGTATTCTGTGAAGAATGCATTCGTTGTGTATATCATATGTATTATCATCTCATTTAGGCTGAATCCATTAAAAAACCAAGATTAATCAAAATGCAACATAAAAAAAATAAATACATCTTCACTGTTGAAAGTGCTGGATAACTTAAAGCTGCTGATATTGTATAAAAAGTATTTCATTATTCACTATTTATAAGGCATTAATTGTTTTAAGAAAAAAAGTTGATGAAATATCTTAGGATTTGAATTTTGCCTAATAATAATAACTGAATTGAAAATTAATTTTAGTATTGTCTAGTATATAAAATAATATATATATAAAATTTAAATAAGTCTTTTAATCAGTTCCTAAAAATAATTTTTACATCGAATAATTATGTTTTCTTGTGTATCATTAAATTCTAAGGACAGCTTAGAAGAGTTTCTCTAATTGTATCAGTGCAAAGATTCTAAGAAAAAAATCATATTGAAAAAAGAACGAGAAATAGTACGATATTTAAAAGGCTTAGGACTTCAAATGAAAACAGACCCACTTTTAAAACTTTCACGTATTGCTAAGTAAACAATCTATACAAAATTAGTTTTGCAATATAAAATGATATATCACCTGACTCAAATGATGAAATAATCCTTGAAAAAAAATAAATACATAACGATGAAAGTGAATTCAACATTTCTAACAACCCTTTAATCAAAAGAGGAAGCAGAAGAATCATACGCACTTTTTCTTTTGAAGATAAAAATCAAATTCTAAATGATTAAGATGATAAAGATGATCCTCTTCATTTTGACTGATTATCTATATATGTTATAGATTAACTTCACAATTTCTAGATAGAATTATATATTATTTAAGTAGCAAATATTCTAACTCCAATTATATTCTCTACATTATCTACATCATATATCACTATGAAATACTAAATATTGATATATTAATTGATTACTATATGGTAAATAATGCTTATAATTAATTTCAAAACAATTATTTTACTTGAATTTAATTATTCTCATTTTCAAAATAATATTGCATATTAGAATGTAGCTCATATAACAAATTAAAAAACTTGATTAATTTACATTTCCTCCAAAAGATGAAAGGCCTTTCTTTATAACATCAAAAATTAATTCATATCCAAAATAAAGCTTTCAAAATGTGAATAAAATTAAATTTTTATATACATCATGATTTCTAAACTTGAATGCTAAATTCATAAGGGATAAAAAGTTAATGCTATTTGTGTTGATACTTATTGCCTTGGCAATACATAATGTTGTCCTCTATGCATCAAAGAATTACATAATGTACATGAACATAAAGTCGTGTCTCTAACCTCTTTATAATAATTTATTTCCAATCAAGATAATATCAAAAGATAAAATGATGAATTCACTTCTGTTAAATAATAATTAATAGCTAACAGACTCTAATTAGCAGAACTTACAGAAATTATAGATGCAAAAATAGATCAACTCAACAAAAATTAGCTTAATTTTAATTTATCAATAGATTAATTGATGACTTACGATTCAGAAGAATTACAAATCCTCAAAATTTTACTAAGTCAATATGTAATTTAGAATAATTCAGTTATTGGAATTGATGAATAAATTAAATTGAAAATGGAAATGTAAATCTCTTAATTACTTACATAAATCAATTTTTTAACCACTGAATATACAAAAAAAATAAAATAAAATCTGTCTAAACTTTCTGTTGAGTAATTTAAAGAAGAACTGAAATTTTCAGAAGTCAATAAACATAAACATATATAATTAAATGAAGGCAGAACTGCAACACTTACATAATAAATAGGATATGCAGTCATTTATAGTGAATAAAGCTTTGATCCTTCTAAAGAAAGCTTCAAATGTTCTTTCTTAGTCAATGTAATAATCTATTTTAATATTTATCCTAGAAATTATCTTATGGTCTAGTTGGATTTGGCTCTTTAGAAGCAAGCAAATAAATGCAATATTAAATTTATGATTTTTCAAAAGGACATGGTTTCTATGCTCTTCATAATACTGGCGTCATTTATCATAGTGATGATCAATCTATTAATAACACTAAAGTCAAACCTCTTTCATTTGATAAGGCAGATTCAATTATTTGTTATTATGATGCTTAATTACAATCATTCACATTTTTTAAAGAAACCAATAAGAATGAGAAATATACTATGAAACTTAATGATACTTCTAAGAAATTATATCCAGTTGCAATTCTCTTTGGTCCAGGAGATTCTATATCATTTATTTGAATGATAAATAAATTTTATTTTAAAATTTATATTATACAATATTATTTTATAAATATATTTATTATTATAATTATATATTTATAAATTAAAGTTTGAAATTCTAATTACTTCATCATTTCCACTTTTAATCTAATCATTTAAAAAATAAATTATTATTATTAAAATATAGAATAATTATTGTAAATATATTTATTAAATTCTTGTATTTTATTTATTTTTATTATCTTTTACTAAATTAAAAGTTTTATAAAATTCAATCAAGAATTTTTCGTCTACCTAAACATAATGATAGCCTACATATTGTTTTTTTTTACTTTCAAATATCTTTGTAAAATATTCTATTATTTGCGCTTTTTATTACAATTCTTATATTAAATTTAATTGATTTTCACTATTAATGCATTCTTTACAATCTATAACATATTTGCTTTTCTTGCATTCACGAGTAAGATTCAAGAATATTTAGAACTCTTAGGTATAAAAGTTATATAACATTAATAAGGAGTTTATACTTATACCGACTAATTATTTTCTATTTTTGCGACATTATCTTTAAGTTATTAATTCGATTATTGAATATTACAATTCCATTTATAAACAAAACCTTTAATTGTTTTCAATACTTCTTTAATTATCTCTTGCAATTTCTAATCGAATTTGATATAGTCTTTAAGAAATATATAATATTCTGAATATAGAATTTTTCACATTCTCACTTTAATTCTTAAAAGTTTCTACTTTTTGATTGTTTTTGTGGTTTACTTATACAGTTATCCTCTTCATTATGACAATCTTTTCATAAAATAAAATTCTTACTTATTATGATTATAAATTACTAAAATTTATGAAAAATAATCAATAAGATAGACACACAAATAATGAATTATTATGAATAAACTTTTGATTACTGTAAAATTTCTATTCTGCAAGCTAAAGAAAAATATTATTTTTATTTTAATCTCTTGATAAAAAAAGAAAGAAGTATTTATAATAAAATATAAATTAAATATTATAATGATTCCATTATAATGCTCTTAACATGAATAAGAAGAATAAAAATATATTTGTGTTCATCCCATCTGCCTTAAAAAGGTTAATAATAAGTTATGTTGCATATAATGTTTTGATTCTGATCATTGTAATAAGAAATTGAATCAACATAAATTTATGAATATTTCAGAAGTGGAAAAAAAGCATTCACTAATTCCTATATTTTAAAGAAGCAATTAGAAGAAGAAATTTTAAAAAATTAAGACCTGTAAAACAAGTTTGAAAACAGATTGATGGAAGTTTTGAATTCTATAGTTAGTTGGTAAAACAATCAAAAAAAAATATTTAAAAATATTGCTGATGATTCAAATAGAATACTTATTGAATATTAAATGATGGCAACTAATCTTGAAAAAAATCCATCTTTAGATTCACTTATATATTTTTACTAATAAAATATAGAAGAAAATTAAGCAGAATACTCAAATATTAGAGAGCAAATGAGAAGATATTTAGATTATTAGATGAAGGAGATTGAATAAAAAAGAGATATCTTGATAACTTAAAAAACTCTTTTCTAAAGAGATATTCTAAAATTTAATTATTTAGATAATAAAATTCAATTCAATTGTTTTGATGATTAAGAATTTGAGATATGTTAAAAACATTCTAATAAAATTAAAATGTTATGTACACATCTTAATTGTTTATCTAATTAACCATTACAATTATTGTGCAAAAATTGTGTTGCAGTAGAACATTAAGAGCATTATACTCAAAAATATGTTAAAAATATTAGTTCAATTCTAAAGGAATAGGCTGAAAAAACAGAATTAATAGAAAAATTAAAAAAAAAATATAGTTTAGATATCTAAGAATAAACTGAAAAAAATTTATAGAAAATTTCTGAAAAATTAGCTAGTTTATATTAAAATTTTGAAAATTAGAAAGATTCAAAAAACTTAAACTCCAAATTATATTTTGAATAACATAGACTTGAACCTTCTCAAAATTACAAATGACTCAATTAATTTATAATATTAGCATATCTTTGAAAGTTAGAATAAATTTAATGATGATTTCTAATTTAGAAACGAAATAGATTCTAATTTAGAAACATTCCTTTCACACTTTACCAATTTACAATAAGAATTTAAATTGAATTAAACATAGCTTGTAAAATTGTAAAGCACAATTGAATAGCATTATCAAAACAATAATAATAATAATGATATTTCAATAAAATAGTAGACTAAAGCTATTTAGGATTTACAATCAAATTTGAAAACAGTAATTACAACGGTTTAATAATTTAAAGAAGAATCATAATTAGAGAAGACAAATTCAAACAATATTCTTCAATAGATCTAAATAGCATTAAAAGAATAAGTGAAAGTTATTTAAGATAACTTAAAAAGGCTTTCTGAAAATTAGAAAGATAATGGATATATAGATAAATAGAAAAGTTAAATGAATAGTTTAATAAATTAACTTAATAATATTTAGGAAGACATTATAACACCTAGAATCTGCATTTTTATTTTGTTTGGTTTAAATGTATTGATACTAGTTTTTATTTATTTTATGAATTCAAATCAACAGAAAAAATTAGAATTATGAGATTGTCCAAAAAAACTATTAAATAATATATCTATGATATATATTAAAAAATAGTTTTAGATGTAATTTAAAATTATAAAATATTTAATTAATGAATTTAGTTTTTTTCAATAACAAATTGTGAATCTAAAAAGAAAGTTATTAAATTTATTAAAATTGCATTTCTAAAAATGTTAAAAGTGATTATTATTAATAAATAAGATAATAGTAAATATAATTATATTAATAATTAATACAATATATGGGATAGTTTTTAGGTCATTTATAAAATGCATAACCTCCCTAATCCAATCCATTACTAAATAATTCAATATCAAAATTAAGAGAGTATCATGGGTCTTTTCAATCAGTTTGTGATACATTTAGTATTGATTTGACAGAGTTTGAATAGATATTTGGAAGTAATGAGACTATGTTTCAAATATGGGATACAGATAATAATGGGTATTAATAGTAATGAATATGTATAGATTGATCAATGCTTTAGAATTGTTTTCAGGTTTAATAATATTTGCAGAAAGTAATTTTGAAGAGAAGGCGAGATTTTTATTTGATCTATTTGATTTCAATGAATTAAATTCTTTAAGTTTAGTATGAATATGTGATAAATTAAGATTGATTTAGATTTTATGTTGTTATCATGTGCAAATGCAACATTTAAAATAATGCAAATAAATAATGAAGTAAATGAAGAAGAGATCTCAGATTTTTTGAGTAATTTTTTTTCAGACAATTAAAGAGTAAATATAAGTTAATTTTTGAAATGGTGTGTAAAAACAGAAGAAATAAGATAATTTTTGTAATTAATAAAAAAGGAAGCTCCAGAATTGAAAGTGACAGCATAAACAGAATAACTTAGTTAGAAAATAGATGTTTTAAGATAAGTATTTAGTAAGGAATTCGGAAAGAAACTCTTATTACCAGATTCAAAACGTTCATATTTTGATTAAAGAGGTCTTGGGTATAATTAATGATTGTATATTAGATCGATTTTATAGTCAAAGGCATATAGTTCAAAAATATAGTGGATAAGTAGTTTAGCAAAAAAGGTTTATGCACCTTAAGCTCAAATGTTTTAAAAAGATGTATATGCTAGAATGAATTGGGTATATGGATTTAGAGGAAAGGATGTGAAAAGGCCTTTACTTTATATAAAGATTTAATCAACTACCGATAAAGCATTAAATGAAAAGATGGTATTTTTTACAGCATGTATTATAATTGTATATTATCCAAAAATAAATGAATAACGTCATTATTTGGAACATGAGAGTGAAGTGATAAGTGTAGCAGTTGCAAATAATTTGAGTTTGATGGCAAGTGGAGAATATGCAGAGTAACCAGCTATACATATTTGGGATAATAATACATTACATAATATTGGAGTAATAAAAGGTGTTCATTAAAAAGGTGTACATTTATTAACCTTTTTTGGAAATGATGAATTGTTAGCATCATGTGGAATTAGAGTTGCTTCTCCAATTTTAATTTATAATATAAAAGATTTCTCTTTGGTGCTTTCAACTTAAGTGAATGAATTTGCAGTTGACTTATTAACTATTAAGAATTTTATAGGATCTTTTGGAGGACTACAAAATTAATAATAATAGATAAGTTAATAGAATCAAACTAATCCATTCAAAAAATATGAAAATTCATTTGTTGTTTGTACAATTCAACAAATTATTTAATTTCAATATTATGATGGACATTTTTTGACAAAAGAGATTTAATTAGAATAGTATAATTTATTTTCACCATTAACTTGTGCGACAGCATTAAGAATATATGCAAAAGATCCATATTTAAAGGCATATCAGGATGAAGGAGAAGAAGCAATAGTAATAATATCAGGACATTAGAATGGAGCGGTAATTTTATGGGAGAATTTCGAGACAATGGAGTAAATGACATCTTATAAAGATTAGATAGTTTGCATAACAAGTTATTAGTTAGGAATAATAATTGGTACAGATGGAAGTACGATTCATTTATGGGATTTTAAATTCAAGAATAATATAAAGAATATAGATTTGACAGCATTTAGTTTTAAGTTATTTAGTTATGTAATAAGTGACATAGTGGTTGCTGGTGATAAATTATTGGTTGCTTCAACGGAAGGAGATGTGGTGGAGATATTTTTGCAATAGAAATAGGAAAATTCTAGCAATTCTTTTGTGAATAAATTAAGAGGAAATAGGATAAATTATATAATATAACTGAGTGGAACATTATAGGCATTATGTATATTGGAGAGACCAGATAGTGATGATAAATTAGTATTTTGTGCAGGGTCGTAATCAACAGTATATGGATTTTCATTAGAGACACATGAGATTGTGGATGTATGGACAATAGGAGATTAAATATCATCAATGGATTGTATAAATTTTGAAGATGGAGGAGCAGTATTTGCTTTAGGAACAGTAAGTGGTAAGGTATATTTAAGATTGGATTGGGAAGAATCACCAAGATGGTATGATTGTAAACAGTAAGTAAATGATTTAAAGTTTTCATCAGATACATCATGTTTAGTATGTGCAGTTTAAGATGCATTTGTATATGTGTTCTTTTTAAATAATACATCATATTTTTAGACTGCTCCAAAGAAGATACATTTTGAGGGAGAGTTTCCAATATGTTTAGATTTTGTGGATGATTGTAAGGCTTTTATCGTAGGGACAACAATGAAGAATCAATATAAGATTGAATTACCTGATTTAAAGTCTAAGAATTTATTATAGGAGAATGAAAAATTGAATTCAACGACATGGGTAATACGTTATCCACTTAGTTCGAGTAGTAATCAAAATTCAAAGAAAGATTAATATCTGCCATTACTAATTGGAGGTGATGTAAAGATATTCTTAGCAGCAGGAGAGGGTGGTTATGTATATTTTTGGAGAGATAGAGAATAATTAGAAACTAATTGTGGTGGATTTTTAAGAGGACATGCTAGTAATGTAAGTAGATTATAAATGACTAAATCATAAGATGTATTTTATACAGTTGGTACTAATGATAATACATTAATTGAATGGAAGATAGATTTCATTAATGATCTAGCAGATTTCTCTAAACCATTCTAATAGGACGATAAATTATAAATCAATAAACCTGGATTGAATAACTTTTCAATGGCCTCAAATAAATAGGATTTCAATTAAACAATAGATGAAATCTTTAAAAGAGAAAAGGATTATTGTTTCTTTTTAAATAATATCTCAGATAAATTCAGAGATAATTTTGTGTAATTTAGAGCTACCAATTAGAAGATGTTAAATGGATTATTATAAGAACTCATTCCACCATTTGATAAAAAGTAACATGTGATGAAACGTGCACCACCTTTATCCTTGACACTTGATTATATTTATGGTTATTTGGCCTATGATAAAAGAAGAACTCTCTTCTATGTTCATTTCTACAATAAGTAAGAAAAGAAAAAGAAGGGAACATAACAATAATAATAAGATCTTAAATCAGAATAAAGAAAACGAATGGAATAAATGAATTAATAGAGTATTATGCTACCTGTCTAATTTTAAAAAGAAATGTTATTTGCTAAATAAGCCCTATTACCTTATGATGATTCACATAATGATTGTTAAAGACATTTTGTTTACATTACTTCCAGAATAGCAGTAGTCTACAATCCATTGAATAATCAATAGAAATTCTATGAAGGACATAGATTTAAAATCACTTGTCTTGCTATTCATCCCTTAAAATGTTTTGTGGCTACAGGTGAAAGTGCACCTAGACCATGTATTCATGTTTGGAATGTTTTCAATACTGAACCTGTTAAGATCATTAAAACTAATCATAAAAATGGAATCTATGATTTAGTCTTCTCCAGAGATTCATTATTTATAGTCAGTATAGGAATTGATGAAACATACTCCATTTAAGTTACGTCTTGGAAAAATGAAACTATTATTGCATTTAGAAATTCAGGCACCTTCCCTATCTGCTGTGTTATGTTCAATCCTTATAATCGATATGAATTTGCTACTTGTGGATATCAAAATGTTACTATCTGGTCATTATAAGGAAGGAATCTAATTAGAAGTCAAGTCATATTATCAGATGAAGTCAAATATTCCAATGGTTGTTTTATCACTTGTTTAAGTTATATCTCCTATCTTTTAGGAGATAAAATTGAAAGTGATATCATTGTAGGCAATAACTTTGGAGATTTAGCTTTAGTCGCTTGTGGTAAATATATTGTTGTAAAAGAAAGGTATCATATTTATATCTCATTTAGAGCTCATTAAAAAATGATTAATTGTTTAAAGATATCTGAAATACTTGGAGATAAGGTTGTAATTATCACAAGTGGAGAAGATGAATATATAAAAATTTGGGATACTAAATTTAATTTAATAAACGAATTCAATATAAGAAAGACAGGATTCTTTTAAGATGGCACACCAGCTATTAGAGTATGATATGTTTTTTAATTTAGAACTTATCAGCATAATCAATTGATATATTTTCATGTCGTGTTCCAAAGAGACATTTGAATGAAGAAGAAGTTGAAGAATCACATAATTTATCTGTAATGTTAATTGGTACTAGGAATGGGGATATTTTGGAAGCAGCATTCTAAGTAGAATTTTAAGGTCTAAAACTATAATAAATAAAAAAATAAGAAAGTCATTCAGATGATGAACATAGTAATTCTCATGATTCAAGTGGATCTGAATAATAGGAGAGATAACCTTATACAACAACTGAGACATTGAAATTCAATTATTCAATATATATGAGATCTCATCAATCATAGATATTTGATAGTAAATAGCAAATCGATTTCTTTAATAAGAAGATGTTTATAACTCTTCATCCCACTTAACCAATTATGGTATCGATGGGAGAAGATTAAAAGTTAATTTTATGGGATACTGAGAATAACTCTCTGTTATTAGTTAAAAATATGGGTATGACTCCAACAGCTATTCGTTTATCACCTGATGGAGATCTACTTGTTATAGGTTTTTAAAATTCAATGGTTGTAATTATGGATTGCAAAATTAAAAAGAATACAATGGGAAAAGTGAGTGAGCGCTATTTATTACCCTCTTTAGATATTATAATGAATATTAAAGATAAGGATAATAAGACTGCTGTTTTAAATATTGAATTTTCACATAAAGGAGATATGCTTGCTATCTCATATGATAATGCTCGTAGTTAAAAAGATGTATTTGATTCAAAATTGGAGAAGGAAGGTTCTTTCATATCTGTTTGGGTTAACAGAGGTTCTCATCGTACATCGAAATATAGAGCAACAGATAAGAACTTGTATTTAAAATATACTGATATACGTTGTCCATCACTCTATGAATCCTATTAAACTGATAATGATACTTATGGTGTTGCTGCTTATTTTATGACCTTTAGTTAAGATGGTAATTATCTATTGATTTATTATCAATTAATTAATAATCAATAAACTAGAATTAACAATGACCCTTAAGGTGTGTATATCATTTGGGATTTGAATTCAAATACATCAGTCAAAAATTGGGAGACTATTAAAAATATATAATGGAAGAAATTGAATTTTCCAAATAGTGTACATTCTCAATATTAATTTTATGATTCATTGATTGGTAATCCTAAACAAAAATAAGAATAAGAAACTAATTTAGCTAATGAAATACTTAAGATTCCTGTAATGTCAGTAATGGTGGACATTTCTCCATTTCTAATCTGTGGAAGTACAAATGGAGATTTACATTTAGTGAAATCATCATGTCTCTATTATGATAAAGATTTTATTACTGAAATTAGTAAAAAGTAAAAATGTTTGGCTAAATCATATTCTGCTCATGTTTCATTTGTTAATCAAATAGAAACTCATTAGAATGCTCAATATCTCTATACTACAGGGATATTGGATGAATGTATAATGAAATGGAAATTAACAGAAGAATAATAAAATTGGGATCTGGATTATTTAATTTATGATAAGAAATAAGCAGATCTATTTTAAGAAGTCTAAGAAAAAGAAAAATTCAAAAGCTTATTCTCAGAATTACTACCATTACGTTAAGGTATATCTGATAAGGTCAAGAATGTAGATGATACTAAACAACCCGAAGTAGAACTTAAATTGTAGAGTATAATTGGAAGAAGAGCATTCACAAGAAGAAATAATTTATTTTATGATTATGATGAAAGACTCATCTATGTGGCAGGATGTAATCTAGTTATTGCTAGTTTAGATGATGAAGAAGAATAGGATGATAAATTCACATCACATTTCAAAAAATATAATGGTGGATATACATAATAAGAAAATAATTCGGTTTTTCAATAGTTTATCAAATTGGATTAATCAGATACCTCATCATCTCCTGAAATCTCATGCATTACACTGAGTCAAGATAAAAAACTATTATGTGCTGGTACTATTGAATTAAATGCTAAATTATTAATTTGGGATATATGCTCAAGAACTTGTGTTAAAAATATAGTCATTAATAATGCTGTTATGATTATGAATATCAAATTCGCATATGATAATAGACATTTAATTTGTAATGCAATCACATAAGAATATAGATAAGAAATACTTCTCATTGATTCAGAAAATCATTAAGTTTTAGGTGTAGTCACTTATACATATTCAATACCTTACAAAATTAAAGACTTAGAATTCTATCCTAATAGTGTCTTTAGATTTGTAACATGTGGAGTTTAACACATGTCCTGTTGGTAGTTTGCTGGAGGTTCATTAACATTCCAAGCTATGGAAATCGAAAATCCTAAAGATTTAGTAGAATTAGTTGAAAATTAAAATGATGAATAAGAAGGAGTTTAAGATAATGAATAAGAATAAGATGCATTGAGAATAACATTTTTAACTGTAATATTTGTTTAAGATGCTATAATAACAGCAGGAGAGGATGGATTTATTTATGTTTGGGATGATAAAAAGATTAATAAAAAATAAAAGGCTCATCCAGATTAACCAATATTTTGTTTATATACAAGTAAAGATTCTTCAATGTTTGTATCTGGAGGGATGGATGGTAGAGTGATTTTATGGTCTTTAAGCAAATCAGAATATTCATATGTGGTTGAGAAGATTTATGAATATAGTATAGCAAATGAATAATTAGGGAAGGGAGGATTGAATCCAAATTTACATGTTCAATCGGTTTGCATAGGATAGAATTATATATTAGCAGGTACACGAAGTGGTGATATTTATGAGTTGGTGAGACCAAATGAATCTGATTTGAAATGTATATAACTGGTTATTATAATTTAGCATTAACAAAGATATAGAAGGATATGGTGAAATTGAGAATAAATAGTACTGATCATGATTAACCAAAAGTGGTAGCATTTTCTGGTAATGCCTAGAAATTATATTCAATAACATAGAAAGGATTGTTTGCAGTATGGAATTTAAGGAAATTAAAACGTACATATTCATTTGCATTTGAGAAGGCAACATTGAATTTAATAGTATGCAAATTGTCACCAAAAATAATAATAGCATTTGAATTGGAGGTAATAGTATTGAATGATCATGATTACAGTGTGAATTCGAATTATTCATTGAAATAGAAATCAGCAATATCAGATATGAAATTGAGTGTTGATGAAAAGATGCTTGCATTAGCTTTATCAAGAAATTAAGAATAGAATGCTAAAATAGAGATATATGATGTAGAGAATGAAGAGAACAATTTTAGATTATTATGCAGCATAGATAATTTAAATACAAGTGTAGAATATTTGGATTTTTCAACTGATAATTTTTACTTGTTTTATAAGGATGTTTCAGATGAGACTGCGTTAATAGATTTAGATTAATAGAAAAGAATAAATAGTATGCATATGGAATTTGATTTGGAATGGTGTAGTGATGGAATAAAATTAGCAGAAAAAGCAAAGGGAGTACATTCATGTTATACAGATGAAAATAGAATACATAAGATTACATTAATAGGAGAAAAGTCAATGGCTGTAGATATATATAATTATAAAGGTTACTGATGATATGGGAACAATTAGAATATTCAATTATCCATGCACTTCTGGATAAGGATATATGCGTATATACACTGATCATATGATGTATATAAATCAATGTGTTGCCAGTCCAGATAAAGAAACTCTGGTTACAACCTCAGAATAAGATAAATGCATCATGGTTTGGAAAATACAGAAGATTGATGTGAATAATACATAATGATAATTTCATCATTTGAACTACACTTTTGGAAGTCCAGCTAAATTGAAGATGTGCTTATTTTTCTTTAAGAAATTGTCAGTTGTTGTTCTTAACATATCCAACTCTGTTTCTATATTTTATTATTTACTAAATTTTATTATTTATCTATAAATACGCCAACATAGTATTCCTCTCTTAATTAGCACATTAGGCATCTTAATATGCTAATCTTCTTTCATGTTCTAAAAAATCACTCTTCAATTTTAATTAATAAATCTACACTATCAATCATTATCAATTACCATCTTTGCATCTTTATTTTATTACTCTATATTATCACTCAAAATCCTATTCTATTTTGTCTTTATATCATCTATCTCATGTAACAATTATTCACAATATGCTACCTAATCATCTAATTCTTATTATTTCCTTTCCAATTCTCCTTATTTCACTGCTAAATCAAATTAAGACTTTTGTAAATGATTTGTTAAATCATCCACTTAATTTTATAATCCTTTTAATTCATCCATCAACTCTGCTACACTGTTCTTACCTACACTTCTTAAATTCTCTATTATCTCTTCTGCATCAACTACTCTTTATTTATAATAATTCAAATCATGTTCCATCACTTTACAATGATCTATTAATTTAACATGACTCTTTTCTAAACCACCAAAATTTGATGTCATTTTCCTTATAAAATCTTTTAATTGTTTATCAATATTCTTCTATTCAAAAAATTATTAAGTAACAACTATCTTCTCTATCTTCTAATATTTATCTGATGCCATTTAATTCATCTAATTTACATAGTCTGCATTTAACTATCTTAATTTTTCATTCTCCTATCTCAATTACTTTATCTATGCTTCTTAAGCTAACAAATCTAATTCATATATCTACTCTTTAAAGTTTATGTGCATAATTTCACTTTTGTCTTCAAATACTCTACCTAAGATTCCATTTAATCAGGTAAAGCTGATGATGTTTCACTTTCCTCATTCTAATTCACCCTACTAAAAACAACGACATTATTATTCATTTTTTATTATTATATAATCTTTTTTAACTTATTTACAAACATACATATTATTCTAAAACAAAATTACATCATCATATTTACTAAATCTTATATATACTAACATTATTTATATTTCTTAAATTCAAGGAATCACATTAAATATAGTATATTCCTTTTCATATTGTCTACTTAATATAAATCATATAAGAAATTACAACCCTATTTGGAGAACATATTTTATGAGGGATTATTTAAATAATATGGTATTCAAGAAGTATATTTTAAAGAATTTAAAAAGCTAATTTTATTGTGTTGGAGGGCTAATGTAAAAAGAAATAATTCTAACAACAAGAACTATATTAATAAATAACTAATATAATATATCAACAATAATTATAATTTTAAATAACTAATATAGCATAATAATAAATCATTAATATAAATATATATATAACTATAATTATAAATATCCTAAATATAAAACCTTATAAATATACTTAAATGCTAATCAAACAACATCAATAAATAACATATATAATATAATTAAAATAAGTAAATAAGTAAATATCACTATTCCAAACTTACCAAACTACTCTAATCACCTTCAATAGGATCACTTAACTCTTAACCATCACATTAATATTATTCTTATTCATCATTTTAATATTCCAATCCAATATCACCATCCAAAACCTGCATGCAAGGCTATTCCAAAATATAACCATATAAAAATATTCTTTATTACTCCAAATCCTACTAATAAAGTATTTCCCAAATTTCATCCATACACTACCTTTCCTCCTAACTACAAATACTCATCGAATTCTTATAAATAAAATAGAAATAAAATACTTTACTTTTAAATGTTATATAAGTCTATGTTAATTATTTATTATTTATTATTTCTGATTTTAAAAAGAAACCCTAAATTTTTAGAGAAAAGTTCAACTAAGGAGTTATGAGGTAATTGGAAATCTGACTTTCTCGTAGTGTAAATTAACTAATTCATAACAAACCCAATAGATCTATGTTTCTGAAGAATTTAATATATATGTCACTATAATTATTTTCTGTTTTCTTAAATCATTTGTGGAAACATTATTTATCTGATACTTTATATTTTTGCTTCACAATTTAGATGAATATAGATGAGTTATCTTATTATTAAGTTTTATTATTTAACAGATCTAATCATAGATTATACGATAAAATAAATAATAACTTTTAAATTTGTTCATTTGCCTTCATTGTAGAAGGATAATATCCTTTCAGAGTCATAGTTATGAAAGAAGGATTGATGTTACAATTATAATAAACTAGTTTATCATAATTAAGATTTCAGTTTAATCTTAATTAATTAAACTCTTACTATAAGAAATTGCATTTTAACAAATAGAATTATAAAGTAAACCAATCAAATTCATTCCATTCTTAATCTATTTTATATAAATATAAATAATAAAATTGAATGTTGTTAGAATTTTATAGAATGATAGAAACTGACAATATTTTTTGTTCTAAGGTATAAATTATTGAAGATTGTAAAAAATTAATAAAAATAATGATTAAAATTATCATTTTCCCTTTTTAACTTTATAATAATTTGGGCAATTCTTCTTGACATACTCTTCTTCATTAAATTCTCTACAAGTTGATTCGATTTCTAGATATTACTCTTAAAGATTCTTAACATTTTGTGTCATTTAATTGTATTTTNCTAACAACAAGAACTATATTAATAAATAACTAATATAATATATCAACAATAATTATAATTTTAAATAACTAATATAGCATAATAATAAATCATTAATATAAATATATATATAACTATAATTATAAATATCCTAAATATAAAACCTTATAAATATACTTAAATGCTAATCAAACAACATCAATAAATAACATATATAATATAATTAAAATAAGTAAATAAGTAAATATCACTATTCCAAACTTACCAAACTACTCTAATCACCTTCAATAGGATCACTTAACTCTTAACCATCACATTAATATTATTCTTATTCATCATTTTAATATTCCAATCCAATATCACCATCCAAAACCTGCATGCAAGGCTATTCCAAAATATAACCATATAAAAATATTCTTTATTACTCCAAATCCTACTAATAAAGTATTTCCCAAATTTCATCCATACACTACCTTTCCTCCTAACTACAAATACTCATCGAATTCTTATAAATAAAATAGAAATAAAATACTTTACTTTTAAATGTTATATAAGTCTATGTTAATTATTTATTATTTATTATTTCTGATTTTAAAAAGAAACCCTAAATTTTTAGAGAAAAGTTCAACTAAGGAGTTATGAGGTAATTGGAAATCTGACTTTCTCGTAGTGTAAATTAACTAATTCATAACAAACCCAATAGATCTATGTTTCTGAAGAATTTAATATATATGTCACTATAATTATTTTCTGTTTTCTTAAATCATTTGTGGAAACATTATTTATCTGATACTTTATATTTTTGCTTCACAATTTAGATGAATATAGATGAGTTATCTTATTATTAAGTTTTATTATTTAACAGATCTAATCATAGATTATACGATAAAATAAATAATAACTTTTAAATTTGTTCATTTGCCTTCATTGTAGAAGGATAATATCCTTTCAGAGTCATAGTTATGAAAGAAGGATTGATGTTACAATTATAATAAACTAGTTTATCATAATTAAGATTTCAGTTTAATCTTAATTAATTAAACTCTTACTATAAGAAATTGCATTTTAACAAATAGAATTATAAAGTAAACCAATCAAATTCATTCCATTCTTAATCTATTTTATATAAATATAAATAATAAAATTGAATGTTGTTAGAATTTTATAGAATGATAGAAACTGACAATATTTTTTGTTCTAAGGTATAAATTATTGAAGATTGTAAAAAATTAATAAAAATAATGATTAAAATTATCATTTTCCCTTTTTAACTTTATAATAATTTGGGCAATTCTTCTTGACATACTCTTCTTCATTAAATTCTCTACAAGTTGATTCGATTTCTAGATATTACTCTTAAAGATTCTTAACATTTTGTGTCATTTAATTGTATTTTTCTTCCAATTAAAGTATTTCAGTCTAAAAAATAGATTAATAGATTACATGTAAAGTATTAATATTTTATTAATGTTCTTCTCTTATTTATTCTAGATGTCTTAGTTTAATTTAATTTGAACAAATAGATTCATCATAAAGTTCCAAAAATTCTTTTTTATTTTTTTACTTTCCTTTAACACTTCCTTTTTTCATATGTTAAGGCAATGCAGTTATTAATTAATTTAATTTTTCTCTAATTTAAATATTTTCTTAAGCTAAGATAGTGTTTTCATCTTTTAATTTTTAATAAATATGTTCACTCTTTTATGATTTTTGTATTTTGGTTGAAATGATATTCATATTGTTTTGTAATACTTATATTCTTTAAGTCTATATATAAATGTAAAATATGGATTACTCTTTTTTATAATTCTTCCCATTATTTTTGTATAATCTTTTCAAGTTCATTTTATCTTTTATCTCCCATAGCATTGGCTTGCAATTAGTTTCTGACTTCAGATTGAACAGCTTTAACTTTTTCGCTATCTTATAAATACTTTTCATTTTGCTTAATATTAGAAAAGCCATTATACTTCCTATAATTATTTCTCTACTTGAATTTTGATTTGTTCAGCTCTTTATATTTTATTTTGATAATCATCAATTTTTTGTGTTGTTTCCTCAATTCTTTATTATAAATCAGCTTCTGATTCTTTTGACTATTCTATACTGCTTCTCATTTATATAATTTCATTTTAAATACTCTCAAGATGCATATACTAAATTTAAATAACATACATTATACTAATTGACTTTTCAAATTATTTTCTTCTTTCATTTACATATCAGATTCTTTTTTTGCTTCTAATTTCTATCTATACATTCCCTCAATTTCTAAGAAAGCTGCTTCATCATCAGAAGACTCTCCCGAATGCATTTCTAATTAATCCTACTCTTCTTAAATTAATTGCTTTAAATGTTCATTCTCATCTTACACTGTCTCTCTCTTCTCTTATAAACTTTAAATGTTCTTAAATAATTCACTAAATTTTGAAGTTAAACTTTCTAAAAGAACCTCANTAAATTATTGAAGATTGTAAAAAATTAATAAAAATAATGATTAAAATTATCATTTTCCCTTTTTAACTTTATAATAATTTGGGCAATTCTTCTTGACATACTCTTCTTCATTAAATTCTCTACAAGTTGATTCGATTTCTAGATATTACTCTTAAAGATTCTTAACATTTTGTGTCATTTAATTGTATTTTTCTTCCAATTAAAGTATTTCAGTCTAAAAAATAGATTAATAGATTACATGTAAAGTATTAATATTTTATTAATGTTCTTCTCTTATTTATTCTAGATGTCTTAGTTTAATTTAATTTGAACAAATAGATTCATCATAAAGTTCCAAAAATTCTTTTTTATTTTTTTACTTTCCTTTAACACTTCCTTTTTTCATATGTTAAGGCAATGCAGTTATTAATTAATTTAATTTTTCTCTAATTTAAATATTTTCTTAAGCTAAGATAGTGTTTTCATCTTTTAATTTTTAATAAATATGTTCACTCTTTTATGATTTTTGTATTTTGGTTGAAATGATATTCATATTGTTTTGTAATACTTATATTCTTTAAGTCTATATATAAATGTAAAATATGGATTACTCTTTTTTATAATTCTTCCCATTATTTTTGTATAATCTTTTCAAGTTCATTTTATCTTTTATCTCCCATAGCATTGGCTTGCAATTAGTTTCTGACTTCAGATTGAACAGCTTTAACTTTTTCGCTATCTTATAAATACTTTTCATTTTGCTTAATATTAGAAAAGCCATTATACTTCCTATAATTATTTCTCTACTTGAATTTTGATTTGTTCAGCTCTTTATATTTTATTTTGATAATCATCAATTTTTTGTGTTGTTTCCTCAATTCTTTATTATAAATCAGCTTCTGATTCTTTTGACTATTCTATACTGCTTCTCATTTATATAATTTCATTTTAAATACTCTCAAGATGCATATACTAAATTTAAATAACATACATTATACTAATTGACTTTTCAAATTATTTTCTTCTTTCATTTACATATCAGATTCTTTTTTTGCTTCTAATTTCTATCTATACATTCCCTCAATTTCTAAGAAAGCTGCTTCATCATCAGAAGACTCTCCCGAATGCATTTCTAATTAATCCTACTCTTCTTAAATTAATTGCTTTAAATGTTCATTCTCATCTTACACTGTCTCTCTCTTCTCTTATAAACTTTAAATGTTCTTAAATAATTCACTAAATTTTGAAGTTAAACTTTCTAAAAGAACCTCATCCATTTTTAATAACTAAATAAATTGAATTCTTTAAATATAATTATATATAATACCTGTTAAATATATAATTATTATTATACATAATAAGTAATGAAACTATTTAAAAATAGATAAAAAGGTATTTTTTATTCAATTTTATTCTTTTTCAGATTTTTCATTTTCTTTTTCATTTTAATTTTCAATATCATTATCATTATCAATTTCATGATCATGATCATTATCATTTTAATTTTCTTCATCTCTTGAATCACTGTTTTATTGAGGTTCACTATCTTCTGCAATTACTTTATTAAATATTTATCTTCCATCAACTTCTTCATACTCTTTTCTTAATTTTTCATTATTAGGAGAAGTAGGTTTATTTGTAAAAATGCTTTGTAATTGAGTAACTTATGGATTTGAAAAATTCTGATTCTTTGGTGTCTATAGAAATAAAGGTTTTGGGAAGAAGTTTTATTAAGGAACCTTATTATCAGTTTTATTTGATAATGAAGACTTTAAATCGAAACGTTTTGAGGTTGATAACAATTATCCATATCCAGCACTTTCATTCATTTTTGGTTGTTATTACTATGATTATACTTTCAATTTTTCTTTATCTTTTTTCATCTTAATCCAATCATAAGTAGAAATACCTTTATACCTTAATTAGATTAATTTGTATTTACTTAAAGAAAAGGTGCATTCCTAATAAATAAGAAAGAACAAATAGGATTGGAGGATCAAGAATAATACTTATTAGAGCAAGAATTTAGAAAGCATATTTCAGTAAGAGGATGATGTCTTAAATAATCCTCAAGCATTTAAATATGACAAGTAGAATCACCAAGATAAAAAAGTAATTGTAGTTCTTTCTACCTATACAATTATTTAACCAAATACAATGATGATCAAAAACTTCAACACATCTTATTATTTAATATGTTACTTATTACAACTAAAACAGTGTTTGGACTTTTCCATCACATGTGCTTAACACACCAAACAATAAGTCTTCAAATCTGTTTTGAACTCTAATCTAAAAAATTAAAATTATTATATACACCCTTTCAATTTAAAGTTTTGTTCCTTCAATACTATACTATCAGTAGGATCTATCAGGGTAGCACTTAAACAAGTATAAACGATACCCATCGTTAGAATTGTAAGGACTATTAACATAAATTCCTAAATCCTAAATTTGTTATTCAAAACCTTAACTCCTTCATCCATCAAAAATGCTATCACAAATGATATTATCATATCAAAAACTGTATATATCCAACTCACTGCTTAATACAGCTAAATATCGCTACAACCATGGCGACGAATAGGTCTCAATCGTTCTTTTTATATATCTGCATCCATAATATTGATTATAAAATTTTTATGAGATATATATTTTATGTACATAATCACAATCATTTTTCTTTGAATACAAATTATAATAAATTATTTAGTTCTTTGATTTAGGTAAAATCAACTATATGAACAAATATTCGATTTCCATCATAGATTGTTTATGTCATTTTCTGAATTTCTTTTTCTTTTCCAGATATTTTCATATCCAATCTATCATTTCCAATTAAATGTATGGGAACTTTTCCTGTCATTTTATTTTCATTACATATTTTTTAAACTTATGTAATTCTTTTCTTAAACAACGAAACATCAAATTATTCAAATATAATCATGATACAGTTAAAAGTTTCATTTATTCTATTTTCTAAATCCAATAATCCTCCTTCACTTGAATCGAATTCCTTACACAATTAACCAAACAAATTACCCAAAATTGTATTTTTTATTGTTAATATAACATGCATTTAACATCTAAACCAATAGTTTGAGGTAAATTAGTTACCATAGGAGTTTAATTTATTAGACTACTAATAAAGGCTGTTTTTCCAACTGCTGTATTCATACCCAACACAGCTATTTTATAAAATGAACCTAATTTGATTGAGTCTTATGAAGAGACAGACCTACAATTTGTGAGATTTTCGTTTGTCGATCTTACATCTATTGATTTTTAGTAACGGAGTGAGATGTTTTTCTAAGTGATTCCTTAAGTTGCACCCATTTTTATTTTAATAATAAATGCAATAACAAAAAAATAAAAAAAGGAAATTTTAAAAGCATCAAAGATCTGGTTAATAAAATGCTTCATCAGATATTTTATATAGTGGATTTCTAATCACATGTGATAAAAATAGAGAGAGAGAAGCTATAAAAGAAGGTTATTAAATTATTGAACAATATGTTGAATTAATTTATCCTCAAGAATCATAAAAATATGAAAAAATGCTTTAATAAAATACAAATAATAAAGGGATTGTAAAAATGCTATATAATTTTGAAACTAAAGTTAAATGTGTGATTTTCATCAGAATTAATAATTAAGAATTTCCATCAATAGATGTTGATGAATTGAGTCGAATGATCTTAAGTGATGTTTATGAAAAGTCATAACAAGTTGCTCGCTATATCTATAGATTGATTCCCATCTAATATGTATTTAGAGCAATTATAGATGAATTTAAAAAATATGCTACTTTGTTAGTCAATAAGTATTTTCAATTAGACAGACCGCATCCATGGTTTTTGATATTCAAAACCAGATACACTGATAAAATTAATAAACAATAAGTCTTATCAATTTTATAAGAATTGATTGAACCTTTACATTATCAAGACTGGTAAGAACCTGAATTTGTTTTCTTTGTAGAAGTAAATGGAGCCATTATGTACATAAATATATTACCAAAATATCATGAATTTAGGGAATATTCAATTAGAAAAGGTGGATAGCCAGTTTTAGATAATGTTCCTGAGAGAAAAAATAATTTTACTGATAAAATAGTAAAGAAAGTTAAATTTTAAAATGAAGAAGAAGTTTAGAAACCAATAGATATTTAGGATCCGAATTCAGATTTTTAGAAGAAAGAATTTTTTATAGAATAAGATGTAGATCTATTGTGATTAATTTTGGATCATTTAAATAATAAATAACGCAATATTTTTAAAGTTTTCTCAATATCTGTTCTAACTTATATATCTTCTACATTCACTAATTTGTTTTTGGAAATCTTACAAGTTATCCTTGTCTTGTGCTTGAATGCATAGTTTTTCACCTTATTGGAAATTTTACCTGAATAAGACGAATTGTTTACAATGCAGTTTAATAATTTCCATTATTGCTATAACATTTACCCAATTTAAAATAAGCCTTAATATTACAAGGATCAATATATAAGACAAATTCTAATAATTCCATTGTAGCTGGTTTCTTTAAATATTCTAAGTTGAGTTAAATGTTATTAATTAATTAAACTCCAAATGATCTCCATATTGAAGTATTGTTGAATGCCAATATCGATAAGTAATACTCAATCAAAGCCTTTTCATATAATTGTTTTTGATAATATTTAGTTCCTTGAGTTCTATGATATTCAATCCATTCTTATCTCTCATCTAAATCTAAACTCTATAAAAATGTTATTAAATAATTCGTCTTACTTCTGTCAACTTTCTTATTCTTTCATCTTTTTCAGCTCTATCTTTCTCTATCTCCATACTTGATTAATTAGATTGAATTACTTACAGTTTTTTATCACTATTATCGAATTCCAATTAAATTATCTTCTATTTTATCAATTATGTAATCACTTAAAATCTTGTGCCTTCCAATTCCATTGATTAATAAATAAAATTATATTTTTTATAATATTATTTCATACAAACATACCATATATAATCATTCATTTTTTTATATAGAGAATACTTTTCATGTATTAATCAATATATGTAATTTGATTCTATTGATTTCTTAAAAATTAATTATGAAAATTTATTATCTTCCTATAAATAATTTGAATTTCAAATTTTTACTTAATAAAATATGAAATCAATTAAACAAAGGTTGACTCCTACTAAACTAAAGGATGTAAGTAATCTTAGTAGAATTTGCTGTATCAATCATACTAATAAAACTGCTAAGTATTTTTTAACAAAAGACAACTCAGTTTTTTTATGTTCCAAATGTGCAGTTTAAATTATGGGTAAAGGATAGAAAGTTGAAGAAATACCTGGTCTTGAGGAAGAATTTAGAAGCAAATAAATTAATCTATTTATCAATTCAGTCAATAATAACATTCCTCATATTGATAAAATGATGAATGCCTTAATAACTAAAAGAGATGATATTTAAAAATACTATGAATAATAAAAAGAAAAGATTGAAAAATTTCATTCTCAAATTTACAAAATCTTAGAAGAAGATAAAATCAAAAAGTTATAATAATTACATAATAATTTTAAGAATGTATCAAAATAATACGATGAAAGTATTTAAACTTTATAATAATCTAAATCTGAAACTATATCCATGAAGAGAGACATAGAATTTAATCTTAATTCCATTATCAAATCAATTCAAAATGATCCTTTTAATGAAATTATGGCAAGTTATTAAAAAAATCTTTCAATATTTATTGGAAAAACTGATCATATTGCCAAAATTCCAATTGACGTCCTAAAAGTTACCCTAAATGAACCAATTAATATAAGTCATCTTATATCAATATAATAATTAAAAACATGTTTAATCAAAAAAAGCCTTCAGGATAATAATAAACCAGAGATTAATGATAGCGTGAATGAAGGTTAGGAAAAAAAAGAATATTTTACTTAACCCAAAGTTAGTAGAATGGCATTGTCTACTGTAAAAACACCTAAATAAGATTATGGTATTAAGAATGTTGCCTCATTTGAGATAACATGTGAAGAATGTTATGAGGAAGGACATTCATAAATGATTGAAAGAGATGATGTTGAGAATTCCTATTAAATGATGTTATTAGAAACACTTTCAGATTAAGAGGAAAATAAGCCTGAATAAGATATTTTAGGATCATTTGGACCTTGTTAAATTAATAAAAATAATAATAATAATCATAATACTATATAACTAAAAAATAATAATGTTACTTAACCAAATAATAATAATAAATTGTTAGTTTCAAAAATTATAGAAAGAAATAATATAAAAAATGATAGAAATTTAGAAAAAAATTATATGTTTAAAGCTATAAATACATCCTTAAAACTTGCATGATTTTGTATACTTTTTTCATTTATTATGATTTTATACAATTTTATTAAATTATAAATATAAATATTAAAATATCAATTATTTGTATCAAAGTAAACATTTGTAATTATAGTAGCAAAGATTCCAAGAAAACTAGCAATTAATTAAATTGCTAAACTTTGTGTCATAGCAATTCCAAGCACTGTGAAAGGTTTATTCTTTTCATCATAACATAAATCCTAATAAGCTTATTCAATAGCATTTAGAACATATTAAGAATATAAGAAAAACCAATTTTTGTTTTCATTTAATGATTCAATTTTATCAATAGTAATTTTTAGAGTTTTAAACATGAAATCTTAAGGTTATACATGATATTCTTTTTTAATAAATGATTAAGTAGATAATTATTAGTATGTAAACATATTTTTTTTTAACATCGTTTAATGAACTTCTGAATGTTTATTGATTCTTGCTCCTTAAAAAACAATTAAAATTGTTAAGAAGAGAATAGTCAATACATCAAAACCAATTAAAACAAAAAGAGAGATTTTACTTGAATCATTTAACTTATAACAACTGATAACATCAAACATATTGAGTATTGCAAATATAATTAATACAAGTATAATTTCAAGGCAAAATGAAATAATTGCATTCTCTCTTTAATAATATTGTAAACCATAATCAACTAAGACTTTCCTCAAATTTTACCATGAAAATAGAGATTAAACACATAAAAAGTTTAAAGTAGGAAATATCTTGGTTTCATCAAACTCTTCAACTTGTTATGCTGAAATCAAATGAGACAATTAATTAAGGCAAAATACTTTCCTCTATAAATCTCTTAAAGTTATCAACATGATTAAAACTACAAAACAATATCCTAAAGTGTTTAATGATGTAATAGTTATAAACATAAAAATTTAAATCCAAGACCCATTCCAAAATTATGAGTAATATATAGTCAAAATTATTCTAAAACTACTGGCTATTAGGGCTATGAGAATGTATATATACATTGGTGATTGATTATTATAATATTATATTATTTCAATAGCCATTTTTAATCCATTTCCAGCATATTTAGATTCTTTATTTAAGTTATTAAATTGATGTTAAATTTTATCTTTTCTTTTTTCATTTGGTTAAACTATGAAATAAAAAACAAATAATGCAGGTTCAATATGCATTCTTTTTATAGATTATTCTAATTCAAATTAAATAAGTTCAGGAGTTTATTTGGCCCATAAAAGAGGATTGATTTGAGTTTCAAATTTATTAAAGATCTCTTTAAGTGGAAATTTCTCTAATAACTCTAATTTCTAAGGATGATAGAAAGCTAAAATAATATTTTACAAAATAATTTCTGCAAATATATGGATGCCAAAATATAATAACACTAGGATAAGATATAAATAAATACATTAAAATGTTAAAGTGTCTATAGGTTAAAGTAAGAACATTAGAATTAAATATAGATCAAGAGCATATCTAAGATAGTTAAAGAAGACTTTCCATGTGAAACCTAAGAGTTACCAATTATATAGCATTTATTTGTGATTCCAAATAAATATTAAGATATTGAGGGGTCCAAGAGTTTGAACCATAAAACCAAGTAAAGTATATTTAATAAAAGAATTTACTTAGAAATGAACTTCATGTGGTTTACTTTTGTATTTAGGATTGTTAGGATCAAGTTAATAAATATCTGAATAATCTTCAATAAAAATGTCGTTAGTTTAGGATGCTTTTAATATCACAGGATCATTTTAAATTTTACTACTAGATTGAATCATTTTGTTTTAAATATTTGCAATGATAGAACTATGAGAATAGAGGGAAGGTGCAATACTTACTAGTTCAAAAGGTATATCTTCTTCAATCAGCATAAATAAATTTTTAAAAATTATTAAGTACATATGTTTTTTGCAGAAAAATAATAATAAAATCACCAAAACATAAAAAATTAATTTTATCACTGCAAGCTATTGAATAAATGTTCAAGAGATTGCTTCCTAAAATAAGATTACTAATACTCTCTAGTTTGACTATTGGATGCAATTTAATTTAAAACCTACATTTTACATTATTTATTGAAAAACAATTTATTTTACAGAATTATTTAATTTAACAAGTTTATATTATTTATAAATCAAGCAACAATTCAATTTTCCGCCCTTATACAATTTTAAGATTCCATTCTGAAAATAAATTAGTGAAGAAGTTTGAATAATCATATATTAAATTTTATTTCCACAACTATAAAAATTTAATTTAATTTTTTCATTTTATATTTCTTTTATACATATTTATATAACTTTTCAAGTATTATATTGTATTTCTTCAGCCTCCCAACCCTAAAAACTCAAATCTATTTTCTCCCATGTACCAATCTTCATTCCTTCCAAATTATATTCTCCATTGTAGGAAACCTAAAAGTGTTTATCAAACTCTTCATCCAACTCTACCCACTTACCAATCTTAATCTAAATGTCTCCCTCACTATAACATCCACCACCACTAAAATTTATTCACCTATACTCACTATATATTTACATTACATCTCCTTCATATATTATATCCCATCTACCTACCTTCATACCTTTGATATTATATTCACCACGATAAAAGACTTAAGCACAACTCCAAAAACCTTCCCATAATTCAATCCACCTTCCAATCTTAATCAATTTCTCTCCCTCATAAAATGATCCACCACCACTAACCCATAATCATATAACTAATTTTTATAATATTTACATTTTATTATATCCCATTCCATCATCCCTATTCTAACAAATATCCCATCTACCAACCTTTACTCCTTTCTAATCATATTCACCATTATAAGTGACTTCTTTATACTTTCCGAAATTCATCCACAAGTCCACCCATTTACCAATCTTAATCTAACCCTCTCCTTCAAAATATGATCCACCGCCACTAAAATATAATTATTCACCTATACTCACTAAATATTTACATTACATTTCCTTTGTAAATTGTATCCCATCTACCGACTTTCATACCTTTAAAATTAAATTCCCCTTCATATGTGACTTATTTATCCTCTTAAAACTATTCATCCACCTCCACCCACTTCCCAATCTTAATCTAGCCCTCCTCCTAACCATAATTTCCACCCCCACTTACATAGTTTTATAGAATAATCTATAATTCTTACATTTATTTATATTTTCCATTTAAATGGTAATAATTGATATCCCATCTACCTACTTTCATACCTTTGATATTATATTCACCGTTATAATATACTTAAGCCTTATCGTTTAAACCTTCCCATAACTCAACCCATCTTCCAATTTTAATCTATCCATCACCATATAATCCCCCACCTCTAACATAAATACATTAATATGATGTTACATTTATGTAAATTTTTCCTCTTTATTTAAATGGCAATAATTAATATCCCATCTACCTACCTTTTAACCTTTCAAATTATACTCTCCATGATAAAGTACTCCAGCCTTATCGTTAAAACCCTCCCATAACTCTATCCATTTCCCAATTTTAATCTATCCATCACCATATGATCCTCCACCACTAACAGATTATTTGCATAAAATAGACTAATATAATATTACATTTATTTATCTTCATTTAAATGGTAATAATTAATATCCCATCTCCCTACTTTCATACCTTTGATATTATATTCACCATTAAAATATACTTAAGCCTTATCATTAAAACCCTCCCACAACTCTACCCATCTCCCAATCTTATTTTCTCCCTCACCATATGATCCCCCACCACTAAACAATAAATTACATTAAATATGCTAAATAATATTTACATTTATTTAAATCCCTTTCCATCTCGATTATCAAAACTAATATCCCATCTACCTATCTTGATACCATTCATATTATATTCACCATTAAAAGTAACTTATTTAAAATCAGAAAACATTTCATCCAACTCTACCCAAGCACCTTGTTTTAGCTCCATTTAATTATAGATTCCTCCTCCACTTGAATAATTTATACTAATAATACTACATTTCTTTATCTTAATATTTATACTACCAAGTTCCTTCCCTTTACCCTTTTATATATTCTCCAACTTCAAATACTTTAGCATTACTAATAATGAAAATATAATTTAATTGCCTTACTCATAATAATTTTTAATAATTTCGTTCCATTTTCCAAATTTTTTACCATCTTACTAATCGTACTGACCACCACAACTGATGATTTCACTATTCCATGCTGCTATCCAGCTTCCAACTTTCTTATAATCTTTTCCAAATTTCCCAATCCATTCTAGATGCTTTATTTCTTCCAGATTAGTAATTATATGTGGTCTTGATTGCAAATCATAATGTTTAAATCTTTTAATATATTATATTATTACCTGTAAAGAATTTCACCATTCTATATATAATAGAATTCTCTTTATTTAGTATATTCGATCTGAAATTTAGTTTTCTTCAATAAAACCCCTTATTTTTACAATCCTTCATATTCTATTATTTTAACTTCCCATAAAATTCCTTAAAATTATTTCTTAATTAATGCAATAAAATTTTCAACTTAAGTTTTGAACCATGAACTACTTTAGTCTAATTAATTAAAACAAATTTCTTTGAATGAATTCCAGTTATTTAATTTGTTACTTTGCAAAATCTTTACCATCTCATCAAGTTATGAATAGGATAAATTTTAAGGCGAAATGAAAAGGTTTATTAAATTTTTGTATTACTAATCTTCTTTGTCAATCAAGTCATATATTTTTTTGATAGCCTCGCTTAATTCATCCCACAATTATTTTAAATCAGCTTATGTTTAATTAAACAAAGCTTTAAACTAGTTTTAAAAATTTTAGAGATTTGAATAAGATTGAAATTCTTATGCTTTCTTTTAAAGTGAAATAAGAAATAATTTATTTGGAAGAATTTACTTCTTTTCTACTTCGTGTGTAAATTAACATACAGCGCAAAGTTTTCTTTAGCATTTATGTGGAGCTATACATACATAAGATAAAACTTCTTATGGATGAACAGGACAATTCATATTAATAACAAAATGTTATTTTTATTATTAAAATTTCTAAAATTTAAGACCTTTAGGGTAACAAAATAATTCTGAATGTAATTTTTCTAGCAATACCATCTCTCCTATTTAATAAACTAATTTCATCTCTTCATTTAAAAAATCTAAGTGCAACTCAGTTATGGAGAAATAAGAAAAATTAAATTAATCTTTATTATGAAAAAAAAACCTTAACTCTTGATTTGATGACTAGATTATTATAAAACTTGTTCTTGAGAAGTATATTTTTCCTTTCTTGTAGTAATAAATTTATAAGTAATAAAAAATATATTGAATAATTTTTATATTACTATTATAATGTATTTATATTTACATGAAGACTAAGACATTGCACCGCCAATTGTTGAAGAGTTAATCTTTGAAAATGAAAAATAAGAATAGTTTGAAGAAGGTTATTCGAAAGAATAATCAATTCTTTTATAGCTAGAGATAGATTATTTCTAGAGATCAGANCGATCTGAAATTTAGTTTTCTTCAATAAAACCCCTTATTTTTACAATCCTTCATATTCTATTATTTTAACTTCCCATAAAATTCCTTAAAATTATTTCTTAATTAATGCAATAAAATTTTCAACTTAAGTTTTGAACCATGAACTACTTTAGTCTAATTAATTAAAACAAATTTCTTTGAATGAATTCCAGTTATTTAATTTGTTACTTTGCAAAATCTTTACCATCTCATCAAGTTATGAATAGGATAAATTTTAAGGCGAAATGAAAAGGTTTATTAAATTTTTGTATTACTAATCTTCTTTGTCAATCAAGTCATATATTTTTTTGATAGCCTCGCTTAATTCATCCCACAATTATTTTAAATCAGCTTATGTTTAATTAAACAAAGCTTTAAACTAGTTTTAAAAATTTTAGAGATTTGAATAAGATTGAAATTCTTATGCTTTCTTTTAAAGTGAAATAAGAAATAATTTATTTGGAAGAATTTACTTCTTTTCTACTTCGTGTGTAAATTAACATACAGCGCAAAGTTTTCTTTAGCATTTATGTGGAGCTATACATACATAAGATAAAACTTCTTATGGATGAACAGGACAATTCATATTAATAACAAAATGTTATTTTTATTATTAAAATTTCTAAAATTTAAGACCTTTAGGGTAACAAAATAATTCTGAATGTAATTTTTCTAGCAATACCATCTCTCCTATTTAATAAACTAATTTCATCTCTTCATTTAAAAAATCTAAGTGCAACTCAGTTATGGAGAAATAAGAAAAATTAAATTAATCTTTATTATGAAAAAAAAACCTTAACTCTTGATTTGATGACTAGATTATTATAAAACTTGTTCTTGAGAAGTATATTTTTCCTTTCTTGTAGTAATAAATTTATAAGTAATAAAAAATATATTGAATAATTTTTATATTACTATTATAATGTATTTATATTTACATGAAGACTAAGACATTGCACCGCCAATTGTTGAAGAGTTAATCTTTGAAAATGAAAAATAAGAATAGTTTGAAGAAGGTTATTCGAAAGAATAATCAATTCTTTTATAGCTAGAGATAGATTATTTCTAGAGATCAGAATTCTTTTATATCTTAGTTCAAACATTGAATATCACGGTCTAAAAATTTAAAGAATTTATATCCCAAAAACTTTAAGATTTTTCGGAATTAAAACTCTGGTCTTTATTTTATTAAAATAATGAGTTAAAAAATCATTTAGAACTTAAGGATTATCTAATTATAAACAATTCTATTCTAATTATTAGGCCAAAATATATTAAAATCTCGATTTATTATGTATAAAAAGGAAAAAAGTATACTCTGGAATGTGATTTAAATCTGAGTGTGTATGATTTAATTTGCATATTACAAGAGAGGACGAGTGAAAGAGAAATAAGTCTATATATTTAACAAGAATTTCTTTGTGAGAAAAAAACTTTGAGAGATTATTAAGTTAGGGATGGTTATTGTTTGTAAATGTATGTAAAATAGTATGGTGGTGGAGGTGGTAAAATTAAAAATAGCTAATTAAATTATTAGCAATAGTAATAATCAATTGTAAATGAATCTAATATAATTGAAAATAGCAAATCAACTAATTAGCAATCGTAATTTTCTATTCTCCTAAACAATGAAATAATCCAGATAACAATAATAACAAAATAATCAAGCTTCAAGCTTTCTGTTATAAAGGGTTTAAATGCAAAGGAATTGAGAGATTTAATTTAATTAAATTAAATTATTTCAAAAACAGATTTACTAATTCTAAATGGGGCTATTTTAAATGAAAAATTCGATTCAGAAGCACCTTTGAATTTAAAAAGTTTTGTTATTTATGTAATACCTTTGGTATTAGGAGGTAGCTGCATGAAATTTTATATTGAAATAAATGCTCTTGAAATAAAAGATTTATCTGATTTAAAAGAATCACTTAATTTTGTCTCATATAATATCGATGAATTATTTTAGAATGTATTGGATTATATAAAATCTAACAAAACAAAAGCTAAAATATTCCAGAAATTTAAATTACATCAATTGGTAGCTATTATGTTATGGACAGGTAATAAAATATTTAAAAAACTGAATGAAGATTTAGGAGTTTATAAATATGAAAATTGGAAAAAATATCTTAAATGTTTGTTGGATGGATTGAAATGCTGTGATTATTACAGAGGATTATGCTATAGAGGTATGAAAAATTATCAAAATACTTAGATATATTCAAAAGGTAAAATAATTTAATTTCCTTAAATATTGTCTTTTTCATAGAATTAAAAAATAGCTCAATAATTTTCTAACAAAGCTGGAATGATACTTTAAGCAGAACTAGTTAGCTCCAAAAATATACTTTAATTATCCTTAGTACCTGAAGAAGAGGAAGTACTTTTGGTTCCTTTTACTTGTTTTAAAATAATAGATGTTTAAATTTCTAAAATGTAATCAATAATTGTTAAAATGAAGGAAATTGTATAGCCTCAATAATTAAAGATTATACTTTGGATTGATGAAAATCCAGAAAATAACTATATTATTGCTAAAAAATTAGAATAGTAAAATTCAAATTTGTAGATAATCTTTAGCTTGTCAACAGAAGATGCAATTTAAACTTTATAAATGTACAAATGGTTTGTTTACTCTTAATAATCACAATTTAAGATTATAAGCGATATGGTAAGAGTTGAATAAGGTTAAATGAATTACTAAGCTGGTATAGATTTATTAAATCAACTTCATAATAAATTTAATTATAAGAATGAAATTCTATTTTTCGTTAATGATGTGGAACAAACCAAAAGTATGCTAGATAAAATTCAGGTAAAAAACTTTTTAATAACAAATAAACTTAATATTTTAGAAAGGTTCATTAATAAGGAATGAGATATAATTAAGATTTATTTTAATCTACATTATGCAATTTTTCACAAACATAATATATATAGCTATTAAAAATGTAATTTCATTATTTTGGAGGATAAGCAGCTTAAAAAAATAGCAATTACCTTAATGAGACTCTAGATCAGACAAAAATACTCTTTAATTTTCTGAAAAGAAGAAAAAGTGTTTAAAATTGGTTAATTAAAAAGTTTTTAAGCGAAATATTTATTCATTATTGTAGATTTCATCATCATTGGCCTTTTAATTATCATCATAAACATTTTAATCTATATGTAGTAATTGAACAATTTTAATTGTATTAGGTAATTTCTAATGAATTTGTTACAAACTTTTATCATTCATCCATAGATAACTGATTTCAATTGCTTTTATGATTTTTGTGTCTTCTACATTAGTTATTATTATTAATAATAAACATAATGATTAATAATCTAAATAGTATCTTTTTTAAAAAATTAAGAATGAATAAACAAAAGCAAACAAAAAAGATCTTACATTCATATATTCGATCTTAAGGAGAGTAGTTATCAGAAAGTAAAAAAAGACAAATATAATCTTCTCTCAATAACAATTTTTTATTGAATAATAGAAACTCAAGATTTTGAACTTCAATTTTGACTTTTAGATATCTCATAACTCCCTTTATCACATAATAATCCTTATTTATATTATTGTAATTATTATAACATTTATGATATTTAAATAAAATGATTATAAAAATATGTATATAGATATATCAATAATATAATTTCAAATATTTTGTTATTTTAAGTATGTATTGAACATTTGAAATTTTTCACTATTTTCATATCCAATGATGAATTATACAATATTTTTTGATTAATTTAATTCTGATTGAACAGATTCAATTGATTAGAATAATTTTAACGAAAAATTGTAAATATTTTTACAATTAATACATTTACATCCAGAATTGCAATACTTACCATCTTGATGACAACTACAAAAATTGTTCTAACATTAAGATTTTCCACAAGTACATCCTTTTAGATATCTTGGTGTTCTTTATTTATTTCTTTTTTATTTAATTAATCTCTTCTTAATTTTTTGCAATTTCTTATTCATTTATTAATTCTAACAGTTTTAACATCCACAATGTTTACTACAAGTCTATCCTCTTGCAAAACATTCACAATAACTTTACTGACATTATGATTTACTACATTGACATTTAATTTGAGGTTAAAAATACTCTGAATCACTATTGTCTATTTCAGAACATTTTAGATCATCTTAAATGTCTCCAATATCACTTTTCTTTTTCTTTTCCCCCAAAGAAGAACATTATGTTGAATATAATACAGAATTAGGTAAACTTATCTATTCAAATTAATCATCAATCTATTATGGTCTAAAGTTATTATAATATTGTTTACCTATTCTATTGACTGTTTTCATCTATTATTCCACTAAATGACAAACAATTAGAATTATCTATAGCTTCACAATCTGATTCACTATAATATCTCATTAGTGGATTCATCCTAGTTAAATAATTATATTTCTCAAGTTTAAATGGAACCAATCCCCCTTATATAGTATCAAATTCAGGATTCCTAATAAGATGTATATATATTTTTATGTGTTATTTTTGGTTCTTTCAATATTTATTTATTTATATATATATATATATATTTTATTCATATGTTTTTTAATGACACTACAAGTTAATAATAAATTGCTCTTACTCCTGATTCTAAAGTTACTGAAAGAATCAAAATTCCTCAAACTTAAACCAAATAATAAATCATTGAACATCATTAAAGTATTAACAAATTACTTGATAAAATGAATGAAACTATTGGAAGAATATTTAAAACCAAAGAAGATGAATTAAGAGGAAATATTAAATAATAAATAGATGAAGCATAAGCATAAGTAATATAATTGACTAATGAAACTACAGAAGATTAAGTATAAAGGAAATTAAAAGAAAAAAGATAAGAAATTGAAGAAGAAAGATAAAAAATATTATAATCATCTATGGAATTCTCAAATAAATGTATTGAATATAAAAACAGTCTCAGCAAAGTTATGACTACAACTAAAGATTTAATTTCAGAAATTTAATTTCTAGATACTTAATTAATGAGTGCTAAAATTACTAATTAATAATTAAAAAAATAATTAGAATCTATCTAAATTAATACTGTTAATCAAGATTATTTTAGTCATGAATCCACTTTTAGATAACCTTAAATTTAAGGAATGGATATTGAAGGTGTTAATGAACAATATTCAAAGGCTGAATAAGAATTAATTAAAACTAAAAAGATTTATGAAAATATTGAATAAGTCAAATAGGATTCAGCTTTTGAAGAAAATTAAATTGAAAAAATATTTCTGGTATTCTTTCATCCTTTATTTTCTAGGAATGTGTCTAAAAAGTTAAATAGCATAAACTTAATACTGAAATCTAAAAAGTGTAACAGCTTAGCAAAAATCCAAGACAATTACTCAAACCTATTTAATCATTGAAACAATTTCACAAACAATAGGAAGTACTAAATCAATAAGACTTTATTTTCTCTGATATTGAATTCAATGATATTCATAAGAAAATGATCTTTGATGAATTTTTATCGAGAAATGAAATCAAAGCTTTGATTTATAATTTATTGTGATTTCTTTTTATTTTTGAAATCAATCTAACTCTTCATTCTCTTACTCTACAATTAATATTATTTATTAAAATACAATAAATATTTACAAACTTAATATCATACACACATGTAATGTCATCTTTTACTTTTTTATTATTATTATTTTTTTACAGGCTACTTATTTTACAACTTATTAGTTAATTCTTCTAATTTTAATTAAACTTATCTTTCAATCTCTTTTTTTTATTCTTGACGTAATGTTTCTTCAATTCTTTTTAAATCCTATAATCGTTGCATTTCCAATCTATGATATTCAATTTGTTATTAGGTGACAATTTATTTTTGAGTGACCATTTATTATTATTAATCTTATTTTTTCTTGCTCTCCTCTTCCATCTTTTCCTACATAACTTTCATAACCTTTTCCTATTTTTTTTGCTTACTTGATTTATTCTTCTTAGTTTTTTCATTTTCCTTTTTCCCTTAAATCTATTAATACTGATTTTAGATAATTGATGTATTTTATGCTTCCTATTATTATAACTAATTTTATTATGGTTATGTATCATCTTCCCATTTTACAATGCCAAAACACTTTAAGATAAGCATTATAAAATAGTAGAAAATCTTTAGAAGGACAAAGAGCCCAAAAATAGCTTATATTGTTTATAACATTAATTAATCATTAAAACTTCTATTCGTTTTATATTTTTTGAAATGAAACAAAAAAACTGCAAACAAATTAAACATACATATTGAAGAATAATCACTTCTTTAGAAATTTTAGGTTATTTATGATCTATTTATAGTTTTTGATAAATTTGATAAATTATAAACATTAAAAATCTGTATTCAACTTAATAGAAATACATCAAATCAATCGATTGATATTTCATTAATATTTCTAGCTATCATTATTAATAATCAGCCTAAGCCATATGCAAATCTAAATTAATAAAGAAGAGAGGACAATAACAAAATTTCTTACGGACACATTTGAACATCTTTTGTGTCGAATAGAAAATTTACCTTAAGATTTTGATCTATATGATATATTCATCGACAATATTTTATATATAGTAAAAAGAAAGACATCGGCCCACATGATTATATATAAAAATTGTTGTTTAGAATTTAGGGTAATGATCGAATTAATTAATCCATAGATAAAAAAAGCAGATCTAGTAATTGATCATATTGATGAAAACAATATTCGAATATACTTAGATCCAACAAACAGGAAAGGAGAATCGTTAATAAAGAAAGCTGGAACGATATAAAAATAAAAAATAGTTAATTTAAATGAAGAAATTAGTAATTAAGAATTAAGGATATAATAAGAATATATTTATGATGCTTAGAAACATGTAAAATTAATTAGAATTCCTTTAATTTGTTCACAAACAAAGTCGACAATTTTTTTTTATGAAATTGATTAGGAAAGTAGAATTGATAAAGTTATATAAAAGAAATAGAATTTTGACAAGATAGCAGCAGTATTTACTGAAGATGATCCAAATAATGAAAGAATTCAATAATTTGAAGATCAATTAAGAAATTTAACTCTTATATTTGATCATCATAATAATTAGGTTTACTGGGGTGATTTATTGATTATTTTATGGAGTAATGGAATGAAAACAGTGGTGGATTATACAAACAATTGAACGACTAAATGATATCTAAATATTATATATTAAATATAGATAATAATAATTAATCAACCAGAGTAAATGTATCTTGAATAATAATTTAATTTAAAGTCTCTAATTCCCCAAGTGTAAGCAATATTCTCAGAATTGGCGGTAATGATTTGTAAGAATACTTAAGAATTTAAATGTGGATAGATTTCTTCAATAGTATAAAAGTTGCTGTTAGTAGATGCATCACAAAATAACATAGTTTAAGTTTTAAGATATTTATTAAATACTTGTAATCCATCAATATAGAAAGTAAGTTAAATAAGTTGATCTGCAGGTGCTTTAATAAAGATTTTAAAGTAAATATGAATTTTTTAATGTTCTGGTATATTTTTGATAATTTTTCGAAGTGAAGATGTTTAATCTAATGATGAAGTTCCTCCAAATAATGTTTTAGCAGAACATAGAGATAGATCAAAAGATAAAGGAGTGAATACCCAATCTTTCCAATCATCATTAATTAGATTCAAATTGGTAAATTCAGATGAATACAATTTCTTATCAAGTGTTAATGCAAAGTTTCTTATTCCCCAGAATCCAGTAGCTGTAGATATTTAATTTGTATATATTTGTACAATAAGTGTATTTTATGAATGTGCAATATTAGTAATATTGACAATAATTCTTGTATCGTAATCATCATCTACACTACATAATGGAAGACCATCAAAATTAGTCAGAGCTAGTAATGATACTTATTTCACTTCTATATCATCTACAAGTATGAATAGTTTTTCACCTGTAAATTTATCAATCTAATAAAATGTAAAAGATATTGAAATTTAAGTATGTGTTTATGTAAGATAATATACTTTTTAAAAATAGTTATTTCCTTAAAAGAAATTAGTATTAGTTGAAACAATACTTTCCATACATCTTTTACTTGTCAATTAATTTGGTTTAATCATTTGCCAACCATCTGTATATATAAATGTTGTTTCTGTAAACGTTGAATAGAATTAAAATAATTTATATAGAATATCATCTTAACAATCTTACGCACTTGGTCCTCTGCATCCATAAATACATGAATTATGACATTTCTTAATATAAATTTCAAAATCTCTTATTGCCCATTTAACAGTTTAATCACTAAATATGTAATCAGTTGGATATGTAGCAAAATTTAAAAACTATTTTTAATGACTTAAATCAAAATTTATATTTGATATCAAATCTCCAGAAGATTCTAAAGGATCATATACATAATTGCAGATATGAGGTGGTTTAAGTTTTTATTGAAAATTTTTAGTCATTATAATTGATCCATCTACTTCAATCATCCAATTATAATTGTATCGATATAAAATATCATATAGTAATTATAAATAAGATATCTTCACTTTATAGTGAAGTGGTAACTCTATCATTTTAGTTATCTATTAATTAAGTTTACCAAGACCAAAGAACATCATGTCAATATTTTAATCTAAATTATCTAATTTCTTTATTACTTTAACATCTCTCTATAGAAATATAAGAATTCTTATCTAAATTATCGAACTTTGAACTCATAGACCATCCCTCTGTATCATACTACATAAATTGAATTTTTTATAACGATCTATATTGAAGTTTCCAATCATTACAAACAAATTCATTATCACAAGATTCACATCCATTTGGACATTTTAAAATAAATAATTAAAAATCTCTAAAACCTAGAGTTGAATCATCATTCAAATAACTCGAACCAAAATATACCTGAATTACAATAGTAGTTGTATAATGATACTCAAGAATATCAAAATCGCTTTTCAAATGTATCTATTCAGGTATCAATTATTATTTGTATTTAATTATGGTCTTTAACATTGATACTTTACCATCAACTATTATTTATCCTTCATTATATTCAAAAAACCAAGTTATTTTACTTTTATTATTTTATTCAAATACAATAATAATGTTCCTTTTATTCTAACTGCATAATGAGGTGGTAACTCATAAAAAAATTTTATTAGCCCATCACCTTAAAATTATGCTCCTGATAAAGTATTTAAACCAATATAATTTTAATTCTCAAATGCTGATATTCCAGAATCAGTATGACGTCTTGAATAAAATACCCATCCTATAAAAATTTAAATTAATAATATCACCTTCATTTGTTGTAAAATCATTTGTTGTAAATGATGAAGCAAATAAAACTTCATTTCCTATCACTTCATAACATACACCTAAAAACAATATTAAAAATATCATGATAAACTAAAATCATTTACTTAAATTAATTCTTCTACCTTTATAAGAAAATAAATCTGAAAACGAAAAAATTACTTATTTATTGGATTTCCCTAGTTTAGATTCCAATTTTGTCATACAAACCATATACCTTTTTATATTACATTTTTTAGGTTGTTTTTACATTCCCATTTATAAATAACTTAAATACAATGACAGAAGATAAAATACTTAAATAAAATATCAAATTCTAAAATTTACAAAAAATAAAAACACAATCAATTAAATTAAAATATTTTTGTGTTGTTTATACTATTTTTTCTTGACTTAATAATAAATTATTTCTATTATTCTGAATATTAATATCCTATAAACATATGTTAATTTTCTCTAATTAAATGTTAATGTAATCTTATAATCTAATTATTTTCTTCATCTTCATAAAATATTTATGATTTATCAAAATTATCTGAATTATTAGGAATAAAAGGTGCTTTCAATTTCTTTTAAACCAATAATTCAAATGGAAAATTCTTAAACCATTTATGTTATCTTGGTTTTATCAATCTATTTTATGGTTTTCTCTATATAAGTAAATTTATAAAATCTATTGATTCATTTGACCAACCTTCATTAGAATTTTAAATCTAAACTTATTTAGCTAATATTTATTCTCTAATTTCTTTTCTATCCCCATAATATGGTCTCCTCCCTGTCATAAATTCATAACATATAACACCCAAAGCAAAATAATCAACAGCCACCCCATGATCTTATCTAAAAATAACTTCAGGTGCCATATATCCAGGTGTTCCACTGGTTTCAAAATTTTAACCAGTTTTTTTAATGGCTACACCAAGATCAGTTATACGTACATATCCTTAATTATCTAAAATCAAATTTTCTGGTTTAATATCTCTGTGTATTATATTATTCTCATGCAAATACTCCAAACCAATTATTATACATGCTACAAAAAATTCTATTTTAGATATTACATATTATAAATACTTGTTTATTCTTCAGAAAATTTCCTCATTTTTCCTAAATGGAATCTTAGATCTCCCCCTTCCAAATAATCTAACACCAAATATAAATTCTAATTATCCTAAAATGCTGAAAAAACATTGATCAAGAAATTATGTCTTAATTCAGTTAAAAATTATAATTCGCTCATTATACTATTTACACTTTATTTTAATAATACCAAAGCCTTACTAATTTCTTTCATTGCATAAACTTATTATTTATAACTAACTTTCCATACTCTTCCAAAACCACCTACTCCAATCACATATTAAAGTAGAAAATTATGTTTATTAAGTTAGCCATTTATTTCAACTGATTTCTCCTTTGAATGTTGTCTTGTATTTGAATTAGTTTTTAACTGTGCTCTCTTCTCAACCATTCTTCTTCTAGGATTTATCATATTAATATTTCTAAATAGACAATTAAAAGAAATGTCATTCTTGTCTTAATTACCATTTTTATAAGGAGATGAGAATCTCCGAATTGCTATTTTTAACTTTGTTTCTGTCATTGAATGACGCAAGCTAATTAATTTTAATTAATAAACATCATTAATTATATATTATAATTCCCCCAATCTACCCTATTCTAAATTATTTATTATTTCAAATATGTTCTTGTCTCTCCATCTCAATTCAAATATTCAACTCTATATTACATTTCATTTATATCCTATATTTTAATGATTTTATTTTAACCATATTTATAACTAAATAATAGTTATAAGGATAACCTAAATTATATAAATTATTATGCTTTATAAATTCTCAAACTAAATTTCCTATTTTGATTTATTTTGATGCTGAAATCAAGCAAAACTTCATATCAAAAGATACACAAAACATAATCTTGACTATAATAAATAGAGTAATTAATTAGTTTCATAACAAAAAAAACATATCATTCATTATCTAACATTTTGAGAATTTCATAATATCTCTAAGTACCCAAATGATTTCATAATTTCTAAACTTAAAATCTTATTTTAATTAGGAATCAAATTACTTCCTAATTCTATCTTTGTAATTCACATTTAAATATTGATGAAAAATGGGGAAACAGGAATATCATCTATCAACTCTGAAAAATGTACTATTACTAATTATTTCTATCTCTAGATATTGAATTAAACAGCCTAGTAGATTAAATTAGCAAATTTTTAAATTAATTTATTAAGTCTGAGAAAATAAAGGTCTCTATGGATTCTTAATTGAATAAAATCTTTAAATCTTTTCATATTATATGCAATTTTTAAAATTAATTATCAAAAATTAATTAATTTGACAAGAATATTTAATTTACTGATTAATCTATTTCCTAAAATGATAAATTAGATATCTAATAAAACTGCAAATGATGATTCAATTAAAACTTTAAGACGAGAGGCATTTAAGTTAAAAAATACTTTGATTATTCTCATCAGCATTTTATTTAAAATAAGACAGAAAATCTTTGGTTAACTAAATAATTAGCTTATTCATTGATAAATATAAAAACTCTCAGTTACTAATCTTAATTATTTGAGATATTGAAAAAAAAGATACCGAGGAACACAAAAAGTTTGGTTACTACACAAGTAAGCTATAAGAAATTGAAAAAATCTAATATGTTATTTTCAATAAAACTGATATCAAGTATTTAATTATCTATAAGAACATGCTGTTTATTAAAACAAAAGATAAATCAAGATAAATAGGGATAATAATAATAAATTTAAATATAGTGAAGAAGTTTAAAAAACTCTTTGAATAAAATAAAAAATTTATATTTTCAAAGTTAATTTCTTAAAAAAAGGAAAGGGCAGGAAATATAATTTTAATTCTCTAGTTGAAATTGATAGATTATCTATATAGCATCGCTATTTTGGAATTATATTTTTAAATATTAATATCTACTTTTGATTATATAATTAGGATACTATTCAAAAAATGAGAGTGGTCACTAATCTTTTAAAACCTAAGGCTTTTGAATTAGGTACTACAAAAGATATTAAGGATTTTAGAGAAAATAATTTGGATTTCTGATGCATGACTTTTATTAATAATTTATTTACATAAGAAATCACCATAAAGTAGACAGATTTAAGAATTTAAAATATTTGCTATATTTTTGCTAGACAACTATTAATTAGATTCAATATAAATAGGATTTAAAAGAAGTTTAATTTTTTTCACTTTAATTAAATACGAAACCTCTTTTGTTCATTTATCCTCTACTTTATTTGAGACTTCTTAGAAATTTTAATGTAAACTGTATAATACTGTGAAATGATATATAAGATTATAATAATAATTTATATTTGCATTATTGGATTTGGTTATGAATATTTAAATTAAATCACTTGTAGTTTTATTTTATAATAAAATTTATTTTATGCTTGATTGTTGTTCTTTATGTGAAAGACATAAAGGAAAGATAAACAAGGGACTCTTTTTATTTCCTTAAGAATATAATCAATCATATAAGAATTGCTACATATCTTAAATTGTATTGAAATTGATAGCTCTGAATAATAACAAATTAATTCTATAGGATGATTTCATGTTGTTAGATAATGAGCAAAATATTTGTGAATTATGCTGTTAATTAATGTAATATGGGTTTACATGTAAGAAATGCAAAATACTAAATTTTATATAGAATGAAAATAATAGGAAATGTCAATTTTGTAATACGAATTTGTGTTGCCATTGTGAAAATAAATTAGAGTTATTTCCTAGTAATTAATCTATTTGTTATAGCTGTTAAAAATAAGAAATAATTTCAATAAAAATAGCATACATATTGATGATAATGATAGTAGGACTATTTTTACCTTACTTAGGTTTCACATATCTTTTAACAAAGTTTTTTGATCCAGTACATCAGTATGAATTTTGTAAGAAAAATGTTTTTAGAACATTTTTATTATTTATAATATTATTTCCAATAATGTTTCCTTATGTAGTAATAGAACTTTTTATGGAAGGATTAAAAGCAATAATAAGAAAATTATAATGAAATTAATATATTCCGATTAAAAATTGATTATTTATAATTATAGTATATGCCTTTAGATAATTTAATTGGAGGGAATATTTTGAATTAAATAATATAAAAATAATTATGGCAAACGTGTTCTTTGATATCTCTTTTGGTGGATCATAACCCTAAAGTATTCAAGTTGTATGATGATGTTGTTCCAAAGACAGCTGCAAATTTCAGATAACTTGCATTAAATAGTATTAATTTATATCTAAAATTTAAATAGAACCTGGAGAGGGATATAAGGGATCTCCATTCCATAGAGTAATCACAGATTTCATGGCTTAAGGTGGTGACTTTACTAAATAAAATGGTACAGGAGGAAGATCTATTTATGGAGAAAAATTCGCTGTAAATACATTTTATTTAATATTAAGATGAAAACTTTAAATCAGACACACTAAACCAGGACTTTTATCTATGGCTAATGCAGGTCCAAACACAAATGGATCTTAATTCTTTATCACATTTGTTCCATGCCCATGGTTAGATAATAAGCATGTAGTATTCGGTGAAAGTTGTTGATGGATGGGATATATTAGAATTATTGAAAAAAAGTAATCATCTTAATGCACATCAAATTTAGATTCATCATAATAAGGATAACCAAAGACTTAAATCAAAATTGCTGACTCAGGAACATTATGAAAATATACATATTTCATTATACAAATAAATTCCATTTACATTTCATAAAATATCCAATATCTAACATATTTGATGTGTTTTTATTCTATATCATTATTTAATACATCTATACATTCTGTATCATTATTTTTCATCTATCTGTCTCATACTATGGATTATGAAAATTATATACAGAATTTATTAAAAATCTGATGATTAATATATTTATGTACAACATTAAGATATTATATTTAAATAATATTATTACTTTGATTAATGTCTCAAATTAGGCATTGTAGAATATGCAATAATACTCATAAATTCAAAATCAAAGGTCTTTTGTCTTACCCTAAACGCTTTGTAGATAAAACTATTCAAAAATACTATCAAAGATTAATGAAAAAATTTGAAGAACATTAAATATAATAAGTTCCCTTTTCTGAACATCACATTTGCTACATTTTGGATAATGACATATGTGAACATTGTTGGTTATTCATGCATCAGGGATTCTATTGTTAGAAGTGCTAAATTTACAATCATAATACAAATAAAGAATCTAAGATTTGCTCTTTGTGCAATGTGTAATATTGTATAAATTGTTCAAATCAATTGGATATATTTTCACAAAATAAACTATGTGAACTTTGCCAGTCTCATTAGAATGAATAATTTGGTACACCAAGCTTTCTACTTTCCTTTTTAATATCATTAATAATTCCTTGTTTTGCTTGTTCTTTTTTTTTAAAAAGAATGCTCAAAACAATAGAAAGATTTAACTACTCCACTTTACAAAACACATTAGCAATTAGTGCTTTTATTATGGTATTCCCATTCATTTATATACTTTCAATCCTTGGCTTCTTGATTTTATTGATTTTCAAAATATCTATATGGATATATGAATAAATGCATGACTCAAAAATAGTTAAATTGATCTCTAAATTTTTATGTGTATATAAAACTAAATGATTTATTAATATTAATGAATAATCACTCATCTTACTTTCTCAGTAATGCTAATTATATTATATTTTTGTTTATAATATCTATAAATTTTTAAACCATAATAAACTTTTTGTATATTCTATTTTCGAAGTAAAATTCATATATCTTGGAAGGATTGGATCTGGAAAGGGTATGTAAATAATATTGAAGCTATCTTATAGGATAAGTAATTATTCAAAGTATAAAAGTACTATATAGAATCGTATAGGTAATAGAAGAATAGTTCCTTTAATTTATCTTATTTATTATTTTATTAAAGTCTAATACATTTTTAATTCATGGATTCTCTATTAATTATTAGGAGGTAAATATTTAATGGATGTCTAAATATATTTTAAGAGTGACATATTATTTCAAAGTACGCAAATTTGTATGTTCAGCTCATTTTGATCTAGAAAGTTAAGAAAATTCAAAAATGAATGGAAGATCAGGTGAAAATGTATAAAATTTATAAAAATAGATTCATTATATAGTAAAATGATTAGTTAATAAATAATAGATCGTTATTAAATCATTTAATTGATTGAAATTGATGTAGATAATTCTATAGAAACAGTCTTAAGATCATAATTTGGAAACACTTAAATAAATTTTCATCTTTAGATTTAGTTATGAATATTGAAATAATTGTTCCATAAATAGGAATTATATATAAAAATTTATAATGTAACCATACGATGGAGTTCAAAGAGCTAATTAATGCTCCCCGAGGCTGGAGTATGATCTTAATTTTCATCGTATTCCTATCCTAGACTGATATTAAATATCATCCAAGTACACATACGATGCTTGCTCTAAGATTAATTATTATTATAATCAATATTATTATTTATAATTTATATTAATATTATTATGGGATTTCTCAAGATCTATATAAAAACTGTATATACTTTCTTATAACTGTATAAAGTGTTTATTATATGCCTAAGTAATTGAGACTGCAAGTTAATTAAATTTGTGAAAGATATTGTAGGAAAGGAGAAGATATTAAATTTCTATTTCTAAAATTCTTGGTTTTGAGAATATTAAGGAATATTAGTTCAATTACATAGGAGTATTAATGAGTTAGATTATTGATGAATTTAATAATAATATTTAATTCATATTCATTTCTAAATGTTTAATTAAATATAAAATTAACGATTTCCAAGATGGATTAATAACATTTTCAAACTATAGAATGTGTTGTATCAGATAGATTGACAACCAGAGGTAGATCATAAACAAAAGACACTATCTAAGTTTTATCTCCAAAATAAAATATTGTCTATGTAAAGAGATAACCATAATAAATTATTACAACAACTTAAGCGCCTATTAGAACAGAAAATATTTTCAAACCTATGATCTAATAAGTGTAAAAAGTACAAGTAGTTGACAATAGAGAAGAAATTGAATATTATAAGAGTAAATGTCTTATCTATGAAAAACAAATCAGTGAACTCAACATTGAAGTTACTAGATTTAGGACTAATCCTACAATTAAAGAGAAAATCACTTATGTTGAAGATTCCCATAAAGTAGCTGAATTGGAAAGGTAATTAATAATCTATTAAACTGAAATCAATAAAAAAACTACCTTATTGTAAGAAATTAACTTTGAAATGGAGACTCTTAAAATTAAAAATACTTAAATTACTTCTTAATTAGTCTATTATCAATAATAAAATAGTGATTTTGATAAATTAAAGAAGACTTAAATTGATAGTGAACAATATTATTAAAATGAAATTCAAAGATTAAATATTCTTGTTCAATAAAGCTAAACCTAATTATAATCCTTATAGGCTACTTTGATTGATTCAAAGAAGTATGAATAACTATACATCTAACTCCAATAGACATAAGCCAATTTAACTAATGAATTAGAAAGATGTACTCAAGTTTTGAAAATTAAACAAGAAGAATTTGAAACTACAAAAATTTAATTTATTAAAGACTTAGAAATATAATCAATGAGACTTAAGGAGTTTGATAGAGAAAACAATGAACTTAAATAAAAGGAATATTAAATCCAATAACAATTAGATAGATTAAATAAAGAATATTAAGATCTTAGTGATAGATATAATAATGATATTAGATCCAAAAATGATGAAATTTCAAGATTAACAACTGTGACCCAAACATTGTAATTGACATTCCAAGATACTTCCAAATTCTAAGAATATGAACACAGATCAAAATTATAGAGTGAAGAAATATAATTACTCAATCAAAAAATTAGAATTAAATAAGATGAAGTAGATAAATGTAAATTACAATTACATCAATATAATCTCTAATTATAAGAATACTCTAAATATATTGATTTTGAATCTCGATATAGAAGCATTCAGTAAGAATATGAAAGAATAAATAATACTTTGAGATTAAAAATTGAAGAAAATGATAATTTAAGATCATGCATCTCAAAATTATAATTAACAATTAGCGATAAATATAAATCAAATGATTATGAAAATAAAATTGCATTATTAAGTTAAGAAATAGAAAGATTACATCAAAGTCTAAAAAGTAGATAAGATGAAAATGATAGATTAAGATAAGACCTTTACACATTACAATAATCACAACCAGATTAATAATTAACAGTTCTCAATAGTGAAATTGAAAGACTTAATACTCAACTTAAAAGCAAAACTGAAGAATTAGAAAAAAATAGATGCAATTACAATCAGTTTTAGAGTAATGAATCTTAAAGACTTAAAGATTTAGAATAAAAAAATGTTGTTTATTCAAATGAGATTGATAGATTAAGTAATCTAGTTAGAGTCAAAATAAATGAATCAGAATAATATAAATAAGAATTAGTGAAATTAAGAGATTAATCTTCCAAGTTTAATTAAATTTACAATGATAACGAAAAACTAACTTCTTTAATCAGAACCTTGTAAGATGAATTAGATTAATTAAAAAGAAAGTAGAAGCTTGATGAATCTCATTTATATAATGAAAAAATTTAAGTCTTAGTTTAAGAATTAGATTCTTGGAAAACGTAATTTATTACTCAAAACAGAGAATTCCATAAAAATTAAGAATTACTTATTTTAGCATAAGCTGAATTAGATTCTTTGAAAAACAAAAGACCCTCAACAATAAAAGTAACTAATAATATTAATAAATTTTAGACTGATTAATTTACTGAATCTAACAATGAAAATAAAATTGAATTTAAAAAAAATCATACTCCCCAACCTAGTTATTTTTTAGGAATATTAAATACCAAAAATGCTTGAAAATATTTTATAAATTATAAATAATATTTTAATTAATATTTTGACTGAATAAATATTAATTTTCTCCAAAAATATGTAAAATAATTCATTGGCCTTAATATTGTACAATAAAGTATCAATCTTACAATTGAAAAGTGTTAGCTTTATGGCTTCCTTACTCGCCCATCATCAATCACCTATTTACTTATTGTGATCTATTTAGTTAGAGAAATTGAACTATGCTTAAGCCGTTCCATACTACATTTTCTAAATATAAATCTTCTAAATTTGTTTTTTTTATTTAACAATTTTATTTTGAAAAGTTAGAAGCAATAGCACAAAAATTTCCACTTCAACTATATTTTTAATTTTAGTTCTTTAAAAAAAGATTTATTCTATTTTTATAGACATGGTCAAATTTTAATTTGAAATGGATATAATGATAGTATAAAAAGAATGGTTAATTTATCTAATCGTTCTCAATTTCTCCTCCCATTTTATTTTCTGTTTTCAAAAATTATGGAAAAATAATGAAATTCAAGAATTAAAAAATGTATTCTTAGCTACTTAAATTTATAGAATTATAGAATTAAACTTGATATTTGTTATCTTTAGAGCGAAATCCTTCAGAAAATATAAAATCTAACCATTAATTTAGATATAGTATTAATATTAATGTGTAAAAAATTTTTTATCCTCTCTTTGATCTTGTTATTATCAGCATCTTAATAGGACAGCCCAAATTCGTGCACCTGTTAATAATTATTATCAGAAGCTGATTGCAACATAAATATCCAAATGTACTTGGGATCAAAAAAAAAAATGTGTTCTAAATTCATAGATTTACCAAGTATTTCATATTGTAATTCTTTTAATTAAATGAATTGCCCAAATACTTATGGCTGTGCTTGGGTAGACAACTAATGTACTTTTTTTACGGGATATACACCGTTCTCTAAAACAACAGACCCTGAATGTCAAGCAATAAGTAATAGATGTATAACTGATGGATTTCATTGTGTTGAAATAGATAATTGTAATACATACAAGAAATAATTAAATTGTGTCAAAGATTTAAAAAAAAAATTATGCTTTTGGGATACAACAAATAATATGTGCTTCGATACAGATACATGTGATAAACTATCAAAAATATATAAGAGTGATGATGAATGTAGAAATTAGATTAAGACTTGCACTACAAAAGCAGATGGAGGATGCGTAGAAAGCGGAGAAAATTGCAGTGATTAATTATTAAAAATCTAATGTGTTTGGAATAAATTAAAAACTATTCGATGCTTTTGGGATGGTATTTCATGCAAGGACAAAATTTGCGACAATGCACCATCAACATTAACAACAAATCTTGACTGTGAATAATTCTTATAAGGTTGTATTACAAAATCAAATGGAGGTTGTGTTTAGAATGGAGCTTGTTCAGTTGCTAATATTTNTTTTTAATTTTAGTTCTTTAAAAAAAGATTTATTCTATTTTTATAGACATGGTCAAATTTTAATTTGAAATGGATATAATGATAGTATAAAAAGAATGGTTAATTTATCTAATCGTTCTCAATTTCTCCTCCCATTTTATTTTCTGTTTTCAAAAATTATGGAAAAATAATGAAATTCAAGAATTAAAAAATGTATTCTTAGCTACTTAAATTTATAGAATTATAGAATTAAACTTGATATTTGTTATCTTTAGAGCGAAATCCTTCAGAAAATATAAAATCTAACCATTAATTTAGATATAGTATTAATATTAATGTGTAAAAAATTTTTTATCCTCTCTTTGATCTTGTTATTATCAGCATCTTAATAGGACAGCCCAAATTCGTGCACCTGTTAATAATTATTATCAGAAGCTGATTGCAACATAAATATCCAAATGTACTTGGGATCAAAAAAAAAAATGTGTTCTAAATTCATAGATTTACCAAGTATTTCATATTGTAATTCTTTTAATTAAATGAATTGCCCAAATACTTATGGCTGTGCTTGGGTAGACAACTAATGTACTTTTTTTACGGGATATACACCGTTCTCTAAAACAACAGACCCTGAATGTCAAGCAATAAGTAATAGATGTATAACTGATGGATTTCATTGTGTTGAAATAGATAATTGTAATACATACAAGAAATAATTAAATTGTGTCAAAGATTTAAAAAAAAAATTATGCTTTTGGGATACAACAAATAATATGTGCTTCGATACAGATACATGTGATAAACTATCAAAAATATATAAGAGTGATGATGAATGTAGAAATTAGATTAAGACTTGCACTACAAAAGCAGATGGAGGATGCGTAGAAAGCGGAGAAAATTGCAGTGATTAATTATTAAAAATCTAATGTGTTTGGAATAAATTAAAAACTATTCGATGCTTTTGGGATGGTATTTCATGCAAGGACAAAATTTGCGACAATGCACCATCAACATTAACAACAAATCTTGACTGTGAATAATTCTTATAAGGTTGTATTACAAAATCAAATGGAGGTTGTGTTTAGAATGGAGCTTGTTCAGTTGCTAATATTTAAATTGCTTGCATTAAAAACTCAAATAATGTTGATTGTTTTTGGAATGAAACTTGTTTAGAAAAAACTTGTAATAATGCTCCATTAAGATATAACACTCAAGGTTTATGCTAAGAATTTTTATAAATTTGTTCTGTAAAGGAAGGAGGAGGATGTTAAAATAAGATATGTTCGGATGCTCCACGAAATTTAATTACTAATGGTGATTGTGAAAATTATTTTCCTGGAAATAATTGTATAACTAAAATACAAGGAGGATGAATAAAAAATAGTACATGTAGTGCAATTAGTTTAGAAGTTGCTTGCATTAAGGATTTTAATGGATAAGATTGTTTTTGGGATTCTAAAAGTGGAAATTGTAAATTAAAAACATGTGAGAATGCTCCAGAAGATAACAACACTCATGAACTCTGTTAATAATTTTTAGTAATATGCACAGTTAATTCAAAAAACACAGGTTGTATTGAGAAAACATGTGAGAATTCGCTGAGTCAATAAATTTGTGATAAAGATATCAATAATAAATAATGTATTTGGAAAAATAAATGTTATGAAAAATAATGTGGATTTGCATCATTAACACTAAAAACTCATTAGGAATGTTAAAATTATCTTTCTAGTTGCACATTAAATAATACTGGATCAGGATGCATGATAATTCCACTGAAATGTTAAGCAATTGCTATTTAAGAGAGTTGCTAAATTAAAGCTGATGGTTAACTATGTGGATGGACTGGAAATTAATGTATTGATAAATCTTGTTCTACAGCTCCTAAAATATTAAGTACTACTTAATAATGTTAAGCATATTTATCAAATTGTGTATCTAATTAACCTTTTAATGGTTGTTAAGATTTACCTTTAATTTGTGCAGCTAGAAAATCATTTGATAATTGTGAAATTTGAAGAGTTGGATTTCCAAAATGTCTTTGGGTTTCATAAACAATATCTTGTGTTGAAAAATCTTGTGCTACTGCTAATATTCAAGGAACAACTGGAGCATTATCTAATTTCACATTATAAGACTGTCAAAATTATTTGAATGGTTGTGTTTCAAACACTTCTTCAGATGGATGCATACTCCAATCATTGATAACTTGTTCAAACATTAATAAGTAAAATCACAATGATTGTTATAATACATTTAATTAATGTACAGTTAATAATGAAGGAACTTCATGTTAATAATTAGAGACATTATGCTCCAATTATTAAACATCAGAAAATTGTAGATTCACTTAATTAAATAAAAATTGTATTTGGACTGGTTAAGTATGTAGAAATGCAATTTGTACTGATGCTCCTGATACTACTTCTTATGATACTGATGAAGAATGTTAAGCTTATTTAACAATTAACGAGAGTTGTACTGTAATTGAGAAAGTGGGATTTAAAGGATGTGTCCAAAAATTATCAAATTGCTAAGATTATATGTCATAATCCTAATGTCATTAAACAATCACTAATATAACTGCAAATGATGATTGTAAATGGATTATTAATAAGTGTTATTCTATATCAACTTTCACAGGACTTTGCTCATCATTTAAAGGTACAAAAGAAATGTGTGAAGCATATAAATAAGGATGTACAAATGATATTCAAGCGTCTTCTTAAGTCAATTGTATTTTAGATTGCACGTTGAAAAAGAAAACTGATAAAAATTTGAGTTTTTAGGATTGCCAAACATTAGATCCAACTTGTTCTGTTAGAAAAGATGGATCCAATTGTATTAAAATGTTGAATAGTTGTGATGGATATGGATAGATATAAGAAAATTGCTTTAAATCATCCAAAGGATATTGTGTAATGAATGACAATTCTACTTGTTAATCAATCACTAAAGCGTCTGATTGTAAATTTTTCACTGGTTTTGCTGGATTAGATCATAATCAATGTTAACTTTATCATAAATCATGTACATCTTTAGATGATGGTAAAGGATGTTAAGAATATCAGAAAAAATGTTAAGCTTATTCTGAACCAAATAATTGTACAATTTCATATGAAGGAAAATGTTATTTCATTGATTCCTATTGTACTCGTTTTTCAATATGCTAATCAATAAAAAAATCAAGTGATATATTGACTAATACTATCTGTGCTAATTATAATAAAGATTGTACAACAAATCTTGATGGAAGTGCTTGCTAAGAAAGAAAAGAAACTTGTTTTGATTATTGGAATGACTAAAATGCTTGCACATTTTCAAAATCTGACAAGAAATGTTATTGGACTGGCTAAAAATGCATAAATATTGAAAATCCTTCTACTGATTGTGGTAAAATAAATAGAACTGATGGCGACTATGAATTTAATGCAACATGTACCTCACATCATGAAGATTGCATCGGCAACTATAATTGGGGAAGTTGTTAAGAAAAAAAATCAACATGTGATGAATATAAATCCTAAGATCAATGTTCAATTTCTAAAGCTGTTTTTCCTTTTAATTAATGTACATGGGATGATGATTAATGCATTGCTTCTTGCTCTGTAATAACAACATAGGAACAAGGAGAATTGGATGATGCCATATGTGCTTCATTTAATATAGATTGTACTGTTAATTATGATGGCTCTAGATGTGAAAAAAGATAATCAACTTGTAATGACTATTGGTTTAATGACTGTACATTTTCTAAAGCTTCTCCTCCTAATAATATATGTATTTGGACTGATGAGGGATGCAGGCCTTTTCTTAATGTTTCTACTGATTGTTATAGAATAAAACAACTTTATGGCAAATTAAGTGCTTCAAAATGTGCCTCATATCATTTAGATTGCACTTCACTTAGTGATGGTACAGGATGCCAGTAAAAGAAAGCTGCTTGTAAAGAATACATAGAATAAAATGAATGTGTTTAATAAACTGATGGTAAATATTGTATATGGTTTGAAAATTAGTGCAATATTATTTCAGCTACTAGCTGTAGTATAATAAAAAAATCTGATCTTAATCATTCTAAATGTCAAGCATATAATTTATCTTGTACTGTTAATTTTGATGGTACTTCATGTTAAGACAACAGAAAATTGCACAAGAAGTGTTTAATCTAAATGTTATTTATAGAATTCAAATGATTCTAAAACTTGTATTACAATTTCAGATGTTAAGACTGATTGTTCAAAAATTAAGGGAGAAGCAGGAACTATAAAATACGAATATTGTTAATCATTTAATATAGGATGCAGTGTGAATAGAGAAAAAAGTGCTTGTATTTAATAACAAACTTATTGTTCTGGATATTCCGATGATCTGGCAAGTTGTTATAGATCAGAATCTGGATTTTTGTATTTCAAATTCAAATACTGATGCTGATAAACATTGTATTTCTGCATCATCTGTGACTAAGTGTGAATAGATATATTTAGGTAGTGGTAACTACAATGATGCTAATTGTAATGAAATAAAATCTGAATGTACTGTATATGGAGAAAGTGTTTGTATAAATAGAACATGTGAAAATGCCTCAGTTTTTACATATAATCATGATAATTGCAATAAATGGTTTAATAATTGTACTGTTAATAATGAAAATAATGAATGTATCCTTATGAAATAAAAGTGTACAGATTAAAATAAATCTTCATGTCTTCATTCAATGGAGGGAGTTTGTGTAGTTGTTAATAATTTTTGTGTAAAAAAGACATGTAATACTGCTAAAATAGATTCTAATTATGATACAGATTTTGAATGCTCAAATTATTTAAAAGAATGTACAGTAACTACTAGATTAGGAGGATGTCAAGCAAGAAATTCTTGTTAATTATATAAATCATCAATTTAATGTAAATTTAATAGTAAAGGTGAAAAATGTTTCTGGAATCCAAGTGATTAAACTTGTGTTGATTTGAATTGTGAAAATATTGAAAAAACACCTTCATATGATTCTCATGATGAATGTTTTGATGTAGATGCAACTCTAGGTTGTACAGTCAGGTCTCAAGGTACTGGTTGTATGTCTAGAGGACAATGTGGTTCATATACAAAATAAGAATAATGTAGAACAAATTAAAATGGAGAAGCATGTGTTTGGAATACAAATGATATGAATAAACCTGTTTGTTAAGATAAATCTTGCACTAGTGCTCCAAGCACTTTTAAAACTCACAATGACTGTTATGCATATTATAATACTAATACAATTAAATGTACTGTTTTTGCTGGTTTAAGTGAAGGTAATACAACTCTAGGGGGATGTTAAGAAACATCAAATTGTAATAGTTATATTGATAAGGAATAATGTTAAATTAATGCAAATCGTGATCTATGTGGATGGAATGGAACATCATGTGCTGATAAATCTTGTGCAACTGCTCCAGCCACTACTGATTACGATGATGATTCAGAATGTCGAACTTATTTCAATAATAAATGTACAGTATCATAAACTGGGTAAGGATGTGTAGATATTCCGATTACTTGTGAAATAATGACATAGAAATAATGTTATTTTAATTAAGCTGGTTATGCATGTTATTGGACAGGAACAACTTGTATTACAAAATCTTGTGACAATGCTCCAGATTCAACAACTACAACTGATGAATGTAATACTTATTTATCTGGATGTACTTTAGATGCTATTAAATGTAAAACATAGATTTGTGAAGATTTTAATTTTACTACAGATGAGTTATGTAAATAAGCTATGTAAACATGTACAACAAATGGAATTTATTGTGTTACCAGAGGATCCTGCTTATAAGCTTTAAATCAAGCTGGATGTGTTACATCTTCCAAAAATGAATAATGTGAATGGATTTAGGGTAATACTATTGAAGCAGCTTATTGTACAATCAAAACTTGTAAAACAGCGCCAATTACTTTAATAACTGTGTAAGAATGTCAACAGTACTTTACCAATTGCACTACTAAGAAAGGAGGGGGATGTATTGAAAAATCAACTTGTTCAGCGGTGACTATTGATAGTGCTTGTACAGACGATATAAATGGAAAGCCATGTATATGGGAAAACATTTCAAATTACTGCAGAAATAAAAGTTGCAAAGATTTTACTGGAATTAATCATTCAAAATGCTAAGAATATGGTAATAATTGCACTTCTGGACCTAATGATAAATGTATTGAAATGTAAAATTGTGAATTTTTCAAAAATAAAAATACTTGCATATTAGGAATTGATGGACCATGTTTATGGATTGATAAATATATGAATAATGATGGATCTATGGGTGCTTGCTTTTAATATACTTCTTGTTAAAGTTTAAGTTGGAGTACTGATGATTAATGTAAATAAATAAGTAATTATTGTACAACTGATGGATAGAAATGTATTGCTATTACATTATGTGCAGAAACTAATACAAATGGAGGATGTGTTACTGGATATGATGGATAATGTATTTAAACAGTTCCAGTATTAAATTCACTTGATTCTAAGATTTGCAAATTATTTACATCATGTGCTGATGCATTATATCTAACTCATTAAGAATGTTAAATAGCCAATAGAAAATGCACAACGAATGGAACATCTAGTTGTATTCCTATAGGAACTTGTTCATCATATCAATTATAAGCAGCATGTAATATTAATGATAAGGGAGTTATTCATAACTTTGGAGTTATTATTTCAACAGGCATGTGTGCATGGGATTAACAATCTAATAATTGTAGAGATTAATAATGTACTGATTTAAATGGTTTAAATCATGAAATATACTATTCATAGTTATCAACTTGCACATCTGATGGAACTAAATGCTTAATCAAAGAAACATGCTCAAAATATACAAATGAAACAGTTTGTACAAATGCATTTGGAACTGATGGAAAATGTTTTTGGGATAGTATACAATGTAGATTAATTACTTGTGCTGATATATAAAATGGTACATCAAATGATATTTGTTCATCTTTTTTATCAAATTGTATTTCAGATGGAACTGTTTGTATTCCAAAAAGTAATTGTTCATCATACAAAGCAGAAAGTATCTGTAAAAATGGGTTAGATGGAATCTGTTATTGGGAAAAAGGCTCTGTTAAAAATAATAATACTTCAAAATGCCGACAATTTCTATGTACTGACATATAAAATGGAAGAACTACTTAAGTTTGTCAAGATACTTTAAAATCTTGTATTTTTAATGGAATATTTTGTATTCCTAAGTCAAATTGTTCAGTATATATTAGCAAAACAGCCTGCAATTCAGGTGGTCTAGATGGAATTTGCGTTTTTACTTAATCAACTGGTTTTAAAGCAATTCCTGGAATAGGAACCTGTGCTTTAATGACCTAATGTGAATAAGCTCATAATGATTAGAATGCTTGTTAAGCTGTTAAAGATAGATGTTCATGGACATCTAAAACTAAAAATGAAAATGTTGCTAAATCAAGTTAATGTTTTCCTCAAAAATGTGCTACAAATTTTGAAACAAATGGTAATTGCACAAGCATTTATGATTGGGATAAAAAATCCATATAATTTTGTAACTTTGAAAATGGACAATGTAAAGATAAAGATCCATCAGATCTTTCATAGAATGATTGCTTAATGGTTTCTCATTATACATACACTTGGAATACCTCTACAAATAAGTGTTAAAGTTGTAGTGGAAATTAAAATAATTCAATTAACAACGAGAGCCCACCTATTCCTGAAACTAAATTAGAATAAATTCTAAGTTTAATAGTAATTGCTATGGTATAAGTTTGTTTCTGAGTGGTTAATTTGAATTTTTTTTAAAATTATACAATTATTCAAAATAATCAGTCTTTCCTTTTAACGTTATATATATACTTTATTTTATTTAAAAAATTTATTCCCTTTCCATTCATTAATAAAACAAATTTGAAAAATTAGTCAATTAATTAAAAGTTTAATTATAAGAAGAAATGAAATAAACACTAGCTTTCATAAAATAAGTTCAAATAAGCTAAAGTTTTTTTTTTTTTAAAGATTTCTTATTGAAATTTAATTAGAGTGTAAATGTATAATTGAATTTAAAAAAGATTTTGATCTCTTAACAAAAATTTAATTGAATGACTTCCTTATGAAAAAATTAAATGATTATAATTAAATCAAATTAAAAATGGGATAACTCATACTAATAGAAAAATTTAGTAACCAAAAATTAAGCTTAGATAGTTCAAAAATATTTGAATGACTATTCTAATAGGATCAAAATAACTCTTTCTTGTGAAAAATACAGTAAGACAAGTAATATATATTAAGAAAAGGGCAAATCTTATATATATATTTTATAGTATTTGATCCATAGTCATTCTTTAAGACATATATATGACTTTGAACTTTATAACTTCTGTAAACTTATATACCTATACATCTCTCAAAGTTGTTCTATAGCCAAACCAAACAAATAGATATAACAGATTCAAATAATAGAGCTACAGTTGATACATTTCAATGTTTTGAGGATATCAAATCAATATTTTTACTTGAAATAAATTTTAGAATGATTAAAGACTAGGCTTATCTTAATTTTAAATAATAATGATTAAATATGACATTAATAAAAAATTGATAGGATCAAATAAATTTGATACTGTATAAACCGTCAAATTCATAGACTTAACATCTTCCAGTCTCTTCTAAAATTAAGCATGCTTTCAGAATTTATTCTTATGGTAAATCATAGAATTCTATATTAAATGTTGTAATTATACTTTTAGTTTAATCTGTCTGGTTTCCTTCAGTAATACCTTTTAAAGTTTCAGTGTAACCAATTAATTTTTTCTCTTTAGCCCAAGCATATATAGCATCAGCTAATTCAAAAGGACTGACTAAATTAACACTGAAATTTTAATCATTTTTCCATTCAATAGATCCTAATTGTGCCATTTGATCAAGGATTTCTTTAATTTCCGAAGCATCTAACTTTCTTAAAACCCCAGATGATGAATCGGAAAATATAGGAATAGTTAACATTTAGCTTAATGAAGATTGCAAAATTTTATGAGATTAAAAGTATAGATGCACAATTTCACTCCATTATGTGATTTATTTTTTTCTTGTCTCTTTATGGTCTTATAAACTAAATATTGTTGAAAATAAAATTACGTATAAAATGGAGGATACTTCAAGAATTTCTAATATAATTCTAATTTGTCTTAAGCATCCTACATTTTTAATAAATTATTATAATAGTAGAAAATAATCAAATGAATTCAAATAGTGCTATTTCTTTAGATTACTCCATTCCATATCGACATAGTGGACAACGTGGATCTCTTCCAAGCCATTATCTACAACAATCAGCATGAAAGTAATGTTCTTTATGACAAGGTAATTAAATTACGCTTTGTGATTCATTGATAATTTAGTAACAAATAGGACTAAAAAAATTAATTAGAAATAATACCAATCATTTTATTACATTGATGGACGCTGTTCCTTCAATTTTCTAAATGTAATATTTTATAATTCATCATAAAATTTGATTATTATGTTCCTATTTTATTAGAAATTCAGTTCTCTTCTCAGTACTATAAACCAAAGCATAATAAATGGCCAAACAAAACACATAAGAATTGGAAGAAACCAATAACTAATTAAAAGGAAAATATAAATTTAAATAAGGATTGGAGTGTCAGTAGTAGTAGTAGTAATAAAAAACATAATAATTAAGGTGTACAGTGAAACGAAGTAGTACAATAATTTTATGATAGCACAATTAACATAAAAAGATTTCTGTTCGATAATGTCTATAATGAGAAGACCATTTACAGGACGATAATAGCTGATGAATTCTTAAATAATGGTTTAGGTTATAGATGAACTCAAAGATAGTAAATTGAATTATCTATTAATACTGTGAAAATCAATACTAACAACATACTATGCTAATATTCTAATCAATATTTAAATTTTTACCCTATAATGAGATAATGGAGAATATTGATCACATCATGTAATCCCATAACTAAAATTAATATGTTAAAAAGTGGTTGTTCTATTTTTAAATATTAGGAAAGAGTAAAAAAGAGCTTGATCATATAATAAAAGCATAAAAAGAAACAAATTGCATTTCCTTCCTTAATTGCATTTGGAAGGACAGGCATATAATTGTCTGTAGTAATTAAACTCATCTCTAAATTAGAGTTTTCTTGTCTATAGTTTTCTTATTAGTAATCTGGTTGCCATATAATGCTTGTATCATTTATCATTGAATATTAATAAAAATAATTATTATGGAAGAAACTGATGCTTTGATAAAATCATCTGAACCACAACATAAAAGAAACGTTATCTAGGCGCTTATAAATGAATACAAAATAATGTATGCTGGTCTATAAAATCAGTATTATTTTTATTTTAAACTTAGAGAATACCTGGATTATTGTTTTGTAAAAGGAGCTTCTGGATAGACAGTACCATTAGCTCTTCTATTACCAGTAGGTCTGTTTTTAGGAACAGTTAATATATTGTCTAAAGCTATGACCAATATTATTGAAGGTTTATAATGACTAATAATTTTAGGTGATTATATCATGACAAATTTTGTTCAGGTAATTCTATAAATCTGTGGATTATGCATAGTTTTATACTTATTGCTTAAGGCATGTGAAGTTATCCCAAAAAAAATTCAAAATCCACTTCTTTTTGGGAGAGTAACAACGTATGTTTTTATGTGTCTTTTGATTGCAATGGGAATATTAGTTGTAGAGAGGATAGTTGAAGGATAAGCAAGAACTTATCATACATCTTAATTCTGGGTAGTATTTGCTTTGATAATTTGGTAAAAAATCTTGGTGTTATTTATATATGATTATAAAGTAAGATTTGCTGCATTTTTATTTTTATACACTTATTATGCATTTAGAGTTTCAGGTGAATAATTTAGATGGGCTTATAATCTATTAAAAGCCTCAGTCTACATTGTACTAGAGTTAGTTATGGTCATAGATAGAGAATTAAAAAATTATGCTGATTATTAATTAGAAAATAATGTAATTTATAAGTTTGTATATTTAGATGCACACTAAATAAGTATTAGAAGAAGTAGTACCTCCAATGAGAATGTTTTAATAATAATTCTTGTTAGAATCATATCTTAAAGTATTTCCTGTCGTGATTTTTGATTAAACAAAAGAATTACTGAACATATCAACTGAAACTCTAAAATTATTAGGTTAAACTGATTTATTTTAAGCCGAAAAGCAATTAAGAAAAATGGAGATTGTAGAGGTCTTTAATAAAAAGGAATAAGTATCAGTTAAAGAGATGACAGTTAAATTAACTAGATAGGCTAAATTTGGATCTACTTGTGGAGTAAATGAAAAAGGGGATTTATTACATTCTTTAATCAATGGTCCAGCTTTATAACAATTAAGAACATAGTAATAAACTGATTAGCCAAGATTATAAACTTAAGGATAATTAGAATAACTTCTAAATGATCTTATTAAAGGAGATTAAGAATACTTAAAAGGATTGCTTGTATTAAAATTGAGTAAGGAAAAGTAATACTATTTCTCTTTTCATTTGATTCGTAACAATAAAATTTATCTATTTTTGGATGATGTTTCTGAAATCATGAAAATGTAAATGAAAAATTAAGATGAAATTTCTGAACCTAAAGATAATAGAGATATTAATATTCTTTTATCCTAGATTCGTTAAATTTCAACCCTAAAAAGTTATCCTATCCCAACTAAAATATCAAATATTGAATTGAAATCTTGTTATTTAGAATCAAATTAATTAAGAATTAATTATGATAAAATTAATTTTGATCAAATGGTAATTAATTTATAAGAATATTATAATCATCGAATTCCTACAATTAAATTTTCAATTAAAAATTAAGTTAAATTGACCACTAACTTTTTCAATGATGAAGAACGTATTCGATAAATTATTGATATAATAATGGAAAATAGTATTGAATAAACAAAAGATGGATTTATTGGTATTACTTTTGAGAATGATCCAAGATCCAATTGCATTTAAGTATCTATTCAAGATACAGGCATTGGATTAAATTTAGATAAAATTAAGGATGAATCAGGTAATAAAATGTCAGGCCTTTTCATAGCTAATTATTTAACTAAAATATTAGGAGTTTCATTTTTTAATAAAAAGATAAATGGATTTATTGCAAATAGAGGATTGCGAATAATAACTACACAAGAGTATGGAACTAAAATATCATTCACTCTTAGAAATATGTTAATTGATCAAAACAATACCTTTTTCCTTATTGATGAAAATTTAGAAGATGATGATTAAAATTAAGATGAAATTATTGAGAGATACTTAATTGAAGAATAGACTCAATATTTAAATAGATTAAAAAAGTATATTTATATACTTATATAGACCAATTAAATATATAGTGATGAAAAATGAAGAGAAAAAAGTAGTTTAAATTTTGGAAGATAGAATAGTTAAAAGACCTCAATTAAAAGGAATGATGAAACTTTAAGAATCAGGTAGATTAAAATCTCTGACTAATTAAATTGAATAAATATAAATTCCTTAGGAAAAATGTATTTGTGAAACTCCATTAATTGTAAATAGTGATTACTATTTTTCAACTGTTTTGAAAGAATTCAACTTCTAAATAGTTACTGAATCTGAAGCATTAAAATTAATAAACATAAAACTTAAAGAGAATCCTTGTATATAGAAGGGATGTATAGCATTTAACAAAATTTACATTAATTGTTCCAATCCAAAAGTTAATTACGATGAGTAATATTTAACTTAAATTTTAGTTTGGTGAAGAAATTACTTATCTTAAATAAGTAACTTAATATCATAGTCCTTTAATACCTTCCTTGGGGAGAATAACAACCTAATATCACTTATTATTAGATGCCAACTAAATTAGATATTATTTTTAAGTGATATATACATTTCACTAATAAAATCATTTACTTCCTTCCTTTTCATAACAACTTGCAATACCATTTAATCCAATCTCTAAATCAGCTGGCTCAATGTTTTATCTAATTTATAATCCTTAATATTATCTAGTCTTATAAAAATCTAAAGTTTAGAATATTTTATCTAATGCTATCAACTAATTTTCATTATTTTAAGCCAAAAGTGCAGTACATTATACATTTTTATTCGTCTCTTCCATTTAAATTATTTAATCCTCCTCTTCTATAATTTACTCTTATTGAAATAAACTTAAATCACTTTACACTAAATATCTAACATCAGAGAAAGCTTATACTAATTAAAACGGAGTTATTATTAATTTATAATATGTTTTAGTATCAATAATTGAATTTCTGTAACAACTTATTATTATATAAGCTTCAATCTCAGGAAAATTGCCAAGTTTAGCCTCATTAAGACTGTTCATTGAAAATGTAAAATATTTTTTGTTATTCTTTTTTAAGATCTATTTGCAAGCTTTATATGCATTTTTTGTATATTTAGCAGTTGAATTATTAATTAGAATTCCAAAGCAATTACATTATGATGCATCTTCAACTTATTTTGTTCTTTTTATTATAAGAGGCATTTAGTTGATTTCATATATTTTATGTTAAAATGTAATTGGATCAATAATATAACATTTTTCTATCTATCCATATTCAAAATGTAATATAAATCTTTAAAGCAATTCACTCTCTTCAGATCCTATAAAAATTAATTATTTTCTCAATTCTAATGCATAATAACCACATGCAATATGTTAGGCTTGTTTCTAATATACTTTTCCTTAAAATGATAAGAACATATGTTTGCTTTAATCTATTTAGATATGATCATATTTTTAATCAAATAAAACCCAAGATGATTATTCAATTGATTCTATTGAATTGATTAATTATATTGAATCATATTCAAAATGAGGTAATACATAAATGATTTTATCTGAGTGATCTTCTGAAAAACATGCTTCTCCAAAATGAATTATTAAGTCATATTTGATATGACGAGCACCAATTACATTTACACAACATGAGGAATGCAAGGGATCACCAGATATAATAAATCTTTTATTTGGATATTTTTAGTTTAATTATTTCCATACAGTTTAAGCTTAGTGTAATTAATTACTTGGAAATTATATTACAATATTCTCAAAATTCTCTAAATTTAAGTTGTCAATTTTATACATAAATTAAATATTAAATATTTTTATATAAATTATAGTACTTACATAAAATAGGATTTAATTGTTGCTTTGGTTGAAATATAAATAAAAATATTAATAAATGGAAATGCTTAAAGCTATTTTATGAAAATTAATGTGATAAATATCTTCCAGGATTAATTATAATTTAGATAGAGGAGTTCAAAATCATAATTGTTTTAGAAATAACTCATAATACGAACTAATAATCTTTGTTAATGTCATAAATTCTACAGATTAATTAAGTAATAATCCCAATCTAATAAATAACATTAATATATGATATAAAAATGATTAATTCCTAGAGCTAAGAGATTGAACAGAACTAATTATCTGTAAAAGTTATGATTCAATCGGTATTTTAATTATTACAACTATATTTAAATCATAATACATAATTTTTTATAACAATCAAATCATTTCATACATTACTAGTGATATAATTTATTTTATTTTTAACATCACTCTCTCCTTGGCAAGCTCTTTTGACATTTGAGATATTAATTTTTCAAATTATTGCTAGCACAATTGAATATTATTGAGCCATATCCATATTGTATTGAAAAAGTAATTTGTAATATAAACATAAGTTTTCGTCATTTCTTTTTTAATTTCATCAACCATTATTAATTCTTCTTATTCTGAAATTTCAAACTTGAGAAATTAATTGATTTACACAAACTCTTCATTAATCAGTTTAAGTGTCTCAACTTTAAAAACTGCATCTATTTTCTTCTTCCAATATTCTTCTAAATCTTTTAATTGTTTATTATAATCAAAATTTTCAAAATCCTTAAAATTTTTTGAATTTATGTTTTATACAAGAATAGGGATGCTTCCATAAATCTAGTAACTTAAAACAAATGCGTTTTATTGATTTTCACAATTAGACGTGGTTTAATTAAAAACATTTTTTGTGTTTTGCATCATTTATTTTCTTTAATCAAGTAACAACTTGATGTCTTTTTAATATTTATCATAATATTTATCCTATCTATAGATTGAAGTATTATTCGAAATTATTTCAATTTTAGAATTTATTTGATCTTTCTACAAAATTGGTTAGAAAATCAAATTATACCAATATTTTTATCCTTTCATTTCTTGCATCGAACCTTTCTACACTGTTATTATTTTATCTACAATTTTAAGTATTGAATTAGAAGATACTTGCTATTCCTCTCCTGTTTCGTAGATAGGACATTAAAATCCAGTAAATGATATACTATATTTTAAGTTTTAGTTGCAGATAGTTAGAAATTCGCTATCTTTTTCAAGTATAAGCCAAATTCTATAAGATATTAAATATTTATGATCTATTTAATTTTCATTCAAGTCAATTACCTTTTAAAGTAATTTTTCACATAATTTCAAAATCTATCCTATACTCATATAGATTAATTTTTCTTCCTAATTGATATATATATGATATTACAATATAATAAATTAAATCGCTTAAACGAATGCATCTCTCTTAATTAATTGTGTATTTTATCCATTTTTCATCAGGCATAAATTCATATCTTCCAACTTTGTTTAATTCAAGTTCTTTTTCAAGCTGAGTCTTATTTTCATATTAATAATATTCAACAACATCATAATTAATGCCAAACATGTAATTAATTTAAATAATAAATATATATAATTTGGTATTAGATAAAGTATGCTAATTATACATAATAATATTCAAATTATCAATATGAAGATTATTAATGTACTAATAAATACTAGATCTGAATAACACCTTATACATGAAGTATCATTCCAATAAAAATAGAAAGATGATTCAACACCACATGTTTCTTCTGTTTATATACTTGGATCAAAGTCAACACATCCATTAATTCCCCTCATACAAAGTTAAAGTTCTCTACTATTAATCCTTTCTTTTGCCATTTTACAATTAAGTTTTTCAGATTCATTACAATAATGATTAGATTGGCAATCTACATGATACTCAGATGGATAACAAGCTGGATAAGCATGAATACACTAAAATTCACTACTCTTTGCTTCTTCACATTTTGTCATTTCTTAACATCTTCCATTCTTTATAACACAAAGATCTTCATTAGCAAAATAACAAAATGATAGTGATTACTAAAAACAATAACCCATATCAATATCTGGAATTTCATAACATTCTTATGCTATGGAACTCCAGTAACAATCACTATGTAGTTCCTCGCATGTTTCCCTATCTACAATTGAATGAGTTTAACAACCAATAAATTCTCTACACTCATCCATATAATATTCACAATTTTTATTTTACCAACATTTCTCTTTACTCAATCTAGAGCAAGGAATTTCGGAACATTAATTATTTGAAAACTCACATTATTCAAATCTATTGCAATCCTTTTTCAAATTGATTTTGTCACAAGAACATTTATCTTTTTCTTTCACAGATATTGATCCGTATGCATAAAGCAATAAATAATAAATTAAAAGCATCAATTTTACCTATTTATTTTAAATTGAAATTTCATATTTCTAAAATCAAACTCAAGATATTTAAAATTGTACATAATTCAGAATATGATGTAATTATAATTCGTATTATGTATTCAATTTAAATAATAAAAACAACTAATTATTTTTTATTTTACAATAATTGTTCAATTTAAAACATTTTTTCATTTACTTTGGTACTTTTTTAATATATTAGCATGAAGTGTGATAGTAAGTGGATGGTTTATATATTTTATTAAACTTTTTGATTTTCAAAGTTATATATAATTAGAAAATAATTAATTTATAGAACATATGGAAAAATTTATATATACTATTTTTAAGGAATTAATCAGAAATTTTCACCTTAAAATATCTTTTTATTAATTAATTATTCAATATATTTTCTATGAAAAATACAGCTTAAAAAATAATTTCTATGCTCTTGATTTTTTACCTAATCCTTAATGTTAATTGCTCAACACATGTTACATTAGACAGTCAATGTACTTGTGAAGAAATTTTATATGAAGAGGAATGTAAATATGGTAAAATTTGCCAATTTTCAAATAATAAGTGTTCTACTAAGACTTGCGATCAACTCAGTTAAGATAAATGTTTAATAAACAAAAAATGTGCAAAAGTAAATGGAAAATGTATAGAATTTAAATCATGTTCATCTCATAATGTCAAAACTGAAGCTGAATGTGAAGATTTACATTCAAATTGTTTTTTTGATTCTGCTAGTGGCAAATGCGAAGATGTAAATAGTTTGCCAATAGGTTCATGTTCTGAATAATTGTTATCATTTTGTATTTATGGTAAAGAGGGATTTTGCGCAGTAAAGGATGGAAAATGTTAGGAAATGACTTCATGTGATTAAGTAAAATCAGAAGATCTCTAATGTCTTTTTTCTTTTCCTGCATGTTATCCAAATTCAACAAGTGATAAATGCGAAGCTATTAATCAGTGCAGTAAGAATGATGTAGAATCCTGTTTGTTTGCAAAAGAGAAGATCAATGGAAATGATTATTTACTTTGTACTGAGAAAGATCAAGGATGTGTTGACTTTGATCCAACCAATTAAACATAAGAAAGATGTGGTCTTAATTCAATGTTTTTTTATCATTGGGATGGGAATAAATGTGCCAAATGTTAGTCTTCTTCTTATTCATTCATAATTACAATATTATCTATTGTCATCTTAGCCCTAAGCTGAATAATATATTAATTTAAAAAAATCGATTAATCATGCACCTATTTTATTTCGAATTCACTAAACTCGATTATTATTATTGTTTTTTTTTCCTCATAAATTCTCTCTCCTTTCTCAGAATTATCATTTTTATATTTGATATATAAATAATCCAAATTCAATATATATAAATATTTCTAAGTTGGAAAATTCGCATAATTTTAATTATGAATTTCTTCAAAACATCCAGAGAATGATTTCAAAGGATTTTGATATTATTATTAATACTTATACTTCTGTATATTCTCTAAACCATCTTTCTCAATCAAATTAAATGATTGAGATTTTAATTCTAAACTTAAAAAATTAAAAAAAAAAAATTTTCTATATTAATTTGTCAATTTTAATTTAAAACTCTATATAGAATTAAGGTTTTTCAAATATACTTAAATATAAATGAATTTATGTTAATAATAATTTATACTTGATTAAATGAGATTGCCCATATTTATTTATTAACATTATTTGGGTAAACTCTAAACTAGATTATATATATGGTTTGAGTAGTATTCATTGATTTAAAAAGCTTATAGTTTTTTGCCTTTTGGTTATATTTTTAAATGTCAGATCTTAATAATATAAGCTAATCATACTTAAGATTAAGTAATTGAAAAATGATTGCTAAAATATCAATTAGCTCTTCTGCTATAAAGAGAAACTTATTTAATAAAAGGAAGATTTATAGAGAAGTGAGTTAAATTTGAAGTTATTAAATTATTTTTTGCTGAGAAATAACAATATATAAATAAAAATTTATTATTTGAATTATCTGTAATATAGAGATATGAACAAAAATTGATTATAAATTAATATATATAATTATAATATAATTGAATTATGAAAATAAGAACATCAGTTTATCAGATATTTATTGATGATTTAATTAAATAAAAAGATTTATGAGATTCTTTTTGTGTTTAGGTTTAGATTTAATTAATTTAAATTTAATAATAATAATTAAAAGTAAAGTATGAATAATCAACTCTTGATTGTAGAAACAGGCTTTTTGTTTGTGATAGTGATTGGTTTGTTTATAGTAAAAGAATGGGAAGGAAATGAAAAGATAATAAAATTACTATTTTCATTATCAAACATTAGTATATTTTTATTAGAAATAAAGTAAATAGGAGATTCAAATTGTAAGACTTATATAATAGACAGTTAGATATATTAATAGCTATTTCAATGTTTTTGATGATAGTGTATATTTATAAAGAGTATAAAAAGGAGAAGAATGATATACCTTAAATTTAAATCTTAAATACGTAACTTTCAGAAAGAAATAATAAGGTGGATTAGGAAATAGAATTACCATAACAACTGGCAGTGATTCATTCAATTCATGAAAGTAATTCAAGCATGAATCGAAATTAGAATGCATCAGCAGCAGATAATAATAGACGATAAAGTAATTCTTAAGGTGAGATTACAGATTAATAATAAACTAAGTAGGATTATGGAACGAATTTCTTAGATGATCATAAAAGACCTTCTTTATAATAAAAGAATAATAATGGACTTGGTATGTTTATTACTCGTTAATAGAGTGTTGCTTAAATTTAACGTAAGAAATTAAGATATATTGATAGCAAATTTAAATGTGATAAAGTTTTAGGATGATTTAGGGGAAATAAAATTTGGAATACTTAAAACTTTAAAATCAGTTGCATATGATTAATTAGGAAAGGAAGTTGAATGTATATTTTAGACAGATAGACCTTTTACAAAATTATTATCAACTGTTGAATAAACGAATCAGCCAAGAATGCAGATATTATATGAGAGTTAAGTAGTGAACAATTAGTATGTAGATGATACATTAAGAGGAGCTATACAATTAGATAATTTAGGATATGGTGAAAAGAAAACACAAAAAAACATTACATGGTAAAAAATAATAAAAGCATTTATTTTAATAATTATTTTAAAACTAAATTTTGTAATAATTAATAATTGGAATTTGTACTAATTAATCTTAATATTATTTATTTTGTAGAGGCAATTATTATAATTTAAAAAGTTGATTACAAAATCTTTGGATATGAAATGTGAAGTAAGAGAAACACTGATTTGGATTTCATTAGTAGTACTACCAATAGTGATTATTATTTTGATAAATCTTATTGATAAGAGAATTGTAAAACATATTATGAAAGTTGCAAATTGGATTAGTTTAATAATAACTTCTAAGTACAATAAAAACTGTTCAGAGTAAAACTATCAAAAATATTATTAATTAGATATTTCTATGGTTCTTTATTGTTCATTTTTGCATTTACAATAGTACTCTGTTTTATTTGAATGTGATATATATATATATTACTCATATTAATAATTCTTTTTTTTTCAGTAATTTGTTATAATTCTTATATATTAATAAATTTATTGAATTTATTATATTTATATACATATGAGTGTATTTTCAATCTTAAGATTTTAATTTAGCTTATAATTCTACATTTTTTCTTTTTTAATCTAGATATTTAGCAAAATGATAATTAGACCGTAATGTTTCACTCCAAGTTAATTTTTATAAAACATCTGATCTTCTCATAGATGGAAGATTAGTTTAAGTTTCTGATAATGACTTCATTAATAATTTTTCATTAACAAGAGTATCCATTCTTCTTTTTAAGATGTTTTATGAATTTTCAACAGCTTCTAACCATAGATCTTCATTCTAATAGAGTTTAATGGCTTCATCAGCAAATTGTTCATCAGTCCAATTATTGAAACTACCTCCAAATATCAATTTCTTAGCCATTTCTTCTGTATTTTCATAAGCATAATATTTTCTCATAAAATCTTCTTCATCTAAACCTTCTTTTTTAATTTATGGAGTTAGACGATCTGGTTCCATATCAGAGTAGAATCTAGATTAGATTTGATTAACACATTCATATTTAAGAGCTTAACTGGATTAAAGGAACAATCCTTCAGCACCTATAGGTGTAGTAACAACAGGTAACATTTCTCTCCAAGCATCTGTAATTTTTCCCTTAACTCCAGCACCAAATCTTAAAGGAGCAAGCATAACTCTATATTTACCTAAAATATCTATTTCTTTCATTAAACCCTTACACATAAATCCATCAGATTCTTTAGTAACAAAATCTTAAGGGAAATTACTACCATAAATATGTAATTATGCTTATGGAAGTGCCTTATTAATGATAGGCCAAATTCTATCTCTTAATCTTTTAACCGCATCATAATTCGGTCGATGTGACATATTTCCCAAAAATACAAAGTGTCTTCTTTTATAATGATGCCTTTTAAGTTCCAAGGCTTATTTATCTTCTTCATCTAAAGATCTTGTTGTTGGATAAAAGAATGTTACTAATTATACTTTCTTATTTAAATGTTTAATCAATTCCATTTCATAATCTGAACATGCAATAATGAGATCACTCCTTATTATTGAAGCCATCTCTTTATCTGTCACTTCATCACCTAATTCTGGTTTCGCTTATAAAACTTATTTGTTTATTAATTCTTGAGTAAGTAAACCTTCTCTTTTCAATCTTAAACTATGTAAATCTTATAGATCTAACACTTTAGCACAATTTTAGAATACTTAATGTACATAATGACTGTACAAACATTCTGATACATGTGTGTCAAATATACTTACTGTAGGTGATACTATTCTACTTAAAACATGATTCACTCTGCTTGAATTTGATGGATCTGCTTAATGACATTTCAAATCTATGTATTATCGTATATGATCTGCTTTCTTTTTATCTTAAGGAGTTATGTAATATGTCTTTATCTTATTATGAATTAATCGTTCTATTATTCCAAATGTACGTTCATGAGCTGCTGAAAAACTTTGTTTTGGCCAAAGCTATGAAAAATAGCAAAAATTCATTTTAATTAATTTTATGAATCAAGAAGAATTTGGAGAAATAGACAATGAAGATCTTAACAATGATGAATTCAATTATGAAGAAGATCTTATGGGAGAAGATGAACAACCAAACTAATAATAACCAAAAAATAATATCAACTAAAATCTAATTTCAAATCAAAGAACACGCACACCAAATCCACCTGAAGAGGAAGAAGGTGAAGTCTATTAATATGAAGATTAAAGTGAAGAATTTGTAGAAGATAATGAAAATGAAGAAAATCTAGAATAAGAAGTAGATGAAGAAGTTCCTGAAGATAATGAATAATATAACGAAGATGAAAATGAAGAAGAACAATATAATGAAGAATATGAATAAAATGATTATGAAGAGAATTATGATGAATTCGATTAGGATTAATAGGAAGAAATATCTAATAAAAACTAATAGATGAAATAAGTAAAAGATAATAAAAATACTCAATCAAATAAACCAGTTCCTATTATGGAACCATAAATAAAAAAGAAAAGACCTCCTTTACCTATTCAACCCATAAAGCAAAAACCCACTTACTAAGAGAAATATTCTGAGTTGATGGGTCCCTAAGATTACTCAAATTGGAAACCAAAACAGTTGCACGATGAAAATAAATAACTTAGATAAAAACTTAAAGAAATATCAGATGAAGTAACTAAATTAGTAGAATAAAATGCTTAACGATTACCTTCTTTACCTTAACCTCAGCCATAAATGAAAAGATAGAAGACAGCCTAATCTTAACTGTCTGGCGGTTCTGTTATTGATAAAGAAATAGAAATCAATTAAAAAAAATTAGAATAACAAGAAGAAGAAATTAATAAATTAACTACTAGATTATAGTAAGTTTAATAAGTTAATTATATCATTAAGTTAGATGAGGAGATTAAGAAATATGAAGATGAAATGAAGAAGTTAGAATAAAAAAAAAAGTAAGAGTATTTGTAATAAAAGCAACGAGGTAAAGATCTTGATAAGTATGAGAATTAAGATGGCTTTGATAAATTGAGTAAAGAAAGAAATAATCTAAATAAAGAAATGGTTAATCTTAAAAAGAGGATAAAAGACCAATAAGAGTAATTGAATAAGCAAAAAGAAAACATCAAGAATTCTTAAGACATTGAATTACCAAAAATTAATAAGGAATTAAAGCTTTTGGAAGAAGAAGCCGAAAAATATAAAATTGATATTAGTGCAGATAAACCATATAGTAAATAAAAAGAATAATATATCGTTCTTTTAGCTTAAAAGGATAATTTGATTAAGCATAATATTATTACGGAAAAAAAAGAAAAACAATTAGAAATGATCGAAAAAGAAATTAAAGAATTGAAAAAAGAAAAAGATCGTTTTGATTAATAAATTAATGCAAATGAAATGGTTTTAATTGATTAGAGAAGATAAAAAGATGAATTAAAAAATAAAGTACCTTCTGATGTCTTTAAATCTATTCCTGCTGCTATGACTTAAGAAAATATTTCAGATGCATTATAAAATGAAAAAAAAAATTAAGAAAGTTAAAGAAAATTATAAAGTGCCAAACCACCAATGTCTAAGCAACTATCAGATTAAAATAATTATAAAGAACTAAAATTACCAAATAAATAAGATGAAAAATCTTAGTAGATAACATCAAAAAATGAAGTAGAGGAAGAAATTGTATTTGAAGATGAAACTGAATAATAACAATAACCTATTAAATAAGAAGAAAAAAAATAAATTCCTATATCATAATCTACACCTATAAAATAAAATATCTAAGTAATATAATAATAATAATAATAATAATAATAATAATAATAATAATAATAATAATAATAATAATAATAATAATAATAATAATAATAATAATAATTTTAATCTCCTAATCAGTAAAATAAATTAAATTCAAAACCTTTTAGCAATTTAAGGAAATCAGTTGATTAACAACCTCAAGTTGATTTAGGTTAAAGCAATGTAAGCAATTAATAAAGTAATACTAGTGATGTATAAACAGAATATGCTGGTCCTTCTAGAATGATGAGAATGATGAGAAGACCTTAACAAAATTAATAAGAAGAAACTACTTAATTCATAATTCATTAATCAAAACCAGTAGAACAGCCTAGAGACAATCATAAAGATACTAATGATTAAAATAATAAATTAATTGAATAACCTACTTAATCAGAATAACCAAAACCTGTTGATGATTATTAACCTACATTTCCCACAAGAAGAATATCAAATAGACCAAGAGGATTTGATTACAATTCTATAGATTAGTAATAGAATGAATAAAAAATTGAACAGCCATTATAAATAAATTAAAAATAAGATTAAACATAATAATCTGATTATCCTACAAGAAGAAGAAATAGAGGAGGTTAAGAAGAATAAGCAGAATAAAATACTAGTTAATAATAATCATAAAAATAATCAATTTCATCATAGTAATAATCTTTATAATCTCAATAATAACCTTATTAACCGACAGATGATGGAAATAAATAAAGAAGAATTAAAATATTTACTGATGAAAAGCAACCTGAAGCTCCAAAAACAGAAGAGCCAACTTATGAATTCTAACCAAGATAAGAACCAAATAAATTATAAGGAAGAAGAAATAGAGGCAATAATAAACTAAATATATGGGAAGATTAACCTGTTTAGAAAGAGAATATTGAAGAGATACAAGAAATTAAAGATATTAAATAAGTTCCAGAAGTTTAGCATAAAGATGATAGAGAACTTACTTTAGATGAAATCTTAGGAGCACCTAAATAAATAGAAGAATATAGACCAAATCAATAAAAGAAAAAATAAGAAGTGTCTAAAGATAATAATGAAACTTATGAACCTGGATTTGGAGGTGGAGGAAATAGAAGAGGAATTGGAAATCAATAAAAAATAGATAAGGTATTATTCTGAAATAATCATATTTCTAGTAAAAAGAGTTGGCTTAAAAAGCTGAGAAAGGAGATTTATTGGATGATTTTGACTTTTGATTTGAAATTTATAAAAAATATTGGCTTTTGTTAATACTTTAATTAATTCATTTGGTAATTCATCTATGACTTCCAAAATAATCTTATTCAATAATTTTAATCTATTCTTCTAATTTATCAATTTCTTATTATTCAAAGAATATTGATTCTAAGTAATATGGATTATCAAAATTAGTAATATTAGCAGTTTATTTTACAATTCTGAAAATATTATTCCTATTTTAAGGTAAAAATATTTATTAAATTGCCATGCAAATTATAATTTTTAGTTTAAGTAAAGAAAATTCAAAATTTTTACCTTCATCATTAGTCTATTTAGAGATTTATGCAATTCTAATAAAAAGTGCTCTTAAAATTATTCTATATGGTAATTTAAATTCATTAAATGTTTATTCTGTAATTGACTAATTAGTAATAAAAAATAATAATTACTTATGTAATTGATGATTTTATTTATTAAAATAATTACTCCTATTCTCTATCTAGATAAAAATTTTCCTAACAATTCTAATAATTTAAATCTATCACACTTTAGTCTCCAACAAGTTGCATTCTAACATCATTACAAAATCGTTTTGCTTGTCCACTATTTTTAATAAATTGTTGCCATAAATTATTGTCAAAATTAACAAATCCTGTATTCCATTGGTTTAAAAATTCTTATCTCATGATAATTGACATTTTTTATAAGCAATAAATACCCCATGTTTCTATTGGGCTCTCTATTCCTTAATTTTCTTTTTCTTAAATAGATCTTTCTAAATGCTCTTTTAAAGAACCCATTAAAAACCATTTATATGATTCAAAATGTAATTCAATCCAAAAATCTTTATATTTTAAGAATTCCTACAAAAATATTTTAACATTTACATTATGATCTCTACATTTATTAGTCAAAAAGCTTTAATCAGGATATTATATTATTTCTTCAGGATTTTCAATATTTGATCCATTTGATGATGAATGTAGTGATTCATTATCAGGAGAGGAAGGTTAGATAGGTTAAGAATAATAACCAGATTTAGCTATTCTTGGATAAGGACTTATGTTCTCATTTCTTCTTGTCATAATTTTTGGATTATTAAATCTAGCTCGAAATGGAGTCAAAACTTTTGGCAATTCCATTTCTTTTGTAAATTCTTAAGGCTTAAATAATGAAACAGATTAATATGTACCACAGCCCATTCTATGTAATCATCATCAATTTATTCTCTAGCTTTTATTAAAAAAGAGTAATTCTATTATAAAAATATATTTTAATAAAATTCTTTAGTTTCCTAATTGCTATCAGACATTTTTTAATGCATTTTAAAAAATGTACATCTCAAAGCCTCTTTTGGGTGAAGCATTTCCATTAAACGATTTTTCCAATCATTCTCAATTCTTTTTGATTGAATTTAATTATAAAATAAACGATATTCTGTAATTGTCTTAAAATAGTTCAAAATTTCTCCTGTTAACAACTAATATATAATACAACCCACCAACCAAACATCTATACTCTAACTATAGTCTCTTTTTTGACTTTGTTCTCTCCTTTCTAAGTACTCTGGAGGTATTAGCTAAAGATTAGGATAGAATCCAAATGCAACCATTTCAATGTTATTGTTATGATAATAAATATTACCTAAATGAAAGCATCTTCCTAAACTAAATTTCTTATGTATTTGAAATAATGCCAATAGCAACTATTTGTATATCGCTTCAATTTAACATGTTGCAATTTAACCATTTTATTTGATAAATTGCAATAATGTGATGCCTTCTGGAATCACAAAGGAATAACATTTTCTTTTTATCACTTAGCATTAACTTCTAATGTATGGTCCTGTGATTTGAGTCTCATATTCTAAAAATGCATCAAGATCATCACAAAGAACATTCATTAAAACGTGTTTTGAAGATTATGAAGATATTCTATCTTCTAAAACTGCATCAATTCTATATAAACTTTCGATATCGTTTATCATCTGATACCAATTTTGGAAAAATAAATAATGAATTCAGATTTAAAATAAGACTTATTCTATTTATATTCAAAATGTAATTATATTAAACTCTTTATAATATACCCTATTTATTGTTTAATAAAGGTGTTTAATCTATTTTTTATTTATTAAGATTTATTATTTTCTAATGTTGGATCAATCAAAGAATATTTTCTATAGAATTGGTACCTCAACTATTGATACATTCGATATTTTTGGATAACTGCCTAACTTCAGAGTCCTTGAGAAAAATAAATACACATCTATTGTTGGTTGTTGTATGACCTTCATTATTGGGACAGCTACCTTAATCTACTTAGTAGCTGAAATAACAGCTCTTTTACATAAGGCTGAACCTAAAGTTGTTACTTCTGAGCTTCAGATATTTGACTCAACAGTAAATATAAATAGTTATTAAAGTCTTTTCCACTTTACAATGATAATTTCACTCTTGCAGTCACTATTGCTACTAAAAATTCAGAACCAATTTTAGGATAACTTAAATATTACAATTTGACAATGAGTCATTGCATAAGAGAAAGATAGCTTAATGAGACAACAGGCAAGGTTTAAGTGACTTTAAAGTAAATTTTAATTTGAATTAGTTGCGCTCAATTGCCCATTGCACCTTGTGTTACCGAAGACTTTGATAATGAATTATAAAAAGAATTTTTCAAAAATACTAGATTGGGTGTTGTTCAATGTATCAATCGCACTAGACTCAGAAATAATCCCCCAGTAATTTTTACTTATTAATTTGAGGTATTATAAGGTCAAATCTCTGGCTATAAGTATTAATACTTAGTAATTGAATTGAGCATTTGCAAAAATAATACAGAATATTAAGGTTGTGCTCCAATTGAAGAAATCAAAAAGGTTTTATCAGCAGGTCATTATTCTGTTTATGCAAGCGATTATTTGATGCAATTAGATCACCCTGGTACACCATACTAATAATTAATTAATCTAGACATAAATAGTTTTTCAATCTCAACTTCTAAAATGTTATAATGGACTTATAGAATATCAGAAACACATACTGATGATGGATTTCTATTTTCTACAGATAAAATAGATTTAAATTTAAAAAAATAAGACAGAAGAGAGTATACTGAATTATATAATGATGATTATCTTGTTTATCATTATATATAATTAGATTACAAAGAAACAATTTATTAGAGATCATATATTAAGATTTAGACAATTTTAAGTAAAATTGGAGGAATTTGGCAATTATTTATACTTATTACTTCCTTAATTCTAAATCCTCTGATCAGTAATCTGATGACAATTTCAATTGCTAATGAATTATATCGATTTCCAAATTCTAATAAATAAAGACAAAAAAACATTGAGATTATTAATTTATAATAAAGCGATTAAGTTTTAGATGTTCAAGAATAAATTCGAAGATCCAGAGAAACTAATACTGAAGATAAACTTTCTACTGGAATTTATGAATCACTCTTGATCCTCTTAGGTTGTCATAAATAGAAAAGAAAAATGTTCTACTAAGTTAAGTAAGAGATACTTGCATAAATGGATGTAGTGAAAATCATTCAAAAATTACATGAAATAGATCTGCTTAAATTTATTCTACTGAATGATGAATAATACAAATTATTTGATCTGCTCCCTAAACCTGTATTATAAGATGAAAAACTTTAAAATGAAGACATGAGTAATGATTTGGTCTCTGAAGCTGGAGTTCAAAAAAGCTTTAGACCTTTTAATAATAAGAAATTATAATCAAAAAATCTTAAGGATTATTATTGTTCTTTTTCTTCTTTGTAATAGGACAAAGGAAGAAGTAGTGTTGACGATAAGTTGTTATCTATGATTGATAGAAATATAATATAATTCTTTGAATAGATTTAAATTTCATAATAACGACATGGTAACTTAAGTCCTTTGGATCCGCTATTTCGATCAAGAATTGATGAATCTATCATAGAACCTAAAATATAAAGACCAAAATGAAGTTTGATTAAATTATATTTATAAAGAGATTACATTCTATATAAATTTTTATAATTAATTCAAATATCAAATTTTGGTTTATAATAGTTTAAAATTACTTAAATTACAATATTTTTTCCAATATTTTAAATCTATTAGATAGATATGGTCAAATTCTAATTTTATTTGAAAATAATTATTGTATAAAAAAATTTTAAATTTATCTACTCATTAACAAGTCCTGTTCCTACATAATCTCAAACAATATATTCAGAGCTACTAGAAATTTCTCTGGAAAACTAGGATTTAAGCATTAAATTTGATTTGCCATCTTTCAGAATGAGAACCTTAAAAAAATAAGAAATCTATCCATTTAATTTAGACATCGTATTGAAGCACCAAAAAATCAAACCAACATAGTGCTATCAAATTAAAAAAATTATCATTTTATGTATAATAATAATATTTGCATTAATAAAATGACTCCTAGATTCAAAAAAAGAAGTGCTCTACATTCTTAGTTACTATTACGATATATCCTTCATTTTGCTATTCTATTAAATAAACAGATTGTCCACATAGTAATGGTTTTGTTGGGGTGGATAGCAAATATACTATTTTTACAGGGTCTGTTCAGCTTCTAATGTGTAAAATGTTGAACCAAAAATAAAAATGATGTTGGTTTTTTGGAATAAAATCTGCTTAGAAAAAACTTGTAATAATGCTCCATTAAAATATAAAATCCATGATTTACATTAAGAATTTTTCTAAATTTGTTCTACAAAAGGAGCGCAAGGTTGTTAATCATTCCTAAAATGAAAGTCATAACAAAAATAAATGTCATACCTAAAATAAAAGTCATACTTAAAATGAAAGTCATAACAAAAATGGGTAAGGACAAAAATAGAATTATTTTTATTACTTTTAAGCTCAAACTTATCCATAATTCATTAAATTATTCAAAACAGCTTCAATAGTATTCTGAAAGAATTAGATAAACTAAGCACATGATTAATGACCAAACTGCTGTTATTTAAGACCTTTAATTTGATGTCAATTATAAGCCAGAACAGACACTTTCAAAATAAGCTATTTAGAAATCAGAAAAGGTAGAAAATCTCTAGATTCAACGATTAATAATGGGGAAAGAAGAAAGGATGGGTATTTCAGGCAAAATAGAGTGGAAAATGTCAAATATTTTAATGGATAATATTGAATTATATTATCTCAAAATAATGTTTCAGAATAATTAAAGGGATTCTTCAATTAAAATTTTGTTAGAGTGAGGGAAATGTTACAATCTACACTTGTGAGATCCATAATTTAATTATTGATTTTTATTTGATAAGGACCTTTTGAATATCAAAAATAATAAGATTTAAATAATATAAATGAAATAAATTTATATCTATATAAATGAAATAATTATAATTTCTTACTTTAGAATAATGACAAAAAGGGGCAACCTTTTGGATTGTTGGACTTGTAATATATTTTAATATGATATGAATTTTGATGTGTGATCTTAGTGGATAACTTTCTTCAATATCAATTGAGAAAAGTTGCTGAAATATTTTATTACAAAATTTATAATTAAATTATTTTCCTACATTAATTGGAAATTAAGAATTTTTTAAGAACCAATTGTAAAATAAAAATAAAAAAGAACACGATGATACAATGACTTTACAACTAAATATATTGTATAAATTTTATAGAGTGAATTGAACGGCATTTTTTTATGCAATAATAAAAATCTATGAATTAAATTGCATAAATAAAATTGATATTGTTGCAGAAACTTAATCAATGGAACTTAGAATATCACCCTCATTTCTATCTAATTATTTAAATTCGCTTCTAAGCCTTAATAATGACAAAATCTTTGACCTTTCTAGATATGATTGAATACAAAATAATTTCGGGGTTGGTGTTTGTCGATTGGGTTTAAAAAAATTCAAAAAGAAACTCTTTTGTTTTTAAAAAATATTATCATTAATGTTCAATCTAAATTTCTATGAAAATACAAACTATTCATAACCAATTTTATTCCAAGTACAAACTCATAGTTTAATTTGAGAACTACATTATTCCCTAATCACATAACCCATTGGGGATAGGGAATTGCAGCTCCTCAAAAATCAGCTTTCTGAGTTGGCCCAGACCATATTACTGTAGTTATGTAGGGCGGCAGTAATAGGAAGTTTTGAACCAACCCCAACCCCAAAAAGTTTTTGTAAAAACAATCCAATAATACTAAAATCAAACAAAACCTTCATTTCGAAGTGCTATTTATTAGAAGTTGCTGAATAAATTTAAAAGAAATTATTTACATTATAAAATTAATACACAGAAGACTCATTTTTGTTTACTGAATAAAAATACTAGAATTTTTCAATTCCATGACATTCATTTGTTTTCTGGCGTTTATCAAACAAATTTAAATTGATATTTCAAAAAATTAAGTCATTTTAATGAATAATTTGTTAAAAAACAGAGGGGTTTGTCTAAAAAAAATTAACAAAAAGAGTGTGAAAATGTAAAAATTTTATAGGGGGGTGGGAAATTTGTAAAAATCTATTTTGCATAAACCTTTTTCTAAAAAAATTTGGGAAAATACAAAAAGTAATTTTAGGTTCAAAAAATAAAAATAGCAAGATCAGAACAACTGGGCTATTACTACTCCTCAATAAATAAACTTAAGTAAGCCTCAAAAGTATCTATCACGAGGTATTCCAATAGAGAACACCGTCACCAAGTGTGAGAAGCACTAGATTAGGTGCTTTTATCAGCAGGGTAGAAGAAGACTAGCACAAAGCAACCTAACCCATTTTTAATTTTTAATTAAAGAATCATTTTTTGACAAGCTATGAATTTAACTTGAGAAAAATTTATTTATTAAATAATAAATATAAAAATACATTTTTGTTAAAAATTTTTAGTCATTTTTTTGGTGTTTATGATATAGGTTCCTAAATTTCAGCGTAATTAACTGAATGAATCTCTTAGAATTTATAACAAGAATTAAAAATATCTTTTTGAAATAGATTCTTAGGTGTCTAATTATCTATTTAATCTAACACAAATTAACTTTTTTATTCTAAAGTAAAATTTTCTAATTAATTCTTTTGATTGAATTAATCTTAATTTCTAGAGCAAGAGATGATATTTTATTATATCTAATGTTGGTTTTAGGAATCTCCATTTTTGTCAATTTTTCTTCTATACTTTTTTAAGAAAATATATTAATCATTTGTGAGCAATATTTTCTTTAAAATTTTAATTTCTTGTAACTTTCTCAAAATGTTGACAATTTCTAAATTTTTATTGACTTTGTTTTTGGCTATGATAAATTATTTTTTTTTGGATTTATTGCATCCAAAAATTATTAACCAAGTTTAGATATTAGATGAATTTAATTTAGAATTTTATTGATTTTTACTGAGATTATTAAGATCATGGTTTTGGTGTTGGTTCTAAATCTGAGTTCTATTTAATTAAATTTAGATTTCTTTCTCTTTTTAGGTTACATTAGAATGCTATTAATTTTATAACTAATCACAAAAATTGAAAAGAGAATTCACCATTTCTAATTTCATAAAATTTTCAACTATCGGCCTTAAAATTATTGCTATAATCATAATGAATATCTAAAAAATTCCTCCTATTTTTCCTATAATAGTTTACAGCTTAACATAGGTTCTAATGTTATTTGTTAGTTTGTAATCCAATCTAATAAAATGAGCAATTAAATATTGATTATTATAAAATTCAGATATCTCTCTCCATTCACTTTATTAAATATTTGATTATTGTTAAATTTGTTCCCAAATTAATCCCTGATCTGTTGTTGTTTATTATATCCTATAAAGTTAAGATATTGTCTTAGAAGTGCTTAAAGAGAAACTTGTAAATTCATTTGTAATGATTTCTTGATAAGGTTAATCTGGATGATCAAGAGTAGTTAGATAATCACTTTTATAAACATTGTAATGACCTGATTCTAAAGCAGTTTCAATTTCTTCTTTAGATGCACAATTTTTATATTAACTTGTATTTTAACAAACTGTAAATTAAATAAGTATGTATCTGAATTACCAAGATGTAACTTAACCTTGCAAAGTCTAATTTATTAATATTTTTATACTAAAGAATTATTATTTAAATATCTCCTGTTAATACATTAAATTCCCCCCATTCTAATAATAGAAAAATAATTCTTTTATAATTCAGTTGTGAAGTGAGACATATTGCATATTTCTATTGGAATTTGAGTACAACTAAGAGTATCACAAATATATAAAAATATATACTTTAATTTCACAGAAATTTTTTGAGAATTTTCATCCTTTATCCTTTATCTCTAGCATTAACTGATATTGAGTTAAAAGTATCGATCAATTCCTATTATGGGTTCTGAAAATCGGTTTACAACAGATATTGCTAAAGTAAAGTTATCATTTTTAAGAAACAAAGGCTATTTAAATTGTTTTTATTTACTTCTGTTTCAGCTATAGATAATTCTGTTTAATAAACTGCTGGTTTTGATTTAGAAATCATAGAGACTACCTCTGTGATAAAAAAATAAAACCCAAAGGCTCCAATCATAATTGAGATGATAAATCCAATTGCTGAGGAATATTTGGAACGCTTGAGTATTGTAAAATTTGGCGATTAGCTGAATATATCAAAGTGATGAATCATTTCTTTTTTGAGCTTTTAAGCAAAATTTGAATAATTGCAAGATGATTTTTACATATATATTTATGAAAAATAAGAAAATCTTGTATAGTTTTGAATATTCGAAAAGTCACAAGTATTATTTAAGCATCCTTATGGGTTTAAGTAAAAAAATATTTTTTTATCGTATAAAAAAAGGCAATCAAAGTCGACACAATTAGAAATCCTTAAGAAAAAATTATTTAATTGTAATACCCAGCATACAAATATTATATTAAAATGAAGGAAATTAATTGTCAAATATTAATGAAAAATAAAATTAGAATTCTTAAAAATCATGAATTATACTTAAATTTAAATAGCACAATCATATATTAAACAACTTATCTTTTTTAAAACAACATAATTAATTTATATTCTCATAATTTATATTTCACATTCTTATCCTAGGATTATTTTTCTATTAATTACGATTTTTAATTTAATACTTAAAAGATTTTCATTTTTTTCTAATAAATAGATTTTGTTTTTTTAATGACCTAAATGTCAAAATTGATTTAGTAGAAAAACTTAGAATTTCAAAAATAAATAATTGTAATTTAAGTACAACTTCAAATTAACACAGAATTAGGAAGTAAAATTAAGAAGTAATGTATAAATAAAAATTATTTAAAATAACCTAAATTTTGAAGATTGTTAATTTAATAGATTTATTTTGCATTTTCCCCAAAGTAAATACTTTAATTTTAAAATTTCAAAAAAAATTTTAATTAGTTTTTCTTCAATCTCCTATTTAGGGAGCTTTTAATAATCTATTTCAGAGAATTTTAGTTTAGTCAATCTTTCTTCTTCAAGAAATGTCATATTGATCTTCTTTTTTTATTTCTTAACTTTATATTCAATGATTAATTATTTGGGCTTCATAAGTTTGTTTTGAATAGATTTTTTCAGTTTATCTCAAAAAGGCATTTATTTAAGAAGGTATTTACTTGTGTAGTGCCTCTTCTTTGGCCCAAAGATATTTTTTTGGCTTCTAACTCTAAGAAATCTTAAATAAATGTTTAATTTATTACAATATAGGAGATATTTAATTCTTGCTTATTCTGTTAAAAATAGTTAATCTATATCTAAACTAATATTCTGATGGATATTTGCACATTGTGATATTTCTTATTGAACATTTAATTTATGAATAAGTTATTTGTTTCTTTATTCTTCTCTCCTCGACATTCAATTTTCAATAAACTCCTCAATAAATATCTGAAATGAGTTTTATTAACCTTCTTTATTGAAAGATTGCAAATAATCAATAGTTCTTACACCTTCTTCAGAATCAAATCACTATCCATAAAGCTGTTTAACAATAGTTTTTCAACATTAATGATTGAATTATGTAGGCTTTAAAATCTAAAGTTTTTAAATGATTTACCCTAAAATTAAGAATTAAAAACAAGTATGGTAGGGTTTAAATATGAACAGTATAAATACATTTGCTTAGTTTCTTATTTATTAGAAAGAGGTTTTTAGTTTAAATTATTTTATGAATCAATTATTTATATTGTTGAATAATAATCATAACAATTTGAATATGAAATAATTAATAAAAATATAAAGGATAAAGAAGGAGAAAAAGTAGACAAACTACTCTTCACATGCTACTCCTCCTTTTTTAATGATTCTATCGTTTGTTAACTGAATTGCTCTATTATTACCCTTTCCAGTTGCAAAAGTTGAATTGCTTAAGAAATAAGTATTAAAAGCATCTAGTTGAGTTTAATTGATTGGCAATACGGAATCCAAAATATACCAATTAACATTGTCATCACAATCTAATAATATATTAGATGAGACTCAAACCTGGAATAGTTAAGGATCCAATATAAGTGTAATAAGCTGGGTTAGCATCTAATTATGATCCTAGGAGATCATTAAAATTGATTGAAGCTATAGTAGAAGTCACAGATGCAGCAGTTGTTGTGTTAGTTTAATTCGTTTAATTTGTTGTTGAATTAGATGTGGTTGGAGCAGCCACTAAAGAAAAGTCATATGCGGTAAAGAATGGCTAATCTGTGCTTGAAACCTCAAATAATATTGAAACTATAGCTTTAGTTATGGTGGCACTAAACTCAGACTAAAAATTAAAATATATAAATATAAAGTATTACTTTTAATTCATGAACAATTTGCATTTCTAAATCATATCGAGTGCCTTCAATAGTATGTTCAGAAGGTCCATGAAACATGAATTATGTAGCAGTGTATCCTTATTTATTTCACCAATTTACCATAAAGATTTCCATTAATGTCTGTGGCATATAAATTTGAAATCGACGCATTAGATTGTATTGTATGTTGCACTCTTTCCATAACTATTTGCATTGCCTCCTTCTTGAATTAAATATCAAGAACCATGGAATTATCACATGTTCCTGATGATACTTCTAAATTAATTGGACTTTGAGAAGTACTGCCTAAAAATATAATTTATAGAATTACTTTAACAAACTCCTGAACTCCAATCAGATCCTTAATTTGCATAGCTTATTGTTGTCGTTGATGTTGTAGTTGTTGTTGTATTTGTTGTTTAACTTTATACAATAAATAACAGTGGGATTATGAAAACAATCATTCTTATTAAATAATTTAATTAATTATAAACTTTCACTTTTGTTTTTTCTTTTTAATTTCATCTTCATCTAATCTCTAACTATCCAATATTCTTTAATTCGAATTTTCAATCAAATTAATTAATTTTGTTAGTTGAAAATCAACTTTTGCATTTTTAAACAATTGTTATTTAAAACTATTAAATTCCAACACTCCTCCATTCAAATACAAAGCTTAAACTTTAAAATATACTAATACAAGAAAACATTTCCACTGTAAATGGTAAAATAGGATGTAAACATGCTTTATTTTTTTCATTACTAAATTTCATCAAACACTCAAAAACAGCTGCTGGATTAGGTAAATATAAATATTCATCATTGCTTGGATAGTATTTCTTTAAAATTGGTAATATACTATCAATAATTCCATTACTATTCAATTTTTAACTCAGCTCTTATAGGAGATTTTCAAATAATAATTCAAAAAGCAGGGCTTTACAAAATTGTAACAAAGTGAAAGTTTTCTTGAAAAGTATATCCTTATTTTTCTTTAATTATTACTTCATCGAGATTTGCATACAACAGCAGTGAATTAACTACTATTTCTCTTGGAAAATCTGAGCATAGTAATTTGGTTAATTAGTAATAATCAAATCCTGATTTATCTTCAAAACTTTCAAAAATCTAGGTTTTCTTCAATTTGACAACATACTTTATTAAAATTTATCACAAAGACTATACGATTCATTTTTGAATTACAAATTTATTGGTAAGGTCTTAGCAATACTGTTTCACCTTTAAAGTAACATTAAACACTGATATTATTTAATATTTATACAATTCTTAAAATGCAGTTTAAGGTTAGATGTTTGCCTTCCTTACAAAAAATTTTGTACATTCTGTTACCATATTTTATAATTCTTGCTTTTCTATTTATTGATATTACCATACCACAATATTAATTAAAGTCGATCTCAATATTGCTTGATTTATTGAGAAAATAACTTACAGAGCCAAAAGTAAAAGCCATTTTAAATGTAAATAATTTGTATAATAATTATATACGATAATTCAATAATAAAATTAGTCTGTTTAATTTCTTTGAATAATATATTGAATATTGATTTGATTGTAGTTTTTTTTTATTCCATATTCCTGCATAACTTTTTATACTATAATTATTTTCTTAAGATATTTATCCAAGCCTTAGAAAGATCTTTCTTTAATCCTGCCAAGCTATGCTTTTGCATTTTTAATTGCCTAAACTCGAATTTGTTAAAGTGGGCAATTTTTAAGTAATTTTTAGTGAAAAGAAATCTCAAACTTTTAATTAACTTCCACATTCTGATTGTAAGTTTTTTTTGCAAAACTAAACAATGTTTATATATTTTTTCATACTATTTTTAATCTATCTTACATGTTCTTTTACATCAATAAACTTATAAAGTGTAATAATTTCTAAACCTAGTTTTGTTTTAATACATGTTGATTTCTTAAAGATTACTTACAATATGTTCCATTCAATAAATTAAAACCAGAAGCGGAATAATTAAAATTTCATGAATAATCCTCATCTAAACTAACCTCTTGAATATTATCTTAACCCAATTAATCACTGCTTCCTCCCTTAACTGATTTTCTTACGTTTAAATTCCATCAAGGACTGAGGTTATATGCTTTCTTTTTGGTTATTTTACTACTCTTGGAATGTCTATTTCTTCATTATATAATTTTTAAGCTGTCAAACCGTGAAAATTGGAAAATTCAAGCATTAAATAACCATAAGAATTGTTTTTAAGTTATTCACTCATTTTAAAAAATAAAAATATATTATTCATTATTTAATCAGTGATTTTCCTAGTAAAGGTTGAATCTCTACTTTTTGATGATTCTAATTTAGAATTATATAATTAATATTACTTTCATTCCATAATTAGTTCCAACTCTTAATTATGGGGCAGTTGATAATTAGCTTCTCAGTTAATTTGGTTTAGCTGTTTGTGGAGCGCTAAATTAAAATTTCTCATGATTTTGAATGTTCATAAATCTTACTTAGGATCTGGATTTTTGGCTGATAGCAGTTTTTGTAAACTAATGTAATTAGTTGTAAAATTTACATCACTTTGAGTTTTAAATAAGGATTTAAAAGTATTGGAATTAAAGGAAGTTTGTTACGTCCTTTAAAATTTTCTTAATTCTTGTAAAACTAATATTGGTAAATGATCTCCAGGTAATATTGGATTTGTTATTGTTTTTGATTTTTCTTCAAGAATAGGTAATTGAGGTTCTTAAACTGAAGATCCATTGAATTTAAAATAAGGTTCAGATTAACTATATGACATTTAATGTGCTGCCAATGCATTTTTAAAGTCTTCTTCAAAATTTCTGATTTTCAAAGTAAGTGGTGGTTTACTTTTTGTGCTTTACTATAAAAATAATAAGAAATATTTACAATTTATAATTCATCTACATTAATATTATATTAGGTTTTAGCTAAATGTATATATTTAGATACGTCTTGCTTTAATTTAATAATAGAATTATTAGTTTTTTCTTTTAATTTAAATAAACTTTAAGTTTCAGGTACTTAATGTGATCTTACAATAGCATCGATTTCTCTTAATTTTTTTGGAACTTTCAATTATTGTTCTCTTTAGATGATATTTGGTTATTTTTAGGATTTAGGACTTTTAGAAGCACTCTGAGAATTATAAACTCCCGTTAAATGATATAATTTACATGAGTTTTTGTATAAGTTAAATCTTTATTCATTTCTCTTAATAAATTCTTACTCTTAATCTAAATTTTAACTTTCTCCAACTTCTTCATGAATGATATCAACTTCTGGAGTAGATTAATTTCTTTTTTAAACACTGATGGTGGAATTTAGATTAATGATTTCCATATATTTTTTGAACTTTTCTAATTGAGAAATGGAATTATCCTAAAATAAAAAGATTATATATACATCAATGGCTTTTCTTAATTCATCACGGCTTGCCAAATAACTTAAATAAGAGATCATATTATTAAAAGTGAAGGGCATGTATTTTCCTGCTGGTGAAGAACTGTCTAATTTTTATTCCTTTTCCATACTCTCCCTAAGTTCTTTCATAATTTCATAGAAGACTAAAAATATTGTTAATTATGCATACCTTGCGCTGCCTGTTCGTTGAATGCTGAATTTTTGAATTCACTCCAATTTAAAGCATCTTTGATTACATTTATCAATTACTATCTCTATCTTTATCAACAATTTTGAAAAACTTTTGCAATTGTTCTTCAGTAATTTTGAAGCCATTTTTTTAAAACATCTCGTATAATTCACTCATGTCCAAATTGTCTAAATTAAATTTAACTTCCATACTTGATTTATTTTAGTCAAAATTTTAGAAGATTTTTTTAACTTCTAATTATTGTTTGATTTCTTCTGGGAAATATAAATATTTTTTTTTGACTTTATCATTATATCTACCATTACAATTAATAAAATAACCTTTTCTTAAACCAATCATGAACATCTCTAGATTATAAAATGGATCTCTTAATTCCTGATAATTTCTCTATGGTAAGTCCATCGAATTCATCTTCTAAGTTATCATTGGCATTAATCATATTAGATAAAAATAATTATTTATTTTTGTATATTATAATAACTTATTTCTTAATTTATAGAACACTTAATGTCAATTTATCATAAAAACCCATTATATGTTTTTGAATAATGGGAGAGATGGTAAATAAATTTAATATATATAATAAATTTGAGATGATATAAGAATAAAAATTAAGTAAATGTTGAGATTAGTATTATTTACAATTTAAATTTATGAATTTCAATACTCTTTTATTGGAAAAAGATAATGATCTTCGTATTTTGGCATTGAAAGAAATGTTAAACTAAGTTGATCAACAATGGTCAGAAATATCTGAATTACTTAGTTAGATGTAAATGATTATTTGATATATCTTATAGTGAAACCTTGAGTGAAGATCAAAAATTCCCAGAAAGACAATTAGCTGCATATTTATGTGCAAAGATTCAATACCATCTTGATAACTTTGATGAATCTCTTAATTATGCTTTATAGAGTGGAAATTATTGGTAATCAGATTTGAATGATAAATTTAATCAATGTCTAATAAAACATTGTGTTGAGTAATATCGTTAATCAGGAAAGGCATCTGAGGAAAGAATAAGATTAATTAAAAGCATTTTGGAATTATCATGTTAATAAAACAATCATATATCAGCCATAGGAGTGGCAGTAGAATGCAAAAGGATTGATTGGGTAATTGATATTTTAAATAAATGGAATTATCCAGGTAAAATGATGTCAGTTTTACATCTATTCAATACCTAAAGAGGAGAATTTAAGGAATAATTATTAAGATTATCAGTAGATTTAATTTATGAAGAGGCAAAACATGGTCAAATTCCAAATGAAGAATGGGGATAATTTGTAACAGTTTTAATTCAATTGGGAGAGGCAATAAAAGTAGCTGAAATACTATGGACTTTAGTAACAAATGAAAATCATTATAAATTACAATCTGGTACTCCATTATTATTAGCTGAATAATTATGTATAGATTTAGCATAAAATTAAAAACCTTAATTTATACAAAAGATTATTGCTGCATTACCAATCGATCAATAATTCTAAGAAGTTAGAGATAAATTAATAAAATTGTTATCAGGAGAATAATAAAGAAAAGCATATTTGTATTTTTTAAAGAACCACAGATAAGTTGATATTGAAGTATTAAATAAAATAAAAGGTGCAAATGATCCAAAATAATCAAGTGTTTTACATGGTGCATGTATGTTTGGTCATGGATTAGCAACAGCAGGAACATAAGATACTTAGTTTTTGTAAGCAAATTAATAATGGGCAACTAAATGTAATTATTGGTAAAGATTTACTGCTACATCTACATTGGGAATGATTCATAAATATAATATAGAAGAATCTTAATAAATAATGGCAACTCATTTAGCATAAACAAATCCATTTGAAATAGGAGGAGCACTCTATGGATTAGGACTTATTCATTTTGGAACTTAAGATCAATAACTTTTACTTAAATTTTAAGATCAAATGAAATCTTAAAAAGAATAGATTATTCATGGAGCTTGTTTAGGTTCAGGATTAGTAGCATTTGCTTCTGAGGATGAAAAACTAAATCAAGATTATCATAATTTAATTTCTAAAAATGAATCAATTTATGGTGAAGGTGCAAGTATTGGCTATGGTTTATTAAATGCTGGTTCTGGATCTATTGAATAATGTAAACATCTATTATTATTGGCTAATTAATCAGACAAAGACAAGATTGTAAGAACCTTATCTTTATCAATTGCTTGTATTCTTTTCCATTAAGAAGATAAGGCTGATATTATTATTGATCAAATGTTACAATCTAATGATCCATTAATTAGATATGGTGGTTGTTTCACCTTAGCATTTGCTTATGTAGGAACAGGAAGCAATAAGATTATTTAAAAATTATTATCAATATCAGTAAATGATGTTTCTGAAGATGTCAGAAGAGCAGCAGTTATTTCATTTGGTTTTCTAATGTTTAAGAATTATGAAGCATTACCTAAAATTATGAGATTATTGACTTTATCTTATAATCCACACATCAGATATGGTACTGCTATTGCATTGGGTATAGCTTGTGCTGGTACTCTTTATCCAGATGCTATATCAGCTATAGAACCTATGTTAACAGATACTGTTGATTTTGTTAGACAAGGTGCTTTAATAGCTCTAGGAATGATACTCTCTTAAGGAAATAAAGATTAGGAATCTAAGTTTGAAACTATCATGAAATCAATCAATGAAATTGCAGCTAAAAAGCATGAAACTGTTCTAACAAAATTAGGTTTAGCAATCTTTTAAGGATTACTTGATTGTGGAGGTAGAAATTTGACTGTTTCTTTATTAAGCAGATAGGGAGTTCCAAAATTAAATGCTTGTGTTGGTATGTTATGGTTCTTAAACTATTGGTATTGGTATCCTTGTTTAACAATGATATCTATTGCTTTATAACCAGCAGCTTTTATTGGTTTAAATGAAAAGTATTCAATTATTAAAAATATTTTAGTTTGGATATTCCTAAAGACTTTCAATTATAATGTAATACTAAACAATCAGTCTTTGATTATCCTCCTCCTTAGAAAAAATCAGAAAAACCCATTGCTGAAAAAAAGACTGTATAATTAAGTACAACTCAAAAAGTGAGAGCAAGAACAAATAAAAAGGATTTAGAGAAAAAATAACTTGATTCTGCTTCTTAAGGTGTAATTTCTAGAGAATAATCAAAAATGAGTTTAGAACAATAACCAAGTGAAATTGTTAAATAGCCAAGTATGATTGAAGAATAAGAGAAGAAATAGGCAGCTCCAAAAGATGAACCAAATTAATATATTTTAACAAACCCATGCAGAATTCTAGATAAATAAAAGAAAAATATTTAATTGTTAGAAGGGAGTAGATATTAACCACTTCTAAAAGTATTATTTTAATATTAAAAATAGGATCGTAAATAAGGTTTAGTTATGTTAATTGATAGTGAACCTTCATAACCTGCTGATGTCATTTCTCTTACTGTTAAACCAAAATAACCAATTATAGAATAAGTAATAAATTAATAACCTGCTCCACCTAATTAAGTACCAGAAGAATTTGTATTTGATGAAGCTCTTTAGAATGAAGAACAAAAGCCATGAGAAGAAATAAAATATATTATAAATATAAATAATAATGAAACACATTGATTAACTTAAAGAATATTATGACCAATAATAACTAATATTTGAAAAAGATCTTGATTAAATGAGAAATAATCTTACTAAAGTTGACAATGTTAGATTGAAAGCTGAAAAAGAACTATTATATTTACAATCTAAAGCAAAAGAACAAAAAGTTTGGGACATTGTTGATCAAACTCCCTTTTTACCTGTTATAGAAGGAGATAGAATATTTAAAACTATCAAATTTGTTAACTCGAATTTAACTGAAGCTGAAAAAAGATAATTACTGTTACAGGAATATTATCGAAATGACAAAGCTAGAAATGCTATTAAATAACTTTATTAGAATTAAAATCAATATAATGATGATTAACCAGTGCCTGAATTATATACAGAAACATAGTTAATTTTACCTAAAATACATGCTCAAACAACTTAAGTTTTTGATGAATCTTTACTTAGAGATTTATAATCTATGAAAAATAGAGAAGATGAAATTACTAAAAGATTATAAGCTAATGAGATTTCACAAATTAAAAACTCTTCAGATTATTAAAGAATGCTAGAAAATTAAACTATATTACCTATTTTATAAAATATGAAGCATGAAGGTCAGCGATATATTGTTACTCCTCTAGAAAATCATGAATAACCAGAATCAGCCTAAAAAAAATTGAGATCAGAAGGAGATTCTGCTCAAGTTACATTTGTTAATCAATTTGAATAATAAAATTAGAATATGTAAAATACGTAATAATAATTCGATCTTGATTTCACAGGAGAACATTAAAGAACTGAAGAGCTATTATTAAATGAGTCAGAAATACCTAAAGTATAAGATCAAATGTTTGAATATGAAGAATAATAATAATCATTCTAAGAACCTTAAGATCCAATTGATGAAAAAATTGATGAATTATTAACAAACATACATTAGATTGTTAACTAATAATATCAACCTCATCAATCATTATAAAAAACTAACAATGCACTTCAAAATACATTGAAATTAGCAATCTAAAAAGATTAAATAACCACTAAATAACAACCTAAAGATTTTAAGCCAGTCAATTTTCTTAAAAAACCACTTGTCCAATAAGAGCCAATACTTTATAAGCTTTTAGTATAACCCAAGAAGCAAATGGTTCAAGAGCCTTTACCTGATGATAATTTTGAGAGATTGGATCAATTTATTTAACATTTAGAAATATGAACTGAATTTTTAACTTCCTTCTTATTAATTATGGTATTAATGTATATTAAATAATACTTCCAATTTAACAGAAAATTAAATAATATTAAAATTATTTATTTATTTTTAGCTTATTAATTACTTTATATTTGGTGTTAAATTTTAAGACCTAGATTTTTTTAATGAATTAAACATAAGATTATACAGAAATTCCTCTATTTATTAGCCTTATATTTTTCTTTAATTATTTCATTCAGTTTATACTTTCATTATAATAAATGATTAGTTTATTAATTAATAATTTCAAGAAAAAGTATAATAATTTTTAAATAAATTGTATTACTTATTAACAACAATTACATTAATTAATAAATCATTCTGTTTCCATTTTGTTATTATTATTATTGGCCTCATTTTATTATTATGGTTATTCTTGAGGTTGAGGTTCTTCAGATTTCTTATCTTCTTTAGGTGGTTCAGGTTTAGGTTTGGTTACAATTGGTTAACATTTCTAAATTGTAAATGGAATATATTTACCTCTTTGAATTCATTGAATTTAGTATGAACTTATTAAACTGGAGTTGTGAATCTAACTGTTTTATCTGCATTAGTTAAAGCATCTAAAACTTAATTACACCATAATTTGAAAGCATTAACTTCATTTGCAACAACTTATCTTTCTTCAGGAGTGATATGTGCATATTATTATTCCTATAGAATTAAATAATTGATTACTTATGAAGTAACAAAACTTTCATAATTAGAAGTGTATTGTAAAACTTATTGAATAGCTTCAGGTACTAATCTGAAATCATCAGCAATAGTTACAACAGGACTACATAATTAAACAAGTTTATCATATCTATCAGAATATTCTCTCTTTGTAGTTTTTTGACCGTCACTATAGAGCCATTCATATTAGACTTCTAAATCCTTTAGAATTTAAGCTTTGAGTTCTGGTTTAATATGTTATGCATATTTTCCATTAACATTCTCTCTCCAAGCATAAATGTATGCTTCCAATTAATTTTTCTTGAAATGTGTTTCATGAACCAATTTATCTTAATTTTACATTTCACATTCTTATTAGAATAATTTATCAATATCTTTTTTAGTTAAACTATTTAAGGAAGTAGTATCACAATTAATTTAAGTTTAAACAGTTTTCTTTTTTTATTTGATTTCAAATTATGGTTCTTCTGGTTTAGGTTATTCTTATTAAGGAACTTCTGGAGCAGGTTATTATGCTTCACTAGCTTATGGTTATTATTATTATGGATCAGCTGCTGGTTTAGGTGGATCAACTTATTTTGGTTTTTCAATCTAATATATTAATTAAATATTGATACTGGAACTTTTACTTCTTCCATGAATTCCTCTTATAATACAATTTCTTCTAATTGTAATAAACCATTATGATTCAATAATATTTTGATCTTGGTTGAATGGTCTGGATGTTTTGGATTTTAAGAAGGAACACGAATTTATTCTAAATTATTAATTTTGAAATTACATAAAATAGCTTAGAATCCTTCTGGTACAGGATCATAGAAAAGTGTAATTTCAATTGGTTCTGTTTTTAAAAGTGAAAAACTCTTTACTGAAGGTATTGCATTATTTTAATCAAAAAGAACTTTGCATTATTTTTCAGGGAAACATCTAACTAAACCTTGACTTTAGTCTTATTATGTTAATTATTAACCATAAAGCCATCCAACTCTAATTGGATAATAGTTGCAATCTTCAATTTTGTATTCAGTGACTTTGAAATTTGGGCTCTTCATTGCTGCCATCATAGCACAACCTCTAGATATTGATTCACTTGCATTCAAAGTTCTAGATACTTATTCTACTTTAAAAATCTTTTCAATTAATCTCTATACTGCTGGAATTCTTGTAGCTCCTCCAACTATTTCTACAGAGTGTAATTCCAATTTTAAATTAGAAACCTAATTAAATAAAAATTCTAATTGTTATTGAATCTAATTTAAAACTGGTTAAATCATTTATTCAAAATCTTCTCTTTTTATTAAAGTATTGAAATCTTCATCTTCTACTAAATATTCTACATTAATTGGAGCTTCTGAATTAGCAGACAATACTTTTCTAGCTTTTTCAATAGCTTCTAATAATCTTAATTTTCCTTTAAGATTTTTTCTAACATTTAAACCACCTGATTATTATTCAAATTATGTGGCAAATTTTTCAAATAAAAACCAATCAATATTTCTTGCACCTAGATTTCTCTCATTAACTTAAGCTACCACTTAAGCCTTTTCCTTATAAAATGAACCAACAAATGCTGAAAATTTAGAATGTCCAAAATCAACAAATGCCACATGTCTTGGTTTTTCAGCATCTAAATCTGATTTTCTAAATAAACCATAATTAATTGCTATAGCTGTTGTTTCATTTAGTAATCTCTCTAATGGAATATCAGCAATTTTACAGGCATCAATTAATGCCTTTCTTTCTGATTCTGTATAATATGCAGGTACACTAATACATACATTACTTGCTTAAACATTTATGTCATTACGACCAATTACTTGCTTTAATTTATTCAACATTGAACCTGTCAATTACTCTGGAGTAAATGTAGTTTTCTAACCTAAATAATTAACCTCAAATAATGTTTTTCCAGAATCATTTATTGAAGTAGGAACAGTTAACCATTTAGTCTCTTCTGCTCTAAATGTAGGTTCCCCATGTAATCCCAAGAATCTATTAAAAAATGCAACTGAATTTTTAAAGTTAGACTTTTATTGTAAGGCTCCTTATTCACCTATGAATCTTTCTTCAACTGTGAATCCTATAACATTTTATGTTTCTCTATGTGATCCTTCATTGTCTAGAATCTTTACACCGCCTTTTAATGCTGCAGCGATAACAGATCTCTAACTACCAAAGTCAATACCAATAGAAGCAAGTTAAGACATTAATTAGTTTAAATTTTCCAGAATCAGCCACTTATAAACCATCCATAAAATTGCTAGAAAATTCTATAATTAATAATAAATTAACGTATTTATCTCACAAATATCACAATCAACTTCAAAAATAATATGTTCTATCTAACAAATCATTCTAGAATTTACCCAATTCAATATTTTATTAAACTATAACATTGAAAAGAAACAATATTTGAATTTTATTTTTATCCTTCTATTTATAAGAAATATTATATCCTTATTATAAGAAACATTATATTTATTTTTTTAATTTCTTAATCATAGTTATTAAACACTTATATATTTAATCTGCATTTAACATATTAATTTATAAATTATAGAATTTTTTAATATATATTAAATATAGATAGTTTGCTTAGTAACTAAACTCATTTCATTTTTTTGTTTTTAAAATGCTTTTCTTTAATTGTGGGGGTTAATGTTTAGGTAAAGAAATCTTACCAGCTGATGTTTTTGGAGGCGCGTATATCTTACCAACAGAAACACTTTTTTATCTAATGTTGCTTGTAGCGTTCTCTTTATTTTTATACTATAAGGCCTTGCTAAATCTTGATTCCATTTCATTAAATTTTTGCTCCATCATTTTAATGGAATTTAATACCATTTCGCTGAATTCTAAGAGTGATCCATCAAATGAATACCCAGATATCTGTCTTGCTGTGATTTCTCCTACAACGTGTTTGCTTTTACTTCCATTTCTTTAACTTCGCTAGCCAAATCAACTTAATTCCCTAAATCAAAGTCATCATCAAACATGTTAACTGAAAATATAAATTTTTTAATAAAATAATATCAATTACACAATGAAATAATCTTACTTAAACCTTCTTCAAAATTTGCAAATAAGTCAATATATGTTCCATCTCTAGCTTCATCTGTTAATCTATAAAATGTATTTCTTTAATTCATAAATTTTTTCTCTTATGTACTACATAATATGAAATGCCAAAATCCATCTCTCAATTTTTCTAATAATTCTATTAATTTCTCATTCTACTCAGCATAATTTTCTCCAAAAGTCATTACAATTAAGTAATTAGTATATTTTATTGGAAGATTTTAATTTAAACATTCCAAAATTCCCTAATACAACTTACGTTAATTTTATGTCTATCTCCCGCTTAAATAATCAAAAAATCCATCCTCCATATAATTTTTACCCATATTTTCCAGAAGACTAATTTTTGATTAAGATTCAATTAATACATGTGTATATTCATCAAAAGTTGATACTTATATCAAATCATCATCATTCATTGTTTAAAATATCTTATTATTAATAAAATTATACCTATTTAATTGTTTCAACAATCTCAAGTTGGTTTTCTGACATTCTTTATGTTGAATCAATTAAAAAAATAAACTATCTTTTTTAATTTTAAAAAAAGTATTGAAGTTATTTTAAAATTTAACTATCAGATTTAAATTTTTCTTATTTTGCAAGTAATGTTGATAGCATCTTAATAGTTTTTACTCTTAATTTTGCCTAATAAACATTACCATAATCTAGAGCTAGCATTAATTATTATATTGCAGGCTATAATTAACCACTAGACATATAAATTAATCCTCTATAAAAATAAATTTTCTATTAAACAACCTACATCAATTTTTTGTCTTAATTAAATGTTTTATTTTAATATGATGCATTTTTACTTTAGGTATAGTTTTATTATAAAATTAACTAAGCTTAATCAATGCATTGTTCAGCCTCTTTTATTTTTCTAAGATTAAAAAGAAGTTTGCATTTTTTAAAGAAAAGCTTAATTTATAAAGTGAACTTAATTTCTAGTGTGTCTGCAAAATCCATTATGTTTGAAAATAATTTTTTAGCTTAATTAAATGCATTTCTATCTCTACTTTTATTTCTAATTAATAATTTAGATAATAAATCTAATAATTGATTTAAAGATTGAAACAATTTATAATTTATCCTCATAATCTCTTCTGATTTAATTAATTATATATCTTTCTTTTATTTTTCAAGTATAGATATAAGTTAATCATTATATCTGATAGCAGTTTCATAATCTTTTTGTCGACTATGCTCTGAAACTAATTTCATTAAGATTAATTCTAAACATTCAATTGAGTTTCTTTTCTGAAAAATAGCTAAACCTTATTCTAATTTTTTTAAATCATGAACCTTTTTATTTAATTGATTTAAAAAGTCAATTAACCAACAAAATTCATCAAAAATTTATAATAATTCATTTAATTCAGTTAAACTACTATTTTAAGATTCTTTAAATGCGTTAACTTCCTTATGCAAAGTATCATAATCTAATTCAAAAAACATTTACATCATAGTTGAAACTTAATTTAATGTAATACTAATTTAATCGAATTCATTTTGAGTAATAAGATTGACTAAAATAGGAGTAAACAAAAGAAATAGAATGAAAAATTAGAAAAAAAGAAAAAAATAAAAATAATCTTCTTATTTTGCTTCTACTAAATTTGTATAAAGTTCATTATTAAAGGCTGCTAGTAATTACCATCTATTATAATTTTATTAGAGAGCAATTAATTTATCTTATTCTTCTTTTGTTTAATTAATTAAGTCTTCTTTGTACTCTTAATAAAATTCATTATTCTAATGAAATATAGATAAAAAATTACTATGTTTGATGTTCCTACTTTTATTGATTAATAAAAATAGACTTTAATATCAACCATAGATAAACTACTAATTGGATTAGTTTATTCATAATAGCGTGTAGCAGGATGAATTTAATTACTCCAATCAGCTTTATCTATATTTTCTAAAAATTCAGCAATGTCTTATGAATTTTAATAATCAAAATCAAGCTTTTTTAATTCAATATCTGGACTGCATTTTAATTCTGATGTTAGACAGTCATCACTTATATCAGAAACTATTGAATTATTTATTGTAAATAAAGTTGTGTATAAAATTCCTTCAGGTTATTTATAGTTTGCTAAATCCAAAATAAAACATTAGAATAATGACTCACTTGCTAATAGTCCACAAATTTAAGTCAGTTAAATATTAAATGGAAACAATGTATAAAATACAACTTATTCTTTCCTGAGATTTTTCATATATAAAAAAATATCAAAACTACCTTTATCATAGTATGATTTTTCCATTAATTAACAGAATTTTGGATAATTTGTGCAACTTAGAGTTGATTTAAAATTAAACATATTTAAAGTGTTGTTTGATGCACATAAACTATTTGAGGCTAGTTATATCACATAATAAGGGAGATCTGGAACATATATTTAAGATATTTCTTCAATCTAGGCTATTTATGATCTTTCTGTAACTGTAAAAGTGCCTATAATAGTTTATAAAGTTGAATTTTGTTGGGGAATTTCTTATTAATTAAGAGCCAACTTAGTAATGTTGAATAAAAATCCAATTTAGGAAATCATTTATTATAAATCAATTCCTGTTATTGTGATATTGGCTTTCATTATTTCAATAATAGTTTCATTATTACTTGATATATGAGCTAATAATGAATAAAATATTTTACAATTAATCCAATACATTACAAGAACAAATAAAACGCTTAAGCTTATTGTCGTTTCAATCAAATCAGCTAAGAAAATTGTTTATGTGACAATTAGTTTAAAATGATGTTAAATGTTTGTCATTTTAAATAAAAATGAAATAAAATAGAAAAAATTATATAAATTTGTTTCTTTGAAAATAAAAAACTCATAAAAATACATCATGAGAAGCTTATTATATTGAATTCTTTTTGAATCTACGAATACAGCTATCAGATATTTTTCTAATAAATGGATATTTTTCATAAAGATATTTCCATTATTAAATAGTATTTATTACTAATTATGTAAACAATGCTGTTAACACATTAGATATAACCATCCATCCAATTATTAATTTTTAATCTTCATTTATAAATTTTATAAGATCATTAATGCAAAACAAAGTGAAAAATATTAAAGTAAGAAATTGTGAAGTTTCACAACTTAATTATTTTATAAATTCTAGCTTTTCTTTGATTGGTTAATAAATTATCAGTAAGATAAGAGTAATTAAACTTAAAAGTGTTACTTGTAATACCTGTATTAAAGGTTAATCATAAAGATAAATTAAAAATGTCATAAAAAGAAATTTCTTTATTAACAATAATGGATTATATAATTTTTAATATTTTGATATTTTTAATCCTTAGAACACTGATCCAAATTTAATAGAAAATTGTAGTTATTAAATAGAATATCTTTTATTATCAACTATTTTGAAGGATAGAAATGTAATTATAATGTAAAAAGCAAAAAATAAAAGAGTTATTGTTGAATTTATAAAACCAAATGCAGTTTTAAAATCAAGTCCCTTTAAACCTAATCCTAATGTAAAACTATATTCATTTGCCGTTGTCATAAATATTCTTAGTAAATCACTATATAACAATTCTCTAATAATAATTTATGCCCATTTAAAAATAAAATGCATTAATTTAAGTTTAAGTTTAAGATAGAATAATTTTATTTATGAAGTATAGTAATATAAATTATTTTGATTAACAAAAGTTTCTTACAATAAATAAGAATCTTACTAATCTTATTATTTTTCAGAGGATAGAAATCTTATTTTAATTAAATTGGCTATTATGTAAAATGTAAAGGCAATTAAGAATAATGAGAAAATTGATGCGAAATTGAGAATGAAACATGAATAAAGTCCTTAATTTTTAATTTTGAATGGGAGTGTCAATGAATGAAATTCTAAATCATAGTGAAATTCATATTTAAATATATGATTTAAGTTGATAAAATCTTAAGCAATTGTAAATTAAGCAAAACTAAGATTTTCAAAAAATTAATTAACATTAAATGGAAATATAGTATTAATATAATATAAGTAAGAAAGGTATTAAAGTGTATCTATTAGATTAAAATAGATATCAACACCTCCTAGTATTATACCACATCCAAATAAAGCTAATAAGAAATATATAATGTAATTAGAACTATTAACAGTTGATGCTGTTAAATTTTAAACTGATTAAGAAATAATTAAAATATCAGTTATCGAAACTTCTAAAAAATATATTTCTTAAGATTAATTTTGAGCATTTTTAAATATTTATGGATTTAAATATGTTATTAATAAGCTTGCATTTTTAATTGATCTATCAACCTCTATTTAAATAGTAATGGTGAAATTAGTTAGATTACCTTTTTAGAGGTTTAAGTTAGATTCTAAAAAATAATTAATATTGGCTTATTAGTTTAATTCAATTTGTAATTCATTGTTAATGTCAAATTATTAAGATAATCTTAACTCTTGATCGTAATGTATTATTACTTATCTTTTTGGAGTGTATAAATCATATATTAAATTTTCTTAAGCAGATGGAATTGGATTTTTTGTTTTGTTACAAATACCATTAACACAATCAAAGTTCTTTTCTAACAAACAACGATCATTACAACCATCTCCATTTATTAGATTTCCATCATCACATTATTCAATATCAGACATTATTGCATCACCACATTTAGAATAGCATAAATTATTTTCATAATCTGAATAATATCCTTATTTGTATTCACATAATTAACAATTCATATAAGATTTGTTAATGTTAACAAATCTGCATTAAGTACATTAACTAGAAGTAAATTCGCAATGTAAGCATTTATCTTAGCATTTATTAATTCGAGTAAAATTTTCTATATAGTATTCATCAATTGCTTTTTTACATATAGGTTTTTGGTATATATAATCATATTCACAAATATCACAATTTTCCTAACATTTTTAACACTTAGATGGTTTAAGTAATTCATTGATGCAGTAATACTAATGTTCTAAGATACAATTAAAACAACCATCTCTAGAAGAATAATTAGCATCATCACATTACTCTCCATAAGTCCATATACCATCATTACAATCTTTATATTTACATACTTCAATAGGAATAGCTTCCTTAGATTAACAAGATATGCAAAGTTCATTTTAATTTAAAAAATAATTGTTATTACAAATACATTTACCATTACTTAAAGTTCTATTCATTTCCTAATTACAAGTAATACATGTATATCTATTTGAACATGTTTTACATGTCTAATCACACTCTAAACATTTTAATTCAATAATATCATAATAAAATCCATCAATACAATTGCATATCTGATTTTAATATTAAACTAAAGTATTTTCAATACATTCTATACAAATGGCTTATGATAAACATTTAGAACAAAGTTTATTACATTCATTACATGTATTATTCACTTCATAAAATCCTTCAGGACAATAACAAGTATTTGTATCTTTATTTAATAAATAATTTTCATAACATGAAGTACATTTATTACTGATTTCTGCACATGTAAAACAGTCATTCGAGCATAATTCACATAAATAAGAATTACTTGGTGAACTTAAATAACCAGGTTTACAAGCACAGATATTATCATTATTTACCATTAATAATTAATCATTACAAGATGTACAATATGTTGATGAATTTTCACATGTAGTACATGGATTTGCACATAATTAACAAGAATTTGAATCCCAATAATATCCATCATCACAATTACATTTTCCATTAATTGGATTTAATGATAAATGTGCGATAATCTTACAGGAACTACAGATATCAAATGAAGTAGAACATGCTTAACATCTTTAATTACACTATTTGCACTATTTCCCATCTGAAATGTAAGTATTCCAGCATTTGCAAGAATAATCAGTAGTATCTAAAGATGCATTATCTACACATGTTTAACATTGATTTATATTATTTTCACAACTTTTGCAAAGTGGCTTTTAGCACTAAATACATTGATGATTGATTAATTTATAACCATAAGCACATTTTTCACATTTCTAACTCGAACATTCTATGCATGGGTAAGTACAAAGATAACAGATATGATCTTTTAAATAATAACCATCTACGCATTCCTCACATTCATCATCATCATACTCTTTGCATTTATTTTTATCACATCCAAATGTATCAATTGTTATTTAAAATTTTTATGAATTCTAACATCTACAATCACCACAACAATCTCTTTAGTTTGAACAATTCCAACAACCCTAACTTCTGCATGCTTGATAACTAACTTTCACCATCACTAAAAGCATCAAATGCAACTAAAATAACATAATTTAATTATGTCATCAAACTTTAAACCTATATATTATACATATAAAATTTTCTAATTATAATATGAAAAAACTTTTATCACTTTTGTAATTAGATTTTTAATAGCAGCGTTATATTTTTTTTACAGAAATCTAATGATTCAACACTTTATTATTCTAGAGTATAATATATTTAAATTTATCAAAAAAGTATCAATTTAACTTTATCTTTTATAATAATAAATAAATATTATTAATATTTTATTATTTTTAAATGTTTTTAGTTAATAATATACATCAGTTCTTATTTTTTTCTAAAATTATATAGTCAAAATTCTCGATATTGTAATATGACAAATCCTTGTAATCTTTTAAAAACTTTCCCTAAAATTTTAGTTATTATTTCTCTGGAGGTACTTAACATTCTTAATTTAAACAGATTTTATATTTTAGTTAAAACACTTTATCATTTGGTGAAACTGTTACCGTAAATTCTTTACAATTATCTATTTTATTGATTATTGTAATTTTATATGGAGATTTTAAGTCATTAAATAGATACAAATTACTGTCTTATTCAATTTTAGATTACACTGTTTCGTTATCATTTAATTCTTATCCTTTATAAAATAAATGTTATTAATTTATTGGGAATTCTAATAATTATTGGATTTCTTTTTTTATATCTAAAATTTTTTGAAATTACTCTATTTTCATTGGCAAAATTAGACATTATATTTGAATGGTGAAATTTATATATTGTTTTCCTATCAACTCAATTATTGACTCATGAATTATATTATAAAATTAGAGAGTTTTATTTTCATCTAAGATTTAATTCTCATAAAAAACATGATAGTCTTTCAAATCTTAATATTTTTATATCAAACTGATTTTTAAATCTTTAATTTTTTATTTATCATTTAATTTTTCTCTAATTATTTTATTTTTTGATCCTAGATATATATAAATCTACTCTTTTAGCTTTAAAAAAAAAATAGAATGTTGATTAATGTTATAATATTATAAATTCTAATCATCTTATAACTAGATATTTTTTAAATACAATTATTATAAAATTTTTGGAAATTTGTATTACTTTTCCAATTAGTGCTTAATATCACTAACAAAACCCATAAGATTAACTTCTATTATTAAGGTTTTATTTTGATAAATAACATAAATAAAATATTGAGGGTGTTTTTTAATTTTATTTTTTTCGGAATGTATTCTCAAATGCAATGTAGAAAATTTTTTTATTTTTTTACTATTAGAACTATTAATATGTTTTGGACCTAAAAATAAATTATATCTATTAGAAGGAATTCCTTCTTTCTATTCTATTTATTGATTAATTTATTCTAAATAAGGTTTTTCATCATTTATATCTAAAGAAAGAATTCTTCCATTTGGAATCATGACAAAAATTTAGTTTACATTGACTTAATTGAAATTTTGAATTTCTTGATAATTATCATTGATATCAGATTATGATAAGAAAAATAATTATTTTTGTGTATTTTTCTAAGCATATTGAATATTTATGTTTTAAGAGTTCTCTTTTGGGATAATTTTGTATGTCTGTTTCATCTATTGAAGTAAAATAAAATTTTCAATAGAATTTTATTTATAAGAAATATAATAAATTCATTTAAGCAATTTAATATATTTATTGATAAAAAATGCATCATATTCTAATGTCATCTTTAAAATTCCAAATATTTAATAGATAAAAAATTCTGATTAATAGAAATCTCTAGAAAAGCTTGAACTACATTTAAATAAGATCCTTAAACATCTTCTCAATTAACAGGTAATTCTGAGACAGGAACTTTGTATTTTTATGCAATCATAAATAATTCAACATCAAATGGCCATCTTTCTAAATGAAAAACTCTAAAAAAATAGCTGAAATATTTTTTGTAAATAATTTAAATCTACATTAAGTGTCTTTTAATCTAACACCATAAATTGTATTAAAAATAAAATTAAAACAATGCATTATTAAAATTCTATACCGACCAATCCTAATTATATATTATTCCATATCAAAAGTTAAATTATTTTAAACTGCCTTTTTTATTTATAATATTGATAATGGAAATAGAAATTATATATATTTAAATTAATAATACAAACTGTAAAATAGTTATTTATTTTCATTAAAATTAAAATTATCATATAATTAATATTTATATTATAAATTATCTTTACATATAATTAGATTATTATCAATAAGTTTAGTTACAAATGATATGAACATTATAAACCTTTTTAAAATTAAAGATTATTAGATATATATTCCTGTTTTTGGACTTTTTCCATACTCTTTACTCTTAACAAATACTATTTCATATTTTCAATAAATCTAGATAAATCTCTAAAAAAATAGAATATCATAAAACTAGAAGTGATTATATAATTTTTTCCCTAAAAATATTCTAATATCCTAAAGTAGAAAAGTTTATCTTATTATAAATCATGATCTAAATTTTTATATAGTTTAATATTTTAACATAATTGAAACACATAAAATATTCTTATAATATGATCATAATGATAAGAACAATTGTAATTTGATATTATTATTAGACTAAAATTAATATTTTATATGGTTTTTGTATTATTTCTTACCTTAATCAATGTCAATTAAGATTCTTGTTTTCTCAATTCTACATTAAGAATGTATTAGATAGTTGTAATACTAATTGCCGTGGATTATAGCCCGGTATTAAAATCATAAATAAAAATAATGACAGACACTATTCTTGGAGTTGAGATAAGTGAGTTTGTAGTTAATCGTTAATATGCTAAGATTCAATATTTGCAAGAGGAAAATAAACAATTATAAGAATAATTGAAGGATATGGAAAAAGCATTAAAATTGAATAAAGATGTTCTTCGTTTAACATTAGAACAAAAGTATAAAGACTTTTTTATCAAATAAGTTTAAACAATTCCAATAATTCAACTAATTCAAGTGAGCATATTCAAACAATACAATTGCAAATGAAATTACATGAAGAAAATGAAATGTTGAGAAATCAAATGGTTAAATTGACAGATGAAAGAAATTTAGCTTAAAATAAAGTATGTTTTTCAAACATTTAATAAGGTATTATTGTCATAGCAAATATCTGAAGAAAATTAAGCATTTTATAAGGATCTTATTGTAGAATTAGAAGATAAACTTAGTGAATTAAGAAGATGTATCTAAGACAAAGAATACACTATATAAGACATAGAAAAAAATAGAGGATTAGTTGATAATGGATAAATGGTTAAGATTCGAGAAATTGTAACACCACATGAATAATCATTAAGATTACATGAAGAATTAGAATCAACTAGATAAATATTAAATAAAGTTTCTTAATAATCATAAAATTTGTAAGAAGAGAACAAACAACTTAAAGAAATTAATCAAGTATAGTTTAAAATTGTATTTTTAGATTTACAAAAGAGAATTAATTAAATTTCGGATCCTCTTAAGAAGTCCCTTAGTATATTAAAAAATGAAAAGTAAGATATTCTCAATGATGTTAAGATTATATTTATTAGGATGATCCAGGAAATTCAGCTGATGATATCTAATTTCATCGTGAAATATTTTTAAATCAACTTTTATTAAACCAGATTCCAAATGAATAAATACCTGATTAACATTAAGGTTGTAGAGAATTTTAATAGCAATCAACAAATACTATGAAATATTTAACCAATAATGAGAGGTACTTAAATAGATTTATCAATTTTTTTAGATCTATTTATATGGAAAAATTATAGAAGAGTGAAGCTTTATTAAAAGGATATAAAGAATTATTTGAAAAGGAAAAAAATAAAGTGGATTTTTTAGTTAAACTTACAGATGATATGGAAAAAAAGATAAATGAATGTTATAGTTACAATGAGTAGATAATCAATGGAATTAACAGTAGAGATTAAAAAATAGAATAATTATAAGCTGAAGTTCAATATTATAGAACTTAATATGGTAATTATATTAGTTTTCTTAAAAATAAAAGAAAGATTAATTTGAATTAATCGTTTTAATTAAAGGAAGAAATTAAAAATTTATCACCTACTACACCACCTCCAAATTTAAATGCAAATAATAAAATATTAAATGATATTGAAAAAGATCCAAATGATACTGAAAAAATTGTCAGTATTTTAGATCCAGTTGAAGATTAATCACCAGATAATTGGAAGCCTGATGATTTAGATGATAAATAAAAACCTCCTAAAAAATTTAGTAATATTTTTGACTATAATTATTCTGAAATGAATTTAATGGAATGTAAATAGCTATTACTAAATACTGCTAAAGAACTTTTTATTAATTATAATTTAAAAATGAATAATTTAAAAAAAAAGTAATTAATGGATCCAAAAAAATGCATTAAAACTAAATAAATCCATCATATTAAATCTAGTAGTGATCCTTTAGATTACTTTACATTATAATATTAAAATCTTTAGCTATCTGATAAACATCAAGTCAATTACAATAATAATTTTACTAATTTTTTAATTAAAAAAAATACTAAAGATTAAGAATGGGAAAAAATTTTAAATGAATGCTCAATCATTTAAGGAGAGAAAACAAAATAGGTTATATCTGATAATTATGGATTTAATGATATACCCTTTAATTGATAAATAAAGATTGACAAATGACAATTAAATATAATTAAATATCAGGAAAGATGGCAATTAATTAAGTTCTCTTCATCACATTCATGTTCATTTATCCATAAATTTTTATTTTAATTAAATAATAAAATTTAAATCGTTATTTACTTATCCATGAATATTCCAATATAAGATGTAGTTTATTTTATATAAGAAAATTTAAATAAAAAATTGTAATTTTTTTTCATTTTTTTATCCATCCTCTTAACTAAGATTTATTTTATAATATCATATTCACTCAATTTGAAGTTTGTAAACATTCTATTACTTGAAAAATAATTATTAAAATGCTTTCCTACACAAGCAAATTCAATAGAAAAAAGTCCTAAAATTTGATTAGATCTAAGCTAATTTAATTAATTTCTCAATATTCTGAATTATTAAAAAAACAGATCGAATTTTCATTAATATTTAGTTTAATTTCTGTTATATAATAAATTTATAATAATTAAATTAATAATATTAATGATGATAGGATTAATGACAACACCAATAAAATTTAATTTTATAATAATATATTGGAAATTGAGGAATAAGTAAAAATAAGTATATAAAATTAATAAAGATAAATAAACATAATTGAATTGTTATCAAAAATATAATTTTTCAATTGCAGCTTTAGGACTACTAAAATTCTAGAATTCTCGAAGCTTGAATGTTTCTTAAAGGACTTTTCTACAATCATATGCAGAAAGAACATCAGATATTAAGAAATCATACAATAACTTTAATTCCTTATCATCTTTATTATCATAATATGGAATAATAGGAATTCCATTTTCAATATGATAACCAAAGCTATATGCAGCATTATCGATTAAGACAATATCTTTCATATCTCTACCAAGTACTCTAAGATCTTTTATATGCACTCCATCATTTGTAACTATGCAACTTTCTCTAAATAATTAAGCACTTAGTATTTTTTTATGATCTAGATATTGAATCACTTAAGATGCATAACATTAATGTGAAGCTGTAAAAACTACTACCTCACATACTTCAGATAAAAGACTTAGTATTTATTTAGCCCATGGCCTTATATTGATTCCAGCTTAAACTGTATCTCCTGAAGGAAATGTAATTGGTATACAAACTTCTGATTTAATGTTTTAATTTTCATTGCAATGGATGAGGGTTTCATCAAGATCAAAAACAACAGTCTTACGAACTAAAATGTATTAAAACTATACATTTGGTATTTCTTTATGGTAAATTAACCAGTTTCTTTTCTATTATACTATCAGAAGGCACTGTTTAATTTAAACAGAAACTTATGCTATTGTAAGTTTATAAAGCATGATCTCTATATAATTAACTCAGAGAATCATATGCTCCATTCATAGCTTCAATCATTGTACTCACATAATAGACGTTTCCTAAATTAATTTAAATGCAATACTTCTGGAAGTTGATAAAATTCGATTTTTGGGTGATAATGATTTTGCCTATTTAAATGGAGAAATATTTTGATTGTTTTTAGAAGAAACAGATATTGAGGTCTTGATTTAAGTCACAAAATCGTCTAAACTTAAATGAATATTGAATGGAGATTTTTAATCAACAATTTGAATGTTATTGGTTTATATCTTATCCATTGATACAACTTTTTCTGTTTTAGGTTTAGGTATATATTTGTTTTATTCCTGAGACAGTAAATTATATTTTCTATCAGTATTTGATTTATTGGAAATGCCAAATGAATTATCCTTAACTAGGTTATTGATGGGCTTATTATAACTTTATTGTAAAGTTTTACTAATAAGTTATGATGTTTAAACCTTGTTCTAATCTTTCTATTTGGTAAAAAAGTAATACTTAAATATAAAGAAGTGTTTACTTATTGTGAAGGCTAAGCAGATTTAGGTGTATTATTTCTAGGAATACTATTACAAAAGGGAATATTCTAAGAAACTTATCTAGAAATTGAGGATTTCTTATCTTTAATGAGTGAGCTTAAACTTTATGTTTAGTATAATTTATTTAGAGTGCTTTTATAAGTATCATTATTAAGAATTGGATGTTATTCATATTGTTTATTGAGTTTAGCTTTTAAACTGGAGTTATCTAAGCGAGAGGGAGTAGTTTTATTAATATTAAATTACATTAATATATAATAATAAGAATAAGAGAGGAGCAAGATATTGTAATTGTTATAATGTATATATTATTTTTTCATTTGGTGGTTTCTGCAGCAACTCTTTTAGCTTCTTCAATGACATCTTCAAATGTTCCTTACATATAGAATGCATTTTCAGGATATTCATCACCTTCACCATCAAGTAAGGCTACAATACATACTATATGATACCTCTGAATCCAGCGATAGTGTCATTAAGTGAAACGAATTTACCTTTTCTTCCTGAGAAAACTTCAGACATGAAGAATGGTTAAGAAAGGAATCTTTGTACTTTTCTTGCTCTAGCGACAGTGAGTTTATCATCTTCAGACAATTCATCCATACCCAAAATAGCAATAATATCTTAGAGTGATTTATAATCTTATAACAATTTTTAAACTCCTCTTGTAACAGTATAATGTCTAGAATTATAAAAATTATATATTACTTTTCACCAACAATATTTGGGTCCATCATACGTGATGAAGAATCCAATGGATCGACAGCTGGATAAATACCTAATTCTGTTAATGCTCTTGATAACACAGTTGTAGCATCCAAGTGAGCAAATGTTGTAGCAGGTGCTGGATCTGTAAGATCATCTGCAGGTACATAAATAGCTTAGACTGATGTAATAGATCCCTTTTTGGTAGTTGTAATACGTTCTTATAATTAACCTAAATCTGTTGCCAATGTTGGTTAATAACCGACAGCTGATGGGATACGTCCTAATAAGGCTGAGACTTCTGAACATGCTTATGTGAATCTGAAAATATTATCAATAAAGAGTAAGACATCTTTTCCTTCTTCATCTCTGAAATATTCAGCAACAGTTAAACCAGTTAAACCAACTCTAGCTCTAGCACCAGGTGGTTCATTCATTTATCCATAAATAAGTGCACATCTGGATCCACCACTTAAATTAATAACACCTGATGCAACCATTTCATGATAAAGATCATTTCCTTCTCTAGTTCTTTCACCAACTCCTGCAAATACTGAATAACCACCATGAGCTTTAGCAACATTATTAATTAATTCTTAAATAAGCACTGTTTTTCCTACTCCTGCACCACCAAATAATCCAATTTTACCACCTCTTGCATATGGTGCCAATAAATCTACTACTTTAATACCAGTAATTAAAATTTCAGCACCACTACCTTAATCTACAAAACTTGGAGCTTCTCTATGAATAGGATATCTAATTTTTGTTTCAATAGGACCTCTTTCATCAATTGGATCACCAATTACATTCATAATACGTCCTAATGTTTCTGGTCCAACTGGAATAGTAATAGGACC